GATATATGACAACATCAAGGTATGGAAGTGTGAAGTTGCCATCCGAACGTGATTGGTGGTCCTTTACAGGTCCTTTCTGACGTTCTTGTCACTCTTCTCGGCAGAAACCTCATCACCAAGCTTGTGGTACTCGCGGGTCAGGCCTTCGCATTGCTTCTTGAGAGTCTCGATGTCACGGTCCTTGGCCTCGAGCTCCTGCTTCAGGGCACCAATCTCACCGACAGAGCCGGCCTCGGCAACACGAGCAGAGTCCTTACCACCGGCCTTCTTGTCGCCTTCGAGCATCTTGACACGGTCCTCAAGACGGAGAACCTCGAGGATCATGATGTAGGTGCGGTTCAAGATCAGGGAGAGGAAGAGAGTGAAACCGCAAAGGTACATGTTTCGCTGTGAGTAGAACTTGCGTGCTTGCACCTCCATTCGGTCGGTTCCCAGGTGAGCAGCTCTGCGATAACAGTTGTGGGTTAGTTTTGATTAATTTATCGGATCATACGAGAAGGAAGCTTACCCAACACCGGCACCATCCTTAGTGAAGGCAGCCAGCTCTTGCTGAACCCGATACACACGATTGACACTGTCAAGGAAGAGGATCAGAATAAAGATAAAAGTGATCTGTATGATGTTAGTTCAGCCCCGTATAATATCCAGGTTCTGAAACACTACCTTTAGGCCGTATTGCAGCTTGGCAATGATAGGACTCTCCGAGATGAAGGCGAAAAGCTTGCGCTTGATGGTGAACGGAAGAGGGACGATGAGGGCCAGGAAAACGGCCATCTCAAACACCAGAAGGAGGAAAACCTATATCGCGCAATGATATTGTCAGTCCATAGTCTAATAGACAGAAAGATTTGTGACACGTTGCTCGGCCGGAATCGTGGGAGCTAGCCACTGCCAGTCAGGCTGCAACCGCCCCCGGCTCGACCGGTCATCGGAACAAGGAGGGAGAAAAGGTGGGGGTTGTTGAATGAACATACAAGGCTGTAGTAGAGAGTCATTTTGGCGAAATTTCCTAGTGAATCACTCCGTGTCGTAAATTATTCGTGTTGGTCGAAAGGGGGGTGGGGTGCGGTTGGAGAGCTTCGGTGACAGCTGGCTCGAGAGTAAACAAATTCCAGTGAGGGTAAGTGGGCCGAGGTACAGGTTCAAGAGATTAAACTCTCGCAAACAAGTAGTAACAGACGTGGTCAGAACGAGGCGTGTGAAGGAATTGGACAGTAGCCTGGTGTCTGGCCAAGTTTTAAGTTGTTTTAATGGGGGGAGGTTTCCTGCCTTGAAGGAATACGTCATGAAATAGCGTCCACGTGACCTCTATCTGGAATCACCACTGTGTTGCTGCCTCAGGCACCAACTAGTACTACTAGTAACTAACTATAGTATTCATTCACACCGTCGAGGCTGATTTCTACATAGTACCTAGGTAGCGCCTGCTTTCTGGTGGAATCGAGTACTAATTGAAACTTGAGATAAATCCCTCCTTTGAGACGGATGCGAATAATACTAGTAGTAGTAGTTACCTAGGCCACTTCAGGCACTTGGATGAAGAGATATATTTCCCTGGCATGAATACGTTATCTAGTACAAAGAAGCCTTCGGAGATTATATCCTTAAGAGGTCATATTTAAATATAGTAAGTTATATTCGTGAAATTGCTTTGAACAGAGTAATTTTGCAAGGTTGTGTGTGGTGCACACGTGCCGCCTAGTAGGTAGCATATTTTCGATATTGACATCTAGCCTTCCGCTTCGTAGGAATTGGATTTGTGCTTGGGCTCAAACTTGAAGTCTTTGTGAGCAGGACCAAGGAACATCTCACTAAAGTCGAAATAGTTAGTTCAAATCGTTTTCAATAAGTCTCACAATAACAAAAGACGGCAAACTTACGTGATCTTGACCCAATCCTTGTAGTTATCGCTGGCCATCAAAGTCTCCAACTCATTACGGCCACGGTAAGCAGGAGGTCGCTGATTAATTCTGGGAGGAAGATGCTCCAATAATCCAATAGGAATGTAGCGATAGGCAAAGCTGAGCCATTCTAGCAGGAAGCGGCGAGTAGTGCCGACACCGTGCTCGTCAGATCCCCATGCCTCGAGACCGTACTTGGCAAACTTCTCGATGTAGCTCAGACGTTCCGATGCAGACTTGTCCAAGTACTGGCCAGACTGAATCTCCTCGAAGAGCCAGGGCTTTATGAGTGCACCGCGTGCAACCATAACTGAATCAACACCGCCATTGTTGATGTGGTCATCATAGTCGATATGCGAGAAGCAGTCACCGTTTCCGAGGAAGTAGGTTTTACCCCCGTTCGGCTGGAAACGCGCATCAGGCTCACGAATAGTGTCGGTGATATCATCCTTCGTCTCGTTCAGTCGCTTAATAAGCGCCGCAGTATCAGCAATATAACCCCAGTCCGCCTGGCGAGTATACCGCTGTTGTCTGCTTCGGCCGTGCAGCGTAATAGCGGCAGCACCGGGGGGGACCGAGATTTAGGACATTAGATTCGTGGCCACCGAGAACCATACGCTCAACGAGCTTTTGAGCAGTAGGATAGTTATCCCTGGTTCCCATCCGGATTTTAACGGTGATAGGAATCTCCTGAGAAACAGCATTCATACCACGAATCATTTTCTCCAATTTCGAGTGGTGATCCAGAAGGGCAGACCCAGCACCGTCACGGAACACGAGTTCAATAGGACAACCGCAGTTGAGATCAATCACACGCAGGTGGGGGGTGAATTTGGAAAGGACTTCAGTGGCTTTGAGCGCTTGCCAGGGTTTGTTGGCCGTAATTTGAGCACCGAACTTAAAATCTTTGGAGTTGTCGTAGCCTTGAACGATATTGTCTCCCGGGATAACGCTGGGCGGGAGCATTTCTGTCTCGTGGGCCTTGAGCAAAGTCCACTCTGATTTGTTGCCTTGGATAAGTGGCATACTCATGGCCATCTCAGAGTAGGTGAATTGGGCGCCCAGATCGGTACAGAGTCGTCGGAAAGGCATGTTGCCTTGTGTGGTCAAAGGTGCCAATGTAGGGGTCTCAGGGCCAAAGTAGATGCGTCGTTTCTCAGACGGCATGAATGGAGGCTCGGTATATAGAGCGCGATTGTCTTCCAGTTCATCCTTGGTCTGCTCGGCATTCTCAGCTTCGACGATCTCATTCTTTTTCTTGCCATGGATGTTCTTCTCCAATTCCTGTGCTGCTGTATTGAGCCATTCGTTGTACTGATTGGCACGAGGAGTTGTCTCCTTCTTACGCGCAAGAGCGACTTTGTCCGCTGCGGGAATGATGTTGGTCATGCCCTCGGCATTCGCGAATGGCACCTTAGGCTGGGCCTTCTGTTTGCGCTCCTCATCCTCCAGCAGGATCAATTCCTTCCGTCCGTCCTCTGCTTCCCTCTCAGTTGAGTGGGTGCCGACCAGACGGCATTTCCAACCAGCCGAGCATGTTCCACGAGTGTCCCAGACAGGACAAATTCCCTTAAAGGTTGCGATATCCTCTCTCTTGTACTGCTTCAGATAGAGTCGGAGGTCATGTTCAAAACGGCACTTCTCACCATACTCGCACTCCTTGGGGGAGAATTCGGGGCTGAACATCACGGAAACACATAGTCCCTTCTCGTCTTTAGATGAACCGAAACTGCGGTTCGTGTTCTGGCCGGTGGGCTTCTTCTTCTTCTTTCCCTTCTTCTCATCGTCTCGTTCGGCGTGTGAGCCGGCCTCGGCAGCATCGTCGGTATTTGTGGGCTCCGGCGCAAACTTGGTCTTGGAAATGCGGTATCTATGGTGAGGTAAATGTAAGCCTGCCAATTTCATAGGAAGTCATCATGAGCAAGTATCATACTCAGCCTTTATGGGGGCGATGCCTCTATCACGTTCTGGGACAGCCACCTGCTCATTGTTATCTGATGGTATGTCCACACGTGCCTTCTTGGAAGGAGGCTGTTCAGTATTTTCAGCGCCGGAGTCACCGTTGTCAGCGGCGCGCTTGGTGACATCCACCTCCGAGGGCAATTGATCTGCCACTGAGTCTATGCCGGGCATTGTGATTGACTGGTCGTAATAGGAACGTAAATGTGAATCATGCGCCGTATCGTGCAGCGGGAAAATCCGGAATCACTTCAGCAACAGTACTTGAGAAGTACATTGATTTCTCCAAAAATTCGCAGTCTGCACCTGGTGGCGGAGAAATTTGCACAGTTTGCATTTCGGCATTGTAGACTGGAATACGCACTTATCATTGGTCAGATATTTAAATGCGGGTCAATGGCTTTTATGAGAGAATTGCATGCACGGAGTACATATGTATAAGATCTATAATGGTATTACTTCATAGGCAACTGTGTATTCCTCGGGAATCTCAGTCGAATATAAAAACTATAGATACAAAGAATCGACACGCAGCTTCCAAATATAGAAGATGAACCAACTTCGATGGTCGTACGACCGTCGGAGAAAAACTCTATTGAGACAAGAATCGAAATCGATAGCTAAGCTATGTAATATCTAGATCTTTCTACTAGGAGTAGGGCTGCTAAAATGTCTTGAATTAGTTCTGCCTAGTCAAATCATCTGTAGTGCTGCAGATCGAGTGACCTGGAGTCTGAGTCAATCATGACCATGTTACGCCACACTTGTGGGACGTAAGGTGTGGCGTTGAGGCAGTGCAACCGCGGAGAAATGTGGCGGTGCAATATCTAAGCGCCAGACCGGGTTCATAAGAGGTGCCCCTCCCTAAACACTTGGCCGGGGCCTAAGAGAATATTCTTTCCTCTTCATACAACATTGTCTTCTGATTGAGGTATTGTTTTGCCAAAGTTCTTCGGGTTTCTCTCTTCGTGGCTTTGTTTCACGAATCTTCCACACGACGTCATACCCTTATCCGTGCTCTATCAGCGCCCACATCAACCTTCCAAGGTTTAGGGTACCTAAAGGTAACCATAAGGAAGGTGGGCTCAACTAGAACAAGCTCCGATTTCTCTGTTTGTGCAAGAAAATAAATCAACAAAGATGTCGAGCACGACACACGACCCCCGACTACTCTACAGTGTCAACAATATCCGTGCATTCCATATCCAAGATGGCGAGGAGCAGGAATTGACGCCGTCTGGACCGCAAACGCTCTCTTTGCTCATGGTTCCTACGGCCGCATCCGCGCCTACACCACCATATGCTGCAGGTGCAGGTACACAGACACCAGAGGAGGATTTCTATCTTCACCTATACCTTCCACCCGAACTCGACCTTGCGCTACCCGCCACCACACAGATATTCCACCAGCCGCCCGATAGCTACCTGATTCCCCGCTGGGACATGGCACCTGAAGTGGGCGCCTTCATTCGAATCCAGTTTCCTGGTATTGGAAAAGGCCCAAACCATGTCACACAGGATGACATAGATACCTTTGAAACTATCCTTGCGCAGTGCACTGCCTTCCACGATCGTTCTCCTCCCACCCCCGGCGGCAAGTCCGATAGCTACGCGGCATACAATCCAGCCAACTTTGCACCAGGGGAAGGATATATTTCTTCACCTACCGGAGACAAAAAAGGTGATCACGCGCATGGCAAGATTGTACTGGTAGATGAAGAGGACGGCAGTGTTGTCGGCGAACTAGGAGATGGATACAATGTGGTTGAAGACTCGGACGTCAAACCCGGATCCAAACGTAAGTGAACTCCAATCATGTTGGTACTTGACCAGCGACTAACGGCTTTCTCTGTTAATAGGCCCTGTTGGAATTGAACTTCCAGGCGAAGGAGAAGGCAATCGTGTCAGCGTGAGTAATGTCTCCGAGGAATACCTGGCGATGTCCCGACACCCGGCGTATCAAAATTCGACAATCGTGCAAACCTCAGCTACGGCATCGCGCTTGGTTGTCATGGGGTCGACGTATTTGGCCAATGCCCTTACGAGCGGCGCGGACACATTCACCAAGAAGGTGAAGCCCAATCAAAAGCCAGTGACGTTCTCCGAAGCGACTCACGCCCGCGTTCGCAAGGTGGGCACCTTTTCCAACGGTGCTGCGGACATTTCCTCTCGTACAATTGGACAAGTGGAAAAGGTTGCACAGAACTTGGGCGCATCTTTTGCGCGCAAGGATGCTGCGAGGCCGAAGAAATTTGATAAGAGCAACCCACCGCCTGATTACAAGCCAGGAGTGCTGAACAAATCCATGATTGCGTTCTCCACCTTGGCCGATGGAATTCAGGAAGGGGCAAAGAATATGCTTCTTACCAGCTCACAGGCAGCCAGCACGATGATCGGTCATAAGTACGGCACTGAGGCGGGCTCCGTGGCAACCAACCTGACAGGTGGCATCAAGAACGTTGGATTGGTATACATTGATGCCACGGGTGTCAGTCGGCGTGCACTACTCAAGTCCGTGGCAAAAGGTATGGTGGTTGGGCGTATGCGTGATGGACAGCAGGTGGTTGTCGGAGCTGGCGATGGTGGCCAGGTGCCTCATGACGCGCAGGCGGGACCGTCGAATTTGGGGGCGCGAGACCCAGCTGCTCGGGGCCCATCACCGGGCCCGCCACCTGCATACGATGCATCAGAGACGCAATTGCTCGGCGGCACGCCCATGTCAGGGGCCAAGCGGTAAGCGCTCGTTCATTTTGCTGGATCGACAGATTGGGATTGAAAACCCATACCATACCAAATATCATGAAATGTGAAATGAATGTGAAATGGCCCAAGCAGATCTGATTCTTGCTCTTCCTTCAACCCGGAGTCCGAGGAGTCAGTGGCATTTAGCTCATCCTTGTCTTGTTTTGAATTTGGATTCTGGGCCCAGGGCGATTCGATGAGGTCCGATTTTGTACATAGATAGTCTTTTCTAGTGTGTCAATGCGACAAAGTTTCTTGACTGAAGGTTCTACGCTAGCTGGCCTTGCGAGTACGTATTCTGTAGGCACCATAGAGATGCTCCAATTGTCCGAGTCAACGGACATTGGATAAGAATCAAAGTTTCGGTCGGGTGGGACAGTCGTAACATCGGCGATATTCCCAGGGATAATCTCTGCCACTTGCAAATCCCGTCCCCGCCAGATCTTTAGGGCCGTGCGTCATTCTGTCGCCGACTTTCGCCCATGTCTTTTCCTCATCCCCCCCCCCACCTCGTTGCCGCCGGGTGCGCTCCATTCAATGAGATCTTAGGGCTTCCAGGGGTGGCAAGCGTGCCAGCGCATCATCCGCTTGACAGTTGGCCGGCCCACTCACACCAATGAGGCTGATCAGTACAGAACAGCAGGGACACCGCCAAACACCAATCGATCTGGTCCCCACACCGACATCTCAAGGAAAAGTGTGAACGGCGTCTGACTTCTGGACGGTCTCGATTTTGTGATTATGATTACGATTCCGACGTGGAGGACAACCGGGAGCGCTGCGGTGCCGTTAAGTGGAGTTCAGTGGAGCGCAACAAGCCAGTGCGGATACCCCGAAATACCCATGTCAGGAACCAGTCCGAGCCGCGATTTAATAATTTTAAAATATCCATCTTTCATACTCCCGACGGAGCAGCCGAAGTCGTCATTCAGTCTAAAGAGTTCCCGTGGGGAGAACGGAGGGGTTGCAGCTGGAAACTGGAGTACCGCAGGATCTGCTCGATCCGACGCGCATCCGTGGATTCAATGCAGCTCTTAACCATGGATAACGGTGGATTTCTGCAAGATACGATTCGACTTGGCAGGAGAGCATAGCTTGAAGCCAATTGATGGAATGTCTGGGGAGAGAGCTCTTGACCTCCCCGACCGTGGTGGCTGGAACTATGTGAACCCTAGAGGAAATGAAAGCGAGACCCTTTTTGTTCTCGAGCTCAACACAAACAACCAAGCTGAAGCTTACTCGAGGAGGCTTCTCTCTCAGCTTTGTTGCTACGAGCAATTTCCGCCCCAAGGACCACCTCTCCATATCGCAACCTTAACCACTCAGCCACGGGCACACAATTTACGTGGACACTCATCTCCGCACCCGTTCCCAACTGGACCAAGAAGCTATCGGGGCCCGATCTGCCCCAGGATAATGCAGAGAGATCTCGATAGATACTTGATACGGAGTACATAATATCGAATCTAGGTCGATCGCGCTTCTAGGGGCCTAATGACGATCGTCGGTCCTAGCGAGGTGCCCACTTTTCGATGCGAAACAACCGGCGCCGACCCCCTCTCCCCTTTTTCTTTTGAAACGGGCTCACGCCGTCCTATCCTTTGCTAGCTTACTTTACGGGCATGGTGGCCGTTCTGATGACGAGGGTCTCGACATTCACTTGGTCTTTGCGCTATGACTACTCCATAGACCCTCAGATACCTGCTCAGGCCGTCCGACCTTCCTCTTTGCTCTCCACATGCGAGGATCAGCCCTCGGGCCTCGCACCCGTTTCGTTCTATCACAGGTGCAGCAAGGGGATTCTCAGGGCAGAAAATAGTCGCGCCAATTTGGGTCAATTATGTACTATCTCTCTTGCGGCTTACACTACTAAGTATCCTCGGCTGGATGGAGCCAGCACGGCAGCCTATCATCAGAGTATTCAAGTTAAGTATAGGACGACAGAATCATCTGGTAATATAGTATAGTACTGTAGATAGAAAACCAAAATACTTAATGCCCAATACCTAATACCCAATACCATCAATCGAAATGTAGCTGGATTGTAGAAGGCTGGATAGACCCGCTGGTTCCCCCAGACTAAACGACACTACCCAAGGGTAGAGGTACTCCGTCGACCAAACCCGTACGAGTATCTTACCCTCTCTCTCTCTCTCTCCCTCTCTCCCTCCCCTTTCTCATCCACCTCATCCTTTCGTGAGGTCTGTCTCGAAGGCCTCTTTTGTTTCTCTTTCTTTTGTTGTTTGTTTTCTTCTTGGGGATCTCTGACCTTCGAACCCCCCTTTTTCCCTCCGACCAGTGTTTCTCGCCTTCTGGCTCCCCTCGCGCCCCCTGTCCGCGCCCCTCAGCCCTGGCTTAGACCATGTTCAGCGTCGACAATTGAACTCTTGATCGCTTCGAAAAAACCCAATCGCGCCTGAGACATACTCATTCCGCGTTCGTTTCTCTCCCCCGGTTTTTCGGACAACGTGCGACTCCCCCAGGTCGTGGGTCGGAAGAGGGGACTCTACAGACCTGCAGTGCAGGTATCTTCCTCTTCATTTCATTTTGCTTCGTCTCTCTACTTTGCCGACGCGTTGTTCCGCCGGTAAATAGCCGTGATCGAGTTTACCGGCTATTCTTTGGGCCCTATCGTGCGTTTTTTTCTTGTTCGCAACCTCCCCAGGCGTGGCATTCCTTTCCCCCCCATTCCTCCGATCGAAGCTTCTGTCAGTGCCCACCCTCCTCTCCCCTCCATTCCTGCCTCAGTCGCATGTTTTATCCTTTTGTCGATTGCCGATAAGAATCGAAAGCGGGGATCCTAAGCTAACCATCGCGTTTGACTTGCAGTTTGTGAGGCTGAAGTCGACACTCGGTGAGTGCGACCGATCGCCCAACCCTCTCCCTTTCGATTCTCGCCAAACACCCCCCCGGGAGGGCTCAGGTGTTTCCTGCGCGTCAATTGTGCTAATCGCAATTGGCTGCAGGCTCTCCCTGTCGACAAGGACCCAATAGAGCGTGTCGTATTCCGTCACACAGCCAGAAAGTCTCGCCGGGCTTTCTGCGCATCGAACAGAAGGTATGCCGGCGGCCGCTATGCAAACACTCTCCCCGCATTCACCCATCCCGTGAACGAACATATTGCACAAGCACATGCGATCAAGGTTACTGATATCTGCCTAGCAGCCATTTCTGAGGCCGGCCCCAATCAGCTTCTTCGGCTATGAGCACTTCTCACCAGTCGGCCTTGCCACTGTCCGCCCACGACTCCCCAGTATCTCAAACGGCATCTTCACCCGCACAAAGGAATGCGCGCAACAATTTCCCCGATATGCTAGGCTCACCACCGGTCCCGCCCCCGAGGGTCTCATCTACGCACCACAGCCGTCGCAGCCCCAATGGTTCATCGGGAGAGAAAGGCTCTCGCCAAAGTAAGAGTCGGGCTGATCGCAAAGAAAATCGCGATCGATCGCGCGATGACCGCAATGGCAAAAGCCGGTCCCGTCGCCCGGATCCTCTTGAAGAATCAACGCGGGACTCGGGCAGGTCGAGAGCAGCCCCCGTTTCCGCCCAAGAGATGAAACCCGACACAGAGAACGCACATGGGGCACCTCTAGTGAAGGAGTCAAGTGCAGTCATCAACTCGATACAGGTCAGCGACCCCGTCGTGGATCGGGAGAGAGAGCAGGTGCGAGAAGTGAGCGCTTCCCCGACAGCTGCGCCTGGAGATGTCGCTGCAAGCTACCCTAATGACCCCGTTGAGGAGGGAACTCGAACTGGGCACCGCAGTCGCCACGACTATAGCAACAACGGTAACACGGTTAAGCGCAAAGAGACGACCTTCGGCCATTATATTCTAGGCCAAACCCTCGGCGAGGGCGAATTTGGAAAAGTCAAGCTGGGATGGAAGAGAGATGGGAGCATTCAAGTCGCAATCAAGCTCATACGCCGAGATACCCTTGGAACGAATCCGAGTCGGCTGCCAAAAATCTACCGAGAAATTTCGATTCTGCGCGAGCTCGCCCACCCCAATATTGTCCGCCTCCACGAGATGGTGGAAACTGACCGTCATATCGGTATTATTATGGAGTATGCATCTGGGGGGTGAACTTTTCGACTACATCCTGAACAACCGCTACCTCAAAGATAACTCCGCGCGTCGGTTATTCGCACAACTAGTTTCTGGTGTTGGCTATCTGCATAAAAAGGGCATCGTGCATAGAGATCTCAAGTTAGAGAACTTGTTATTGGATCGGAATCGTAATATCATTATTACTGATTTCGGCTTTGCAAACACTTTCGATCCGCATGATCCATTGGAGGAGGAGATTGAGTACAATCTCACCAATAAAGAATACGTCAAGCGGAAGCGGCTGGACAAGATCGGTCCCACTGGGGTTCGACGCGGTGACCTAATGCAAACAAGCTGTGGTAGCCCTTGCTACGCCGCCCCGGAGCTGGTCGTGAGTGACTCGCTATACACTGGACGCAAGGTGGACGTGTGGAGTTGCGGTGTCATCCTGGTATGTCCTCTAAACAGTGTCTGGTATTACTCTATTTTTCGTCATTTGAAACTAATATTTTCTGCCTCTTCAGTATGCGATGTTGGCTGGCTATCTCCCCTTCGATGACGACCCAGCGAATCCCGATGGAGATAACATCAATCTTCTGTACAAATACATTGTCACCACACCTCTTACATTCCCCGAATATGTTACACCACACGCCCGTGACCTCCTTAGGCGCATACTGGTCCCTGATCCTCGTAAACGTGCAGATCTCTTCGAAGTGGCTCGTCACAGCTGGCTGAACGAGTATTCACACATCGTCTCTCACATTACTAGCAGCACCACGAATGTTGCAGACATCGCCAACACAACTGTCCCAGCCGAGTCTCAACCGGAAGCGCCCACTCTGGCACGAAGCGCATCGGTCCGCGAGCCACCGAAGACACACCAAAGTCCCGTACCAGCTGTCGGTGGACTTAATCACCACGCCGGAGACATTTCACAAGAATCGCCAAGCGAGAAATCGAAGACATCCCGCGATGCAAAGCGCAGAACAGTTCAAGTCGAATATGTCGCTCCGCAGTCCCAGACTGTACGAGGAGAATACCCTGCAGATACCGAGTCACGCCCTCGCGGTTCTGTCCAGAAAGAAGAGCAGGGTCCTCCAGTACCCGAGAAATCGGTTGAGCCAGTCCCCATCAAAGGCAAGGAGAAGCCCCCCTGTCAATTACGACAAGCCTTTGCCAGGACATTTTCCTCGCTCCACTTCGGACAACGTGGCTATCACAGGAACCCATACGACCGCCATAGCAACCTCAAACGCAAGGCCGACAACAGGTGGTTCCATGGCCTCCTTCAATACTGGTCGTCTGCCTTCACGAGGCTCATATGGGCAGCCAGTGGCCCCTACAGTCACCGCAACTAACACCGAGGGCCGTCTAGCACAGCCAAAGAGCCGCCAATTCGCACTTGGTCAGAACCCTGCACAGGCATCGACTACCTCCATCGGCCGCCCTAGTACTCAGCAACTTCCTTCAACTTTCAATCCCACGCCCCGGCAAGAGCCTCCCAAGGGCCACAAGCGTTCGAGCACCGTTTCTAGCCTTGGCGAAAAGCTTTTCGGGCGCACCGGTTCTATTATGAGTGGTCGCAACTCACAAAGCACTGCCGCTCGTTCTCGGCAAAACAAACGCTACCCTCCCACCAGCATGAAAGAGACTCTTCCCCGAGAGGATTCTCGTGTTTCCATGGATTCTCGACGATCTATGCAGTACGGTCACAACAGGAAAGCCAGTGAAGCTGGTGGTGAGGGCCGTCCTCGTCGCTTTTCTCTTCTCCCCCAGTCTTTTTCCATCCGAGGCTTTGGGCGGGCTCAAACCCCCCGAGGAAGCACCACAGACCTCCCGGCCTGTTGACCCCCGCGGCCCCCAGCGCCCAGCTACTGGCCCAGCTACTGGCCCATCCCCAACCCGACCTCGTGCGACAAGCTATGGAACCCAGGATGCTATGGGCATCGTCAGTGAGGGACCATCAGACGAGGTGCATGAGAATCCCCCAGACAATGGCCCCCTGAGCTATGAGTCACAGATCGATCAACAATTTGCGGAGCTTGGGTCTCGGTTTGACCAAACACAGGATTCATTTGGAGCCATCTCTTCAGAGCAGGTCTACCAAAACGATGACCAGTACCATGGAAACAACTACACATATTCGTCAAAGCCAAACTATTACGATGACTACAATGCCACCTACGACAGCTTTCCCCGGTCATCTATGCAAGCTGGTCGGTCCGGGCGTGGGCCCAACGTTCTGCAAAAGAACAACCGCAAATTTGCTGACGCTTACGAGTATGAGCGGGATTCTTCCCACCACTCCGGCAGTTCAGGTGCGGCCCGCAAGGTGATGGACTTTTTCCGACGGCGCGCTAAGTCTCGAGCTGGTGGTGACGACAGGTGAATCCCTCCACCGATTTGACCTCGAACAAAAAGAAGAAAAATCGTTTTTACCCGATCTCGCCGAGAGCAGTCGTTGCAACCAAATGGTACCAACAGTCCATGCCTCAGACTGTTCGAATTCTGCAAGGCAAATTCCAATCCAACCCTGTTCCAATATTTCATCCTATTCGACTGAAAAGGATCAGCGATGTTGTTTGGATAACCATGTGATACCCTGCTTTTCCTTCCCCCCCATTCTGTGCATGAAGCGAAATTTCTTCTTCATCCGCCAGGTGTTTGATTAATATCTAGCATGTTCATTTCCTTTGTTAGAATACATTTTCCTTTTCCCCTTGCTTAATGTTTCTTATCCCTATTTCCTTCCACATTTTCTTCTCTGTGATTCAACGTTTCCTTTCTCCTGTCATTATTACTCTGACTGTAAAGTGGGACCACAGCACTGTGTTCTTGTTCAGAGATATCTTTTACACCTGCGATCATTGCAGTCCCCGTGTCTTTTTTACGTTTATACTCTCTTTCTTATATGGGAGGGTTATTGAACGATAATTGAATTCCAGTGGCCCTATTTTTCGATGTTGCATCTCATGTTGTGTATTAGGTGTTCTCCTGCTTCGGTGGCATCTTCTTAATTAGCTAGGGATGGCTTCTACTGGTTTCCGATAGTTTTGTGGCTTGTTTCTAAGGACAGTTAATCACCTTAGGACATGGATTCGCAACATGATCTTCCATGTTCCAGTGGCTGTATCAATCATGACTGATAGTTTGACTAAACAAAGAGTGTATTACTCAAAATACAGAATTTCCGAGCGTACTCGTAGTCATTTTTGACCTCCAAAAATTCATGCTTCGGGTATCACTTATAAGATTTCAATGTAGTATTTCTAAATGCACTACTAGTACATGGTAACGATATCATTCAACTTTACACCAATTATTCCTGGACCCTCAAATGCTCGACCTTGACCAGATCGGCCTCCTTATTCAAGCTCGCAATCTCCGCATCTGCAAAAGGAATGCCATCTGTAAGTCTCTTCTCCTCCGTGATCATCTCTATTTCACCAGGGAAATAGATCTGATCCACACCAGACATCTTCTCAGACTCAGTAACCCGCTTGTAAAGATAATCCATTCTTTCCTTGAACTCGTCCATAGTCATAAACAAGTCCGGTCTGATGGCAACAAGGAAATGGCCCACATCCGCAGGTTTAGAAGGATCATAAGGATTTGTAACATGGCCAGCGAAAGCAGCTCCAGAAAACACACCCGAGAAGACATCCATCATAATCGATAAAGCAGATCCCTTGGGTCCACCCATAGGCAGCATAACCCCCTCCAGCGCCTTAGCCGGGTCATCAGTGCGGTCTCCATTCTTATCAAGGGCCCAATCTGTGGGGATCTTCTCGCCCCTCCTCAACGCCTTGTAAATCTTGCCCCGCGCCGCAATAGATGGCGCCATATCAAGAATAAATGGACGCGCAGCATTCCCAGAAGGTGCCCCGCACGCAATCGGCGAAACGCCCATCATCTTCTCCTTGCCGCCCCAGACAGGAAGTGCGGGCGAGGAATTCGTGAAAACAAGCGACATCATCCCGGCGTCCAGAGCCTGCTTAACGAGCCACGCGGACATTCCAAAATGATTGGAGTGTTTAATAGAGACCATGCCCATGCCGAAATCCTTGGCCATTTCAATGGCTCGCGCCATGCCTTGGTGTGCCGCGACGAATCCAAATCCGTTGTGTCCATCTATCTGTGCGACGACGGGCGTTACTTGGCGGAGAGTGGGTGTTGCACTGGCGTTTAAAGCTTGCTGGCGGATTCGCTCCATGTAGCTAGGGATTCGATTGCTTCCATGTGTGTCAACACCTCGGAGGTCTGCGCTTACAAGGCATTTTGCAACAATGGCGGCGCTTTCTTGAGGGGTGCCGTTGCCGATGAGGATTTGCTCAACGAAGGATTCCAAGTCCTTGTGGTTGATCAGATGCATTTGTTGTTGGTTTTCGTTGGTCATTGTGAATTTTGCTTTTAGTCGTTCTTGTTTGAACCACCTTTTGACTTGTCGCGGTTGATTCTAATATTTCGATATGGAGATGTTGAGCCGCTTTTAAGTACCGGGGGGGGAAGTTGGGGAAGCGGATGGCTCCCGCTCCAGCGGGAACACTCCGCATGGTTAACGCAATTGGAGTGGAGATTGGATTCAAGTTGTATAGGGCGAAATATACTAAACCATAAATGCAGTAAATTCTATATGAGATCGACTCTGGAGATACTTGGTCATATTCATTGGCCGTTGCTAATTTTTTACATGTGCTTAATTATTGTTGAACACATCCCACATGAGGCTGTCAAAGTCTGGCGCCCCAGCAAAATCCATGAAACCCCCAGGTAATGAATCATTGAACCAGGTTGAGCTATCCAGATTCAAATCATAGTCATCTCCAAGTGAATTCATTGACGGCACAATACCAATGGCCGAATCGACCTGCTCTGGAAATTCTTCAGCTACTGCGTTTCCTGGATGCGCTTGCATTGAGCTCTGTGGTTGAGCCCTTGTAGCCCGCGGAGACTTATCAAGGCTTCGAACTTTGATTAAGCGTTGGATAGTAGCACCTGACAGCTCGTGGATGCAGTCCCTTGCCCGCTTAGCTTCCGTCCAGTACTCCCCGATACTGCTGAGGATATTCAAGCTGATACCTGTGTCAGCCACCACATCGTCAATATGAGCCTGTGATGCAATCTTGGGCAGTCTCCAGATACTATGAAGCATGATGAGTGTACTCAGAAAGATGGAGTGCACAATGAGCCTGCTATATAACAGCGCTTCTTGTCGGTATAGTTCTCCGAAGCCACGGAGGAGCTCGACTGCATGCTGAAAACATCTTGCGAGTAGGTCATCTGAGGGCTCTGGAATACCAGGACTTGGCCGCAAGATCAAGATCATCATCTCGTGAAATTTTGTTTCGCAGATCTTGGCGATGGGCTCCATTCCTGTTGCCCGAGGAATATCAAGTAGCCAAGACTGGAGATTGTCGATCATTTCCCTCTGCCACTGATAGATATCAGCAACGGGAGGGTATGCGTATTTTGGTGGATCTCTGCAAATGCTGTGCATGACATATTTGATCTCGGAATTCATCCGCGCTAGCTTGAAGAGATGAATGGAGTATGTGATATGGGATGGTCGGGCTTGGTCGGGCCTTTCTTCAACAGCCGACTCAGCGAGAAATTGATCGGCAACATCTGATGGTAGCTACCCATAATTAGCATATGGTTCCTTTCACTATTATAGTTCCAAGGTTGCGTCACTTACTCGAAGCTCGCATGCCTCATCTCGAATTCCAATTGGTCTGCCCATCATTGTGCCCAACGTTCGATCAAAGGTGTAGACTACCCAGAAAATCCGGGTCCTCATCTCTTGCTCCAAGAAAGATATTGGGAAGTTTGAAGACACTCGTACATCACGCTGAAGTCCTAGGTCAATTAGAGCGCCCAGGCATTGATAATTGAGGCTCCAAATATTCATTCCACAGGAAGGATTGTGGAGAGCATAGACCATGAGAAGGAGGGAGCTTTGCAGCCCTTCCAAGGAGCCATCAGCACATGCCCCCTCAAAGTGCTTGGTAGCCGCAGTGTAATAGCCCTCTGCAGGCAATCGAAGTCTGAAGCGCCGAGATAAATCCGAGGCAGCTATCGCCAGCACCATGTATACATGAAATGCAGCGGAAGGATCAAGATCCGTATCATTGTACATTTTTTCCAGCTTCTGCATGTAAGATGGCTCGTGTAAAAATGGGTAGGTGAGATGGACGGAAGAGAAATATTTCGATGACAACTCGATGGCGTCCTCTTTCCTGGTTGGTAATGGAGCAGGGCTGTTGAATAGCTCCGTCGATAACGAAATCGGTTCATTTGAGCTGCTAGTCGCTCCTGTTGGTCCCATTCGTCGACCAGCACTAGAAAAAACGAGATTTGCAAGGAAGTAGCCACTCGAGGGTCCGATATATCTTGCCTCGCCGCCGGAAGACAGAGACACTAGTCCAATTTCATGAGCTTGTCTTGATGTGCGGGAAGGCTGATTGTCTTCCATATGTCGCTCAGGCCCGGTCTCTTCATTTCGAGTCTGTGAAGTAACAGAGCGGGTGAAGGTGTGATCTTCCTCAAGTGGAGGTTCAGAATGTGCAAGATCCACCGACTGGGGCGGCCCAGCTTCTATACTTCTACCCTGCTCACGCACCAGTGATTCGAGCCATTGAACGCGTTTTTGCAAGCTGGCGATGTAACTATTTCCCCAGTTATTATACATTCAGTACCCGCGGAGGAGATAACCCACGTTCGATTAACCTCTTGCTTCCCGTCGTTTATGCAAGTCACATTTGCCTTTTTGCATGAGGTGCATTGGGGTAGAGTCCCATCACACTTAATTTTTCGGCGTTGGCATCTCCGACATGCAGCACGATTCCGATTGCGGCGTGGGGTCTCCATTTCTCTCGAATTATGAGTGCTTGGAGCGATGAGAAGTGGAAGTGGAAGTCCCGTTGCCGGAAGAAATGTGCGGGGAGCTTCCGTCGGTTGCCGCCACAGCACCTACGGGTTCCCCCCGCCTCTTAACGGATGTCATCCGTCGCCTCGCTGCACCATAAAATGCCCAATTCACGCCAGTTTAATCTTCAAATAACTTGAAATCTATTACTTGATCCCCAGCATTCCATTCAAAAATGACAATCTGCCATATCGGTTCGTTCGTTGGAATCCTTCCTAGCATTGTGCGCTTATTGACCTCCGGGCTTCCAATAGTCTTGTTTAAATTTCGGGCAGATGCTTCGTCTGCCGTACGAGAGGAATTTCTTACGCAAATAAAAACACTCAAATCATTGCCTTGTGTCAAGAGCCAAAGACTTGTCGTGGGAGGTCCTTCTATTACTGAGCCTATCGAGAAGAGCAAGGGGTTCCAGTACGCCTTAGTGAGCTACCATGAAGACCGGGCAGCGCTGGCTGCGTACCAGGCAAGCAGTGAGCATGAAAGGTAACTTGAATACATATTCCGATTTCGAGTTAATTGGTACATGTGCCATCGAAGCAGCTAACAAATCTACGAAGGGTTACGCATACATATTTTATTCCTTACAGGGAAGATCTGGTTCGATTTGACTTCGAAGTAGATTCGGTGGACGAGCCGCTGATTGGGTTTTGATTGATTTGATTCAAGCAGTAGATGATAGAATTTTTTTCAAAAAAATATATGAATTAAAACTCAAATATGCAATCGATCCCAGGCAACATACTGCAAGGGGCTAGTTGCCTGTCAGTGTCACCCATTACTTTCCGGGTACGACTGAAATTCAATGTGCACCGAGCTCGTAAATTTGATATTTTGGGGGCTTAGGCTCAGCATCTCAGATGGCTGAGACGCCTGGGGAGTAGCGCATCCAAACCCAGCAGTAGCACTACCGCCAAAAAGACCTCCACCAGATGGCGCCGGAGCAGACCCAAAAAGAGACCTTCCTACCGGTGCATGTTGCATGGTAGCGTTCTGCCCTCCATCCATGATATCCACCGCGTATACTTCTCGTCCAACCTCAGCGGCATAATCATTTGCTTTAGTGACTGCATCACGAATGGCCTCCCTGCGAACTTGGGAGCCCAGGGTTTTCTGAGTGGCCTCGCTCAAACTCCAATCGATAGAGGAGATTTCCACATTGGAATAAGTCAGAAGCTGGCCAACTACCTCGCTGAGTTTTGTGATATCACGGAATACGATGCTAAGGGACATGGAAGCCTGATACACCTTCTCTAATGGTTGACCATCCCTGTCACGGGGGGTGAAGTTCCGCGTGCTTAGAAAGGTGGAGGCGACATTGGTAACGGCCGCGTCTGCAGTTGCGGTGCCCGCCTGAGTCTTTGGAGACAATGTCTTGAAAAGACCAGTGAGTTCATTGGACCTCGAAACCACTTCCTTGGAAACGGTTTCTAGTTTGGGGCCCTGTGATTCCACAGAAAGTCGAAGGAGACCCTGCTCGGCCAGGCGAGTGATGGATGACTCGCCGTTTACTCTGATCTTGAGAGGTTCCATGGCGAGCAAGGAATTTCAGGTATTGAAAGATCTAGGAAGAGGAAGAAGAAACCTGTTTCCCTTCTTTGAGGTCGAGATCTTTCTAAAAGAAAAAAAAAATCATACCCCACGCCACGGCGAGGCGATGCTAACCGACGAGACGAAGGTGAGCCTGGAGTTAGGCGGCTCCACCGCAGCACAGCCCTCCGGCAAGGCTACAGTCACCCGATAGGACCACGACGAACCTAACCTCCCTGCAGTTTGCCATATATCTTTCTAGGTGACCTTCCGTCAATGCTCTCAGAAGCAAGAGAAATTAGTGTGAATTACTCGTAGAAATACATTTACTGGCCTAGGTTGTTGTCTCATGAGGGTTTGGCTTTTGGTCACATTAGACAAATTCCGATCACTGGCATGTACTGGTATTCGGTAGTAGATTAGAGTGCGAGAAAGCAAGTTTGAGGCCACTCTGTTTTCCTGTATACCTTTTGGAATATTTGGACGGATTCTTAACCAAAGCCCAGAAGATCGAAAGATCCCCAAGTGGAGTAAGGTCCAAACTTATTACTAGACACTGGATGAGCTTCATACTACTACTTGCCTTGTGGCTATCGCGTTCACCGGGGATATTGATACATTAATGGAACACAGTTGAGAAACCAAATTACCAACATACTTGAACTATTATATCAACACTCCACGTACAGTGGCGTTGCAAAAGTTTGAAACCCCATGTTGACTGTTCTTGTCTCCGCCTTCTAATCGCGGGCTAGTTAGCTACCCTACTAGTTTCCCATTAGAAGGCGGTAAATCATGATAGGCAGGATGGGGTTTCAAACTTTTACAACGCCACTGTAGCAGGCCGTGTCATACTAGTACCTCGTCGCTTTCCGAGCCCTGGAAGACAACTTGAACCCGGCCAGCAGGCAACTCCGACTTCAATCATCCCATCATCAATGATGCATCAAATGCTTGAATATCATGATGTATTGAGTTTTTCTTTCTTCTTTTCTTTTTTCCAAATCTCCAATTTCAAATTCAATAACCCCCAAGTAAATAAATGATGGCAAGAGATGCAAAGTTGTCGCGTGAGACCACATTGTTATTGTCATACCATGCGGATGTATTCTCTTTTTTTTTCATGCGAGCCGAGTTGATTCCAAGGTTGTCGTCTCCGTCGATTTTTGACCGTCGACGAGGGAAAAGGCTGGCTGCGAAATTAAAGAGAATGTGAGCTGCCGTAAAAATGACGGGGTTCTTTGTCCAACGTGAAACTTACTTTCAAACATCTAGATCCCCCTTTCTCCCATTGCCTCTCTACCGCTCCTTTTCAACCGGCTCTCATTACGCCTAGTTTGAGAATCACCCAGTTAAAGTCACGACTTGAGGCTCATCTTACCCATGACCGAACATGCTTAGGATTGCGGCTTCCAAGGATAAGGATAGTGTTCCTTTTGTCTCGGTAGAGAATCCTGGTACGGTGCTGCAGCTGCTTGGTAAGACTGGGCCGATGCTGGTTGGGCCGCAGGGCTGACGCCAGGCATGGGAATGGCCTGGGTTCGTTGGGATGGCAGAAACAAAGAAGGGACGTGGTCTATTGACGACTGCAAAGACGAGTGCGGGTTTTCCCCGCCCCTCTGACTTACGGAATATGGCTCTGCAAATGAATTCTCAGTGGAGTGTTGGCTGGGAGATGCAGTGCTGCAATAATTGATCTGTGGCGCCGAGAGGGCGATGGATGGTGGGAGCGCCAGACGCGCCCCCTGTTGCATATGCCCGTCTAACACATAAGACTCCATGCGCCCTGGCAACTCCGACCCCGAGGCCTCGCCTAGAGATGGCGAACGCGTGTTTGTGTATTGCTGCCAATCTTGAGGGTGCGACGATCGACTTGACATCGATACGGCCGATGGTGTCCGTGGAAGCCTCGACGAGAAAGGATGAGATGATCCGGCAAACTGAGATGATGGAAGCATCGTGCTAGCTTCTGGGACATTCGACGCTGAATTCCCAGGATCTTCACCCGAATGCCAACTACTTGGGTAGGGAAGAACTTCTTCACCATCTGCTGCCATTCCGGGATGGCCTGAATAGGCCAGCTGGCGTTTCAAGCGACCGACCTCGTCCTCTAGAGCAGCATTCCTTTGAAGGATCTCTTGAAATTGATCATTTTGGGATCGCATTTCCGCAATCTGGGCCTGCAGGAACGAAACTTGTGTCTCGAGTTGCTCGATATGCTCTTTGGTGCGCTGTCGAATGGATCGTTGAGCTTCCCGGTCGTTTGCACGTTTCCGTTCCAGCTGCTCGGAAGAGAGAGCAGCAACTTTTCGGGTTCCTGAACGAGACTCACGCTTTCTGGGTGGTGGTCCGGCGTCTTGACTGTCCATAGCACGTTTCGATGTTGGGCTAGCAAAGCTAGGCTCCAGATTCTTGATGGCAGCCCGACTTTTCTTGACCCAGTCGTCTCGCACAAAAAGGGCGTTCGTGGTGACCATGGATCTAATAGTGGCCACTGGGGGAAGAAGAGCCAGCATAAAGGCCAGGGCCTATAGACGCGAGCGCTTTACAAGATGGCGTTGAGTGTGTTGACGTACCCTCGTGCGGGCGGCCCCTGTTATCACCAGACCCGACCCGCAGTAGGGGTATCAGAAAAGGAAGCAGATGGTCTGGACCAAATCCCGACTAGAGTAACTAAACGAAAAGAACTCTGGGCTACTCCGCAATGGGGCGAAAGATGGGGGTTTGGAGCCTAGGCGGTCTCTATGGCAGTGGTCTGCAGGGGATCAAGTGCCTTAAATAAGGGCTCATACCACCACGATGGCCCTGTATCTTTCTCCGGATGTGCATTGGCATAAGGCCAGGCCCCAAGCAAAATTCCACTTACAAATATGCTGCGAAGTCAAGCACTGGATACAGACTTGATGGACAATTGGCAATGGGAGGCCGCACGAACCCTGTGGGTACGTACCCAGAGGCTACATATGAACATAGAGTAGCGTCCTTCCATCCTCCTACGGTTCCTTCGACTCCATTTTGTGGAATCGGCAGAATATGTGACTTCCAGGAGGGACTAGAAGGAATTCGATACACTTTCTGACACTACAACCTTAACTAAGAGGTGGTTTCTCCGCCCACCAGCCCTATGATAACCAAGTATCATGATATCAAACTAAATTTTCGCTCTTTCGTGACTGCAAATCCCGACCATGCCGGCTCTCAATATTTCGGCTTTCTTAAGTGGGGGACATAGCCAATCCCGATACGAAAGAAAATAATTTATAAAAAGAAAACGAACGATACAAGACTGTTGGCTTCACGGCATGCCAGGGATCTGGGGTTATGCCTTTTGCTATTTCACTTCTACTTCTAGACCCGAGTATGTCGGGACCATCACTCTGAACAGATTCCTCGTCTCTGCCTCCGCGCCCCAAATTGAGGAGCGAATCCCCCCGGCGGCGTTACCCGGGTGGGCTCTTTTGACCTTTTTGTTTCATTTTTGGCCCCCAGGATTTGCCAACGCCCAGACTCGCCTTGTTACCTGAGTCATTCCCTCGGCCGTATTCTAACTAATCAACGCCGAGATTCCTCATAACACTCTCACGCAGATCTATGTACTGAATAAGAAACACCAAAGCAATGATCTACATCACCAAAGATCCAACGGGGTAAAAATCCTTGATATGGATCTCTAAATTGCAGTATACACCGATATGTCCCTTTCAAACTTAACCAAGTGCGGGCCCGGAACAGATTCCACCAAACCTGGAGCACATTCGCGAGGGTGATTCCCAGGTGCTCAATTAAACAACAATCTGCCAACAGCCGAGCTTTATCAATCAAAAAGCAGCCCTAGATTAGGCGCCGATACAGTGACGGCAAGGTCATACCTATGATGTGCTGTGCACCTTACGTACAGGGTACTCACAAACAATTTATTACTTGTGAGTTAGACGCTATCCAGCCCATCAGGTTTAAATCAAAGCGAAGGCTTCTCAGGAAGTCAAATCGACAATGGTAAAATCTGCATAAAAGGATCTACTCGTAGAGACCGCCCCGGATGCAGCCAATGATTCTAAAAGCCTAATTTCCGATCTATCACAAGGGTATGGGTTAACCTACAGTGGTGTTTCAAACTTTTGCAACGCCACTGTACTCGCACCCAAGAGTGTGCTATACTAGGTCGTAATTCGGATTGAAATGGCGTTGAAATTTGGAACAGCGCATGCCGGGCACGGCAGGTCCCCATTAGTCGGTCTTGCCGGTCCAATAAAAAGAGACGAATGGGTCAGTTACAATTCCATCAGTCGCAGCCTCGTGGCATGGTAGCTCGGGATTCGCTTACCGAAGCCCTTCCTGACTGGGGCCTTGGATGATGTTTGTTTGGCAAGAGATTCTGATCGACTCTGATCGAATCTGATCGCCTGATGGGGCCAGATCCGAACCCCCAGGGCAGATTAAGTTCACAGCTATGCATTCTATATCCACAAGCTGAGATGTCGAGCGGGTCCGATCAAAAGTCCTGACTCGTGGAGATTTCTGATCCGCAACGGAAAACCCCCCCCATCCAACTTTCCGGCCAGGCTGTGGCACTGGCCATGATGCCGGATTAAGGAAGGGAGGGGATTTAAGGAGTGGTCCGGACCAGCCTTGCAAGAAACCAAAGAAACCACGAGCGTGATACCCCAGATCGTTGCTTTCTGGGGCCTGGCAACGCCCATCCTCCAATCGCGTTCACTGCAGGCCTGACCCTGATCGTTTCCAAATTGCAGAGCCCTCGAAGCCTCGAGCTGGCCTTGCTTGACCAACTCTGTTTGATTTATTGATCGGTGTTATCGTGCCATTGTTGATTCCGTCTTCCTTGATCGGTACTGAGGCTGTGGCCAGCTTCATGGTGGGGAATCAATCATGTAATGTATAGTTAGTTCTAAGGATACAAGCGTCTTCGCTCATTTTACAGAATCCAGAGAAGAATTCCATGCGTAGGCGACGTGGGAAATAAGGGACATGTGTCGAAAAAGATCCGGGGATCCGCAAGGCATACATCGCGGATCAGGTGATTGCCACGGTGTTGTCTCCACGGGAGCTTTAGCCTCCAAATTCCGCTCCTTTCCACCTCCAATTCCAATCTCCCGCGCTCTCTTTGATTACAGATGCGGGCAAAGGGTCAACGGTGATCCTGTCCGTCTCATCTCACCCCAGCCTCAAAAATGGATCCAAGTTATAAAGCTCGGAAAGAGGCATTTGTCTCGAACCTCACGGGAAGCACTATCGGTGACATCAATGCAGTCACATTAGTCGCGCCGGTATTGTCCAACTCCCCCCTCCCTTGTCAACCTCAGAAAAGCTGAATACTCACACACGATCTGTCTAGGCCTCGGTACTTTTGTGGTCCGCGCTCCAATCCCGGCTATCATTCTTTACGCCTTATGGACCCGCAGCTCTGTTAACAGACTTCCTTCTCAATGTTCTGGCCATCCTTTTCGCGACGACCGCTTACTCGTCGGCACCCGTCCTACTAAATATCCTCCTCACCACCCCTGCGATTCTGTTGTTCTTGACCCAGCCTCCTCTGCGCCCTATCCAGAAAGCCAAACCACCCCGCAAGCATAATGCCAAGGATGAAACATCTAAAGAAGATGCACTATCCTTGCCAATCCACCCATTCCTGACCACCTACCGCTCGGCCATGATGATAGTTACCTGTGTCGCCATTCTCGCCGTGGACTTCCGAGTCTTCCCACGCCGGTTCGCCAAGGTCGAGAATTGGGGCACCTCGTTGATGGACATGGGCGTGGGCTCATTCGTTTTCTCGGCCGGCGTGGTTTCTGCCCGTGCACTTTTGAAGAGTCGGGCTTCCAGTTCCCCCAAAGCTGTTTTTTCAAAGAGACTCCTTGGCTCAATGCGACATTCTATTCCCTTACTTGTACTGGGTCTCATTCGGTTTTGGAGTGTCAAGGGCCTTGACTATGCGGAACATGTCACCGAGTATGGAGTTCACTGGAATTTTTTCTTCACTCTCGGCTTTTTGCCTCCATTTGTGGAGATATTCGATTCCTTGACGGTCTTGATTCCCTCTTATGAAGCGCTGGCCATTAGCATTGCCATATTCTACCAAGTTCTCCTAGAGTCCACCGACTTGAAAGCATATATTTTGATCTCTCCTCGAGGCGAGGACTTGATCTCTAAGAACCGCGAGGGAATCTTCTCTTTTCTGGGCTACCTGGCGATATTCCTCGCTGGAAGGGGAGTTGGAGCTCGCACCATTCCCCGAGGAACTTCCTCATCAAAATCGCCCCAGCAAGCTCGCAAGTCCGTGCTTATCAGCTTGACCCTGCAAGTACTGTTCTGGTCGAGCTTGTTCTTCTTCAACTCTACCTACGCATTCGGCTATGGCGCTGGGATCCATGTGTCGCGTCGCCTTGCCAATATGCCATACGTCTTGTGGGTCTCTGCTTTCAACAGTGCGCAGCTGCTTCTGTTCTGCCTGGTTGAGACTGTGTTCTTCCCGGCTGTTCATCGAGCGAGCAGCAAGGACGGCGAAGGAGAAAGAACCTCATTTGCCACGAGTCGCGTTTTGACGGCATTTAATCACAGTGGACTCGCGATCTTCTTGATTGCCAACCTGCTGACAGGTGTGGTCAATTTGAGTATTCCAACCCTGGACGTCAACGTGCCCCAAGCCATGGCCATATTGGTTGCTTACATGGCGATCCTCACCGGCATTGCATTAGGCATGGAAAAGGCCAACATCAAATTGCGTCTATAGATGTATTATAAATTTATAAATATTATCACGTTTCCAAGCTTGCTGTAACATTGCTGTAACAATGCTGTAATAATACAGTCCGCGTGCCGAGGTAGGTGAGATCATCGTGCCAAGAGACCCGTGGATCATCGCCTCGGCGGGATCTGCCACCTCCGCTTTCCTCGAAGCTCTGTCTCCAGCTCCAGCTCCAGCTCCAGCTCCCGTTATGATCTGCAAAAAATGGCTTCCAACAAACAGTCGTTCCTCAATTATCCTCAGCCTCGCGAAGGTCCTTTAGTACCATACAAGAATGAAACTCAATCCATTCCTGTCTTCCGAGGTATACCTTTGGCCATCGGTGCGACCTTGTAAGCTCCAATAAGACCTTTCCCTTCCAACCCTGAAAGCTTGCAACAAGGACACGAGAACTGGCCGTTGATAAATTGCCAGGATCCATAATATAGGGTTCGTTCAAAGCCATTTCTGGCGCAGTGCTGGCTTCGATGTCATACGCGAAATCCCCCACCTCCATCAGTACTCCGGCCGCTTCGATCCCACCGTGATTCCTGTTGATACTGTTCACAATAACACTGATATCCCTCCGATTCCAAAGCGAAAGGGACCCAATAGATATTATACCTCGGCCGACTATCACGCGTTATACCTATCGGGTGAACTGACTCCAACCGCGATCGTCGAGGCTTTGCTTCCCCTGGTACGCCGTGATGTTCAGCCCGCGGGGAAACACTCGACTGCCTTCCTTGAGTCTCAGGTGGAGATAATCCGAGCAGCTGCAGAAGCATCTTCCGAGAGATACAAGAAGGGTCAGCCACTAGGTCCTCTTGATGGCATTCCCGTCGCAGTCAAGGATGAAGTCCATATCACAGGTTATAAACGGACATTGGGAAGTAAATTAGATTTCAAGGCTGGCAGCGATGCCACCTCTTGGTGTGTACAGCAATGGCAAGAAGCCGGAGCTATTGTCATTGGGAAGACCACCATGCACGAACTCGGCCTCGGTATGAGATATCCAAAACCAAACCCCTTAACTCTTGATACTAAACTCCGCAGACACCACCAATAACAATCCCAACTTCGGCACCCCTCGGAACCCTCATAACAAAAGCTACTATTGCGGTGGATCTTCTGGCGGATCTGGGTATGCGGTTGGCACAGGATTGGTGCCCATTGCCCTGGGTGCAGACGGCGGCGGTTCAATCCGTATCCCCTCATCATTCTGTGGCATTTGGGGGCTAAAGACTACCCACGGCCGTGTATCTGGAGCACCATCCCAAAGTCTTGCCCCGACTGTAGGTGTTCTCGGGCCCATGGCATCAAACATCGATGACCTTGCCCTCGCCTACCGGATCATGGCCACGCCCGCCCCCGCCTCGCAAGATCCAATCTCTTCTCAATTCCCAAGGCCCATCCCCGCCCTACCAGACCGTAAACGTACCAGGACAATCGGTATAATGAGCGAATGGATCGATCGCGCCGAGGCCCCTGTTCGTGCGGTCTTTGACACCGCATTGGACCACTATCGCCAAAATGGCTACGATGTCATCGACATCACAATACCTTATCTTCCTGAAGGCCAGCGCGCTCATGTTCTGACTATCATGGCGGAAATTGCATCTGGCGTGGACGCTCGCCAGATCCGCCATCTGACGGCTCCAAATAAGGTTCTCGTCTCCTTGGGAATGTACCAGATCACCGCGCAGGAACTCCTCGTGGCCCAGCGTCTACGCAACTTATTGATGACCCACCTCTCCCACCTCTTCCAGAAGCACCCTGATCTTTTGATTCTCTCTCCTACTACTCCTCTTCCTGGTTGGCATATTGATGGTGGTGAAGCAGATCTCTCCCGCGGCGTGTCGGATGGCAAAGCATCTGTAAGGAATATGGAATATGTCTGGCTGGCTAATTTCACTGGCTGCCCTTCTATAAGCTGCCCTGCTGGCTATGATCCAGATAGCGGTGTGCCTATTGGCTTGATGGCTATGGGAGAATGGGGTAGCGAGGAGGCTCTGATTGATTTTGCTAGAGATGGGGAGACTATTCTGGATTTGCCTGCTGCCCTCCCCCCCCACGCGATAATGAAGATGTTTCTGTTGCGTCCGGTCTTCGGATTCCCTCCACCAGCGGATGTATCTGGGAAGATGTCATCGCCAGAGCGACAGAGGGGCAATCGGCTTGATCGATGGATTATGCTGTGGATTATTTGTTACTTTATCTCAGTTTGAGACCATGGCCAATTTTTGATGACTATTTTGATCTGGTCTCTACAGAGCTACCTGGGTATGCCTTGCTCATCTTTAAGGAATAATAACATTGGAATAATTGAAAAAAAAAAAGACAAGAACCCGCCCTTATTCTGCACTCCCTTGGCACCGTCTATTTCCAAACATAAGAATAATATAAAATCTTTCGCTGAATCAAAATAATAAATACGAGAAGCGAAGAAAAAAAAAGAGTCAACCTTCATGAAATGAATATGCCTTCCTCCGGGTCTGGAAGGAAAAACTGACAGCCCAGAGACGACTCAGCTGCCTGCCTCCGCAACTGGCTCAGGATCTCATAACCAGGAGGTGGTCCATCAGCGAGTGTCTCTTTGATGTGAATAATGTAAACAGATAGATCTTGCAGTGGGAGAGGATTAGCGCCAGCCCAGCGGGATGCGTTCGGGGCACTGAAATCAAAATCCTCTTCCTCGTACAAGGAGGGCGCGTCGGGTGTTTCAGATGCTCTGTTTGATTTTGCCAGGTCTGCTCTGCCGCCCGTGCTGCGGGTCCGTTTCATGGACCTTGGGCTTACAGACATAGGATCATCGTTGGGTGTACTATCCCATTTGCGTTTTGACTTTGCTGGATCGCTGGTATTTTGCGCAGGCGGGCAGTTCTTTTTGTCGCGTACCTCCATCACGAACTTAGCGAGGACGCTCAGCTCAGCGATGAGATGTCTTGGACACAGGTGACCGTATAAATAAGCATCGTCGACACTGTCATTATAGGAACACTCGATAAAAATTGCGCGAAGGGTGCCATCCTCGATTTTGGGGGCGGCGGTTTTCCAGACGCGCCGATTGTGTGGCTCTAGAGCTACCGAATCCGGCTCGACATCTCCAAAGATGATGATCTCTTTTCCGCTTATGCTGTCTCGCAGAAAGAATGCAGAGCTTTCAACAGTGGCCATGGTAGGCTCCTTGGCTGCTGCAAGTCGGGGGGAGCGAGCGGGAGAGTAAAAGCTAGACGCGGTATTAGCAAGTAGTTCATCCGCGACATGTCTTCTGACTAGAATCAAAATTACCTTCCTTCAGTTGGATCCATTGACATCGCCCGAGAAGGCAGCATGAAATGCTCAGGTAGATGGGGTGCAAATACAGTGCTATTGATCCTGTGATGCGTCGCCGATTCTGGGTGATACCGCTGCTTGCACCTCCCATGGCTGACAGTCAGACACTTAGTCGTTATACCAGTGCAGGCTCGTACGTAGCCCCGGACCTCTCCAGTGCCAAATCTATTGTTGCCGCCCTCGACCAAGCGATTGTAAGTAAGCAAACCTGCACCGCCATCCTCGTCGGACAGGTTCGGCCAGATAACATCATTGAACATGTGGTTTTTGAGGGCTGCTATCACGGATGGAAGAGCAGCCACAGACTTGGGACCATTTCCTGCCTCGACAATCGGTGTATTGATTGCCAGGCCCGAAATGTGATCGAGGTGAGGGTGTGTGATGAGAACTGCATCGATGATCTCCCTGAATACATGCGCTCCGTTGGCTTCTGCCGACTTAAATGGGAGGCGTAGACCTGCAAAGGGACCATGTTGCAGCACATTGTCCATAGCTCCTTCGATATCCTTCTTCAGCAAGCGAATGATCCCGGCGAGAAGGGTACCTCCATCCACAGCGATGGCGGAGTTTGGCTGCCAGCCGGTTGAAGTCGATCGTACCAATAGGCCAGTCACCCTGTCCTCACGAGGTCCACCATTTGGCCCCTAAACCAAGTCAGCATCAAAGCTCGCAGACTGCTAGAACCCGAGACCGGATTCGCGTTCCCTCGAGTCTGTGAAACAAAGTCGAGACCAGAGATTTGAATCACAGGCCCATGAGACATTTCAATACATGGTATATGCGGGAGACTTACCAAAACAATGACTTCGAAAGCAGCATCCGCAACTGATTCCGTCATGCTTCCGTTGCTCGTTAGGCTTCCACTGTGTTCATGTTTCACCTTTCTTCGTTGATTCGGCATCGTTGAGATAAACCTGGAATCTCAAAGTCCCGAGTATCCGAGTCTCAGAATGAACGAGAGTTGCCTCGCTGCCTAATTTGACCAGGTGCCCAAAGTCTGACGGTGCAACTGTCTCACCAAGTACCTCTGTAGATTGGTCTGCAGGATGCGGTTAAGAAGAATTGAAATCCCCGAAGCCAAGTGCGCCTCCAAGAAAGAAAAGATAGAAAAGGGTGAAAAAAAGGGAAATATTGGTACGAAAGCGAGATTGCGATCGTACTGTCGTTGAATCTGCTGCAAACCCAGCTACCCTCTTAGCACCTATACCGAGATACACATGCAGGGGGAGGGAGAGGTGCGATCAGGACCAGACAGGCACTAGGCCAAAATTTGCCGTATGTTTCGTCCTCAAGAGGACCGGGGAAACGCGTGTGATACCAGTTCGCAGGGTAGACGAGGTAGGCAAGGGCAGATAAGATCTTCTGCCACTCGAATTTTGGGGATGACTCCGCCTAATGTGGACCTTCCCCAGGTTGTATGACGAAGGCGCGCGGTGTGCAGGGCTGGACAAGACACTACTGCACGGGAGGTCCAGAAATCACACGCCAATTGGATCAATGCAGCCAAGATGTTCACAGATCTCTCAGCGCCTGCAGAGCCAGTCCTGTACAAATGATATATGAGACGTGGCAGCTGATGGGTATCTCGGGCGTGCCGATGCGCTCGGTTTGTGGGGACGATTTTCCACGGAACTTCGGCAACGGTGGAGAATTGAGAGAATGAGACAGTGGATGAGCAGAGGGAATTTAGAGAGTTGAACTGGAATCAAGGGCCATTGACCCGAATCCTCAGCAAATATGAAGGAATGAAAGGACAATGACAAGAAATGGAAGTCGAAGCCGACGAGACGCTCGGAGCTTCTGGGGAAGTTGGGGGCGGTCTTGGCGCGCTTTCCTGGTGCGCCCGGCGGTTGTTGGCGGCTCGATGACCGAGTATTCTTTTTTTTTTTTTACAGAGTGCTAGTGGTAAGTATGTGCTTTTCTTTGATGTTTTTCTTTGAAGACTTTCCTTGAAAGTCTAACTAGTCAATTGCCCTTCGTTTATCTCTTAGGTAGTATAGGGTGATCTCTTTCAGAACTGATAAACGGTTACTTAAGGCGACTGGTAACTCTAGGTTCCGTAATAAACGGGTCATATGACGCCCATCAACTGCGGTGGAGTATGATATCTATGTCTACCATGTATATTCGAGATGATCCTCATCCGAGTATATCAACTTGAAACTGAGAGCAATGGAATCTTGATGCATGAAGAGAACTACAGTGGCGTTGCAAAAGTTTGAAACCCCATATTGCCCACCATTATTGGGAAACTAGTAGCTACCTAAGATGGAATAGATTGGCCTATCTATTCCATCTCAGGTAGCTACTAATCCGCGATTAGAAGGCTTAGAAGGCGGAGAACGAGAACAGTCAACATGGGTTTCAAACCTTTGCAACGTCACTGTACCCAAAGAAAACTCCTTCTACTCTACTTTGAAGATGAAAGGATGAAAGGGTAAAATCAGCTAGTTGGAGGGCATCCGATTGCTGAGAGGGCCTCCCGGGGTATGAGGATGTTAGATGACAAAATGTACAGACCTGCTTCCGACGATGGATACTAATAACAAAAGCGGGAAATTGGTAGCGAATGAAGAGGCGGGTTGTAACTAGCTGCAGCCCGCCGTACATGATGTCGTGGTGAGAAAATCCAATAGTTGGAAGATAAAATCGCAAAAACCCCGATTTCAAACCCAAATAGATATAATTTCCCAGTCAAAAAAAGCAGCATATTCCATAATCCAGCCAATCCTCCCAATGTGCTAAAAACGCCATCCGTGGACTCGCTAATCGAAACAAGAAAGAAATGGTATAAGTGAAAGATTTGTAGGCTCATCCGTTTTTGGAGCCCACCAGTGACCCAGAGGATAGTATGTTCATGGGAAGAACGTATAGTAAAAATAAAATATCGTGTTGGAAGTCATGCCAGTCTCTAGTCCAGGTCATCCTCTTCCCGATCTACCGCTGCTTGGTAGCTTGGCAGATTTTGGAATTCTTGATGATCGTTCTCTCGCGGAGAACGCAAGTCTTCAGAGTTTTGGGCAGGGAATTCCAAGCTGGCATCACTGCCCCTGCGGCTACTCCCCGGGCTCGAGTATTCCGGAGGCAAGACGCCATTTTCATCTGGTTCTCCCACAGGAGCAGGGTTGTTGCTCTCGCTGTCGTCTAAACGGCTGGATCCCTCCCCGGCATCTTCGTTGGAAGAAATATGAGCCAATTGAGCGAGTGAGATGTCGGTTGGAGAACGGACAGGGCCAGGGCTGACGGCTTGGGGGAGGCCAATGCTGGAACTTCTGGCGGTGTGGGTTTGATAAACCCGCTGCGAAATCGTGGCGGCGCTCTCCCGGCCCGACTCCAGCAAAATGCTGCCTTGTTCACTGCCATAGGGTGGGGGCGGGGCGAGGCTGCCAGTCATGGGGGCCAAGCCCCATTTCTTAACATTTGCTTCGATGAATACGAAGCCCATTTGGCCAAAATTGACATGAATACTGCAGGGGCCATTGGCCCCGATCGTAGGGAATAGATTTTGGGCCCGGTAATTATGGGCGATATCCTCGAGCCTTTTTCCGTTGCGGGTAAAGAAGATAGTACCAGATCTAGGTCGGTAGCCGACACCGATAACGTCGCCTTGAAGAAGTGGAGGCCCATACGGTGTCGGTGAGAATGGCTGGTTGTGTCTGCGGTGGCCGGTGGATTCGTAGGCAACAGAAGTTTTGTGGAAACCTAGAGGTAATTAGCAAGGCTGCAAGATTACCACGCATTGGATCTCAACACTGACAACGGAGTAGACCTACCGGGTAATCGGAAAAGAGGATATGGTTTTGTTGTAAGACCGACTCCGATCATGGTTGAGTCGGGTTTATCGTAAATCTTGGCTTCCCAATAGTAGACCTCATTCTGCTTGGGAATGGGAAGATTGGTCTGCACACTGCACTCGGAATCGAAGAATTCAATCTCCGTACGCCCTTCAACGAAACAATTTGCGATTTCCAATTCAGGCTGGAATTCCCACGCCGAGACGCCCTTTTCTTGAATCGCGAGGAATTGGGAGAGAGAGATATCGGTCTGCATAGATTCGGGAGGATTGACTTGAACGAAGGCTGTACAGGAAGTGATTAGCAATGCAACCCCACCCCAGCTATAGGTCTTGCTATAGCCGTCGAAAGAGAGATCTCGATCCTACCTTTGGCTCGTAGATATTCCGACCGCGACAAATCATCCATGCCCTCGAGGGCCGTTTCCTCCTCCCGGGCGAAGGCCTGCTCATCGTCGAATTCACCGGGCCGACCAATGCGATCGAGCATGATCCGCCCGCGACGGGTATATTTGAAGAAAAAGAAGATCGCAAGAACGAGGAATGCGATAGCCGCCGAGCCGAAGGCAGATAGGATCCCAATCAGGATGCCTTTGCCGGTGGAGCCGGGGGAGTTGCCACCGGCGGCAACTGCGCGGCCATTTTCGTAGTCGGACGAAATAGTTGAGAGGACATGCTGGATGTTCTGCTGGATTTGTTGGTGAGATAGGCCGGTTGGGGATTGTATGGCGGTTGAGAGGGTTGAGGCGACGAGATCGAGCGGTGACGTCGTCGGGGAGCCTATCACTGTGCTGAGAGTGGATGGGAGGCCTGCGAGCGCACCGGGGCCCGATGCCTCATGACCCTGCATCGTTCATTGACTGAGAAAGAATATAGATGACAGGAAGAGGAAGAGGAAGGAGAAGAGGAGAGAGGAGAGAAGAGGGAAGGATGAAATGGAGTAGAGAGGGAAGAGGCGGAGTGGGAGGGAATGACAGGAAGTGGTGGTGTGAGAGAGATAAGTGGGCGACGAAGGCGGATCCAACTTATCTAAGATGCTTGCGGTTTAGTACCTGCGTGAGTGCACTGGCATTACAGTTTCAGTGTTCAGTGTTCAGTGTTCAGTGTGCTTTGGTTTATATTTTATTATTTATTATCTATTATTTATTATTTATCATTTGCTACTATTATTCTCTATTCTATTGTATCCCTTCCCCTTGAACAGATCAACTACTGGTAGTGTTTATGGTAGTACAGGTCATCCCATCCATCCCTACGGATAAGCCTCTCCTTCTCTTCCCCTTCCCCTCTCTTAACTCCCCTCGTGGCTCCTTACTTGGAACCTTCCAAGGTGACAAGTGACAAGTGATAGGTGACAAGTGACCCCTCTCATCTTCTCTGTACTCACCCCCCATCCCCATCATGCGCTCCGGCTCTCTTGCTTCCCCCCGCGCAAACGCCCTGGGGGATGTCGTCGTCAACTCGGTCGACTCCTACCAGATCCGCATTGCGATCTCCGGAACTTCGTTTGATAAATACCCTGGTAAGTCTCAGCCTCCCTATCTACCCTAAAGAAGGGTCTACAGGACTACCGCAAGGCCGATTCGACCTGTCCGGAACCTTCGTCCTTACCACAGACCCCTTCGTGATCGTTGGGACTTCCCTTTCTTCCTCTCTTCCCGACCCCGAGGCTAATGGCATACCCTCCCTTGTATAGCCAAACAACATGCCCGCAACGTCGCCCGCAAGCTTGGTGCTTCTCATGGCTTGATTTTCCTTGCCGGCCAACCGACAGTCAATTTGCGGGACTCCGACCAAGCGCGACCGTTCCGTCAACGTCGATACTTCTATTACCTCAGTGGCGTGGATGAGCCCGATTGCTCTCTCACATACGATGTCGCATTGGATCTCTTGACCCTCTATGTTCCGGACTTCGATCTACACCGCGCGATCTGGATGGGTCCGACCCTTTCCCGAGAGGATGCCCAAAACCGCTACGACATCGACCGTGTCCTCTATCAATCGTCGCTGAAGCCCGAGCTGGAATCATGGCTGAGCCAACGAGTCCAGAACAGTTCTCTCTACATGGTCCACGAATCGGAAACCCCCGATGGACTACCAACGGAGCTTCCGCTGAACACAAAACAACTCATGCCCGCCATGGATGCGGCGCGAGGTGTCAAGGACGAGTATGAGATTCGCATGATTCGTCAAGCCAACAAAGTCTCGGGATTGGCGCATCGCAGAATTCTTGAACGTATCCAGAAAATGTCCAACGAGTCAGAGATCGAAGGATTGTTCCTCGACACTTGTATTTCGCATGGTGCTCGGAACCAGGCATATCAGATTATCGCGGCATCGGGTCCCAACGCGGCAGTCCTTCATTACGACCGGAATAATGAGTCTTTACACAAGAAACCCCTTGTATGTCTTGACGCTGGCGCGGAGTGGAACTGCTATGCAAGTGATGTGACTCGAACATTCCCGCTCACGGGAGAGTGGCCCAACCAATATGTACGGGATATTTATAATTTAGTGGAGCGAATGCAAGAGGAGTGCATCAAGCAGATCCGCAGGGGTACTCGATATCTTTCTTTGCACGACTTGGCGCATGACATTGCGATTGATGGTCTCTTGGCCCTTGGAGTCCTCAAAGGCGGCAAGCACGCAGAAGTTCGCGCGTCTGGTGCCTCGAAGGTCTTCTTCCCCCATGGACTGGGTCATCATGTTGGACTCGAGGTTCATGATGTCTCCGAATCTTCCATCATGGCCATGCATCCAGATTTTGACCATGAACAATATGGCCCGGTTTTGAGTCCCTATAGTCTTTCACCATGTACAGTCTCAGCACCATTGTTGGAGGAGGGTATGGTGTTGACTGTAGAACCAGGTCTCTACTTCTCACCGCTTGCTCTCGCGAACGCGCGCAAACAGCCATTCGCAAAGTATATTGATTTTGACGTGGCAGCAAAATTTGTCCATATTGGCGGCGTGCGCATTGAGGATGATATTCTCGTGACAGCTAACGGATATGAAAATCTCACTACAGCGCCCAAAGGCGATGAGATGCTTGCAATTATCCGTGGGTCTTCGTAGAACCTGAGCAAATATACATACTACTAGTATCCTTCATTCATAGATAAACATTTCATACTTCACACCCTTTCGGGCCGTTTCTAGTTTCCGTGATTGGTCCTTCAGAGCTCCAACGCTGGCAGTTTAGATCGCATGCCGTACAACTTATCGTAGTTCTAGGAATAACCCAATCCCTTGTGGCTAACCGTGCCCATTTGATTATGCCTGATCAATCAAGGCTGATTTCAATTTTCTGTCGCTGAAGTCGTAGGAAAACTATGTATGTAGCGCCTCCACATCGGAATGGCCTGACTCTTTTCCTTGTCCCTCTTGGCAGCCAATTTCTTCGACAATTTCCGCGGTGGTCCTTTCGGCTTCGCCGCTGGGAAAAGTCGATAAAATATGGGCTCCAACCACAGTGGAAGATGGATATTTCTTCTTTCAATGCTGCTCCTACATGGCTCAATTTCTTCAGCGATCAACTTGCCACGGCGTCGAAAATTGGTTTCCCGTATCACACGCCAATCACTGGAAAACAAGTGAGCTATATCTACCAGGTCTTTTCGAACATGAGCACCTATGATTTTGATATTAAGATCCTTGAGAAGAGGTGAACTTTTTGACTTCGTGTCCAAGATGGCTTGAAAAATCTCACAAGCAAGTCTCTCATCCATGACAGCATCAACTATCATCTTCTGCACATGACCATTTCGAAGCCGGAAAAACTCGTCAGATGCTCCTTCGCAAAATTGATTTTCGAATTCGTCAAATGAAGGATAGCTGGGCAACTCATGATGCTTAGAGCCGGGTCTTTGTGTTCCTGTCGATGAGGTGATCTCCTCTCTAGGGATCGTAGGCAGCCCCATAAACCCGACTTCATAAGTGAGGACAAGGTATTTGAGATTTCGTATTGACCCTAGAGCTGCGTATATCTTGGCTTTCTCGGCATGACTTTGTGCGCCGTCAATCGTAACCTCAAGGTCCTCTAGCAATGGGCACTTTCGACTGATTTGACGAATTTGATGTTCGCTCAAAGTCTGCCAAGTTGCGGGCTTTATGAGCTTAAACTTGCGCAAGCGGGGCCCATGGACGCCGATAAGAGACTCGATGCCGATGCGCAAGTGCCAACCGGTTACTTCAAGTTCAGTTAAAGGTGGCAAGCTTCGCAGGAATTTACTTGCGTCGTCATAAAACTCCTCTGATCGAGATCCAGCAATGTTCAGATGGAGAGTCTTCAGAGATGGAAACAAAAATTCCATCTGATTCCAAACCTTGAATGCCGCATCATTCAATCGGCCATTGATAATAAGGGTCTGCAGGGTAGAGAAATCCGTACAATAGCTCCATTCACAGAGGCGTCTTCCATCAAATTTCCAAGTGCCTTCGAAACGAAGATCCACCAATGACGCGGTGCCTGACTGGAAATTGTTTGGACCCAAGGCCGGCCCCTCGAAGCTGGGACATCTTCTCATTCGAACCTTTTTGAGATTGGGAGCAAGTCCTGCCAAACGCAAAATGCTATTGTAGCATTCGTCGCCACCACTGACTTTGAACGAGTGAATAGATGGAGATGTGATAAATGCGAGATCTTCTGAATCTTTTGATGGATTCAGACTGCAAATGTGGAATTGCCCATCCATATTGAGGCGACACTGTGGCTGATTTTGGCGTAGAGCTTTAACAATGCACGGTGGAACACGAGTATTCCGATTCCATATCAGATCTGTCAATCTGGGAAGCAATTTTATTAATTTCACCACTGATTTGTAGGCACGGAGGTCCGGTTCACTGCGAGGATTATTCCAACTATGGTAGGAATTCCTTCCTATATCGAAACATTCTTTCGATTCTCCAAACTGTGTCGTATACGCATCTGCAGGTTTATTGCATCGCAGTTCGGACATTCGAGGTGGCTTCCAATCATGCACTTCACCATAATAGCTCGGGTTTCTAATAATAAGCTGGCGAACGTAATGGAGACCATCCTCAGCTTTGAGTCGTTCAATCAGGCGACTCGCAACTTCTTCGACTTCTTTTTTTGAAGGGGATACCATCAGACTGATATCGTGGAACTTTATGGATTTGATAGCTGGGCGACAGCATGCGTAATATGTTCTGCTAGCCTTTGCGAAATTCAAAAGTGTCGGAGGATGTTCAAAGGTCAAATACCCAATAATGATCTCCACCACTTCGGGTGGAAGGTAGAGGGAAGTTCTTCGCGGCATTTTCTCGTTGTTATTTTCCAAACGAATAAATGCACATGTTTTAAATAAGTAAAATTGGTTGTTCCTGGGGCTGTGCGACTCAAGAGAAGACCCTGTTACGAGCCGGGGTGACTCACGAGGTCTCAGAGGTCCGCTCTTGGCAGTGCTACATAGTAGAATGTGATCCAATCATTGTTCGAGATGAACCTCGTTAGTAGAAAGTGATGGGTGGGGGCCAAATGGGGCGGCGTTGGGGAGGTACTACACTGTAGAATGTAAATGGAGTGAAAAACATGGGGAAAAGCTTTCAAGGATTTCAAAGAGACTTGAGAAGACTTCAAGTTGAGGATACTGCTTTCACAGTCGCCGAAACAGTGGAGCGATCTGGTGTTCAAGTTGCTATTAGGTTGTAGAACTGTAACCATGAAGTCCTAGAGGCTTCTGGTTATTCTTTTTATTCAAGTTTGATTCTAAACCTTCAAGTTGGAATAGTAGTACTGGTAGTTGCTCCAAGGTTTCAAATATTTAATCTGATATTGTCTCGAGGTCTACTATAAACATACTAACTATCGGTGCCGGTGGTCACGGATACTAACTATCGAATTCCAAGGTTTCGATCGAAATGTTCAAGCCCGGGCGTTCCAAGGCCACATCACCCAATCTTCTTTGAAGTTACAAAATAGTATATAATAGCAGTCCTGGACTCCATCGGTGTGTTTTAACTGCCCAGCTGATGGTAGAAAAAAACTTTCAGATACTACTATCGAATAAAATTCATCTATGTGCTATATTTACATTTTGTCTCTGGGCGGGCAAGCGTTGACTGTAAGTCTCATTAAGTGTTGTGTAACAACCCAGTCACTGTGTGGTGCTCTAACCTTGGAATAACAACAAACTTAGTGTGAGCTTTGAAAGGAGCCTATTTACTACTAGTACACGATGTAATACAACAACAATGTAGTGGCATTCAACGAGAATACTAAGCGTGCCAGTAAAGAAGGGCTCCTCGGAGAAGGGAAAGTGGGTATCGAGATCTAGAAATAGATGAACTTGTTTTAAGGCCCAACCTTATTTAGGATACTAAGTTTCACGATTTGGAATGTGAAGTTTCCAGTTGGGAAATATCCCATCATTCAAACAGTATATCCCTCTTGAAGAACCAACAATTGCTATTCCTTAATTATACTATATTACCGAATACCATCACACGGAGTTAAGATAACTAGTTGCCGACTTTAAAATCCAATCTAGACGACTTATTGCCCGCGTGTACGAGTACTGCGATTCATAGGGAGGCGACTTTCGTATTGGCCTGGGCATGACGACGTTGACCCACTGATCATCAGCGATTTTTGCATGAAACGTCAACATCTCGGGTTCGGCTTCGTATTCGTATTTAACCCTAAATAAGATAGGACCGGCCAAGGTAGAAGCGGGTGAAATCCATAAAACCCCTTCACCAGACAGCTAAAAGTAAACCTATTGAGTTATGCACATGCGCCGGCTGAGGGACTGGCCGAGGCATCAATTAGTTCAAATATTTGCAATTCCCCGCAACGTGGTTAGTTTTGGAAATATCCAGCCTACAACATTCCAGCCACCGGACCACGCCACGCTTTTCGTCAACTAGAAGCTTCTGCATTAGTCAGACCAACACTCTCCGATCCAATGAGTCAACCAAAAGATGTGGAGGCTGATTTAGTCTTCTGGAGGCGGCTCGAGAGCCAGAGGATGGAGGTGGATTTCACGAAGATGGCGCCGGAGAAGTGCATGGCAGCGATGATCGAGCCCGACGATGTCCGGACCGTGCATATACAGGACATTCGGGGAAAAGAAACACAGTATAATCTAAAACTGAACGGGTTTCAGTATGTGTGGCATGACATGCCAGAGCTCGACGGCGTGGCAGAGCAGAGCCATGTGGAGAATGTCGTTGTTCCAAAAACAGAGGCCCTCGTGCGGCAGATGTGAGTGAGAGAGAGAGAGAAAGAGAGAGAGAGCCTGGAATGCACGTCCGGAATGAATGTGCCTTCTAATTTCGCCAGGAGCGGGAATTGTCGCTGATCATTTGGTCCAGAACGGGCGCCACGCGAACTGTCACTTTCGCCCATCGCGTGCGATGCCTCAGTGAGGACGAGGCCATGCTCGCCAATAACCGGGCCCCGGCCCATAGTGTGCATTCCGACTTCACGCCCGCGGGTGCGCTGAAGAATTTGGAGTCGGTGGTTCCAGATGTAGCTGAGAGAGAGGAGCTATTGAAGCGTCGGATTTTGGCCATTAATGTCTGGCGACCGTTGAAGACTGTCCAGCGAGATCCTCTAGCCGTATGTGACTGGGCCACGCTCAATTGGCAGGAGGACCGAGTTACGAATCGTATGGTCCTGCCACATGGATGGCATGAGCTGGGCAAGTATGCGTTCCGGGAGAGTCAGGGATGGTATTATCTTAGCGAGCAGCAACCCCAGGAGGCATTGATCTTCACGCAGTTCGATAGCGAGAGCGAGCAGGCAGATGAAGGAGGCATGACATTGCCTCACACGGCGTTCGTGGTACCAGGCACCGAGACGCTCCCTGCAAGGGAGAGTATTGAGATCAAGATGTTTGCCTTTCTCTGATGGGGACCTCTTGGACACGCGTGGGTCGGTTTCATTTCAAGAATGGGAGCGGTCAATAGCGGAATGGATGGGGTACACATAATACATAATGGAGCTCCAGCAGGTTTCAGGAATGCTCCAGTGAGGAGGGTAGGGCTACGTAGCGTGGTCCACATTAGGAGGTTGCTTTGGGCATCGATGAGCGTTGAATTTTTGTTCGCCGGAGCTGTCTGCACAAAGTCCTCAGCAGGAGAGTAAGCAGGCTCGGAGTTGTTTTCTAAGTCTAAGCCCAAGCCTACCTTAAGGCCGGAACACGAAATGGAGATCGGGGTTAGCGTTGGTAGATTTTTCAGCAAGAGTCATAAGCAGCCCAGCGTATGTAGCTCGGAGCCTGGCGAGTGTCTCCGAATCTGGTCAATGCTTTTTAATCAGAATTTTCAAATTTCAAATTTCAAATTACAAATTCATGTTTAGGGGAATGCCGGGAGCGATAGTGGCTTTGCGTTGCCTGATGCGATCTCCGTTCGGTCCGCACGGCACTGGCCGGCATCGGCGAGAGAGAAGAGAAAGGCAGAGCTGTCAGTCCAGACGATCTTGGCACGTCATCCCTGGATTGGGCTTTTTTCTTTGATCTTCTTTATTCGTACGTGGTTTCAGGCATTCCAGTGCCAGGTCGCACAGATAAAATAAAAATAAAAAACCTTGCAAATGGCGTGAGGTATCACCTCATTAAGTTTTGGCCATACATACATAGAAATGTCGATTGCGCCAAAAAGCTCAACCAGTTAAAATTGCATCACGCGAATGGGCTGAGGACTGACGCAGCACATCACGCCTTTCCCAGGCCTAGCGCCAGGGTTTGGCGCCATTTTTTAAGGCATGAGATGATCGACTTTTCGGGGGTTCCACTCCCGAGAAGAGTGGGTCGGCACTCCTTTGACTCACTTTCTCCCCTGTACTCCATAGTCTATCTCCGTATAAAACCTCCCCACCCCTGCAACACATCCTGTGGTTTTTTTTTTCTCAGTACCTCATCTCGTCCTTTCTAGGAGGTGATGGTCGCTCCCCTCCAAAAGTTCTTTTCTCTTTTCTTTTTCCTTGATACCCGGCTGGGGAAAGCTTCTATCCCTTGTATATTTGGATCTCCCGCTATTTTTGCCTGAGAATGGGCCAGAGGCATAATCGACGCCGAACTCGACCACGTTATCGCAATCAATCCAGTGACCGTCACGGCATTTCCGCCTCCACGTGTCTTCAGCCACTGGATTCGCCTTCGTTGGTCCCATCGTCCACTTGGACCTCGCCATCGCCATCTATATCCTCTGAATCACCTCCCACCAACTATACCATCCCCGCATGCATTTCACCTGGATCGCCGGTCCCCGCAAACCTCGCCCCAACCTGGCACTATGGGTATACGGCCTGGCAGATCCGTGATAATGTCCCACGGGCGAACGGAGGGCTGGAAGCCGAACAGTGTCGTCTGTTCGGCGGTGAGCCAGGCGACGATGTGAGCCTCTGCTATCGGATGCTTGAGTATTTCGGCGGCCTTGACTATATCGACTCGTAAGTATCCGGTTACCAGTCAAATTGGAATATCGAATATGTTTCTGACTTATACGCCGCAGCACACGCAACAGCACTCTTGGAGATTGATCGCTGAACTCACTTCCGCTGGATCGATGATCCTGTCGGGCCATTTTCCCAGCTCCAAAACAAAAAAAAGAAATATCTTTACTCGATGCGATGATTTATGATTTTTCATCTACGAAAACAAAAATACCGCCGAAATATTGGCCCAAAGGAAACACTTTCTGCCCACGAAGCAAAGCAAAGTGTACTCCTGCCAACCACCGCGCGCCTACAGCCACAAAATCCGGCTGACGCGACACCAAGAACACCTGATCCCATGGACTCTTGCGGGTCTCCCGACTTGTAGCAATGAAGATACTACTTCTCTTCGAGGGTATTGGATTGGTCCTCTCCGACCCGGCCATGTGGATCCTGGTTTGCGATTTGCGCCCTTTTGAGGATGAGTCACAGCCGTTCCCGCTTGGACTCTATCGGTTGAATTCGTGTCCGACTGAGCAATCAGTTGTTGACACTTGAGTTCCTGGTTGAGTCTAGCGAGGTAGCGTGACACATATCTAAGCACGCCGATCTGTTCTATTTGTCACCTGCACCGGTTGGTTCCAGGCCGCCGCATAAAGTGGATATCGCCGGAAAATATATGATTCTGAGGGGAGAATACCTGGTCTTTGCTGTAAACCTCAGTAGCCTGTATATACCGTTAGCTCTCAGACACGTGAACAATTTTTATCAACATTCAAATATTTCAATACTAGTAGTAGTTTGGTAGTAGTAGCAATAGTACTCATAGTTGTTCCACTGTAGATTTAGTTTCAGGTTACTCTCATAGCAATATATCGGTCTGCGATAGCTGTTTCTTCGGGCCGGGGCACAAACATAAGGATACTTGTCCATGGATTTAGAATCGTCAGAGTTGCCCATCTCTAGCAGGATCAATAATTCGAGTCCACTAACGTCGTACTAGTAGTAAGAACTACACATATCCGATATTCAGGGTCAACTCTGCAGGGGCTCCACTGCCCACCGCCCACCACCCCGCTCACCGCCCCCACAAACTGCCGTCCCTGGTTCACGTGAACCCAAGAGGACACGGTCGTCACCAGATCAGGAAGCTTTGTGGATGCTCCCTTTCATCACTCTTTTGGTTTCTTCCGCTATGCACTCGCTCCCCATGGTTTAAGCTCTCCTTTCTTTGCACATCAATTCACGTCGGCACTTGTTCGATTGCTCTCGAACCCTGCACTTTACGATCTTTAAAATCCCGCGGCGGCACCCGCTGTCGCCCTAATCTTGCCGCAAGATGTCATCAGACTACACCTATGATGAACAGGTCAGGCAATCAACCTCTGCTGTGATGTCGTGATCCTTGAAAACGTACTGACTGTGGATTTTTGCGATTCTGCAGGGACAATTCTTCCCCTTCTTCATCCTGACCTTGAGTGGCCTGGTCACCCTCCCTTTAACCTATAACCTCCTCCGCCCCAGCAAAGGTACGTCGATGGAACATTTCGTCTCGGTATATTCCAGAAATATGCTCCGTTGCTAAAATTGCATTCTCCATATAGACCTTGAAAACACCGCACCCCGCATTAAATCAGACTTCAAACCACAACATGCCGACCTCGTCGAGGCACAAAAGCGCAAGCGTCTGCGGAAAGAGCGCCGAATTAAGCGCATCATTACTGTTATTGTCGGATATATCGTGATGGCGTGGATGGCTTATTTGATCCTGGTTACGGCCAGGACAACCACGAAGTTGTACGATCCGTATGATATTTTGGGTGTTTCGCGGGTATGTTTTGAGGCCCCCCCCGGCGCATCCACTGAGGACAGATTCCATAGAAAATCTTCATTGCTAACAAAACCTCGTGATATAGAGCGCGGACGAGAAAGCCATCTCCCGCCACTATAAGCGCCTCTCCCTGATATACCACCCTGACAAGATCCGCCCCGACCCCGCCAAAAATGAGACTATCGAAATGCTCAACGAGCGCTTCGTCGAACTCACCAAGGCCTACAAGGCCCTGACCGATGAGGAAATTCGCAACAACTACCTTCAATTTGGCCACCCCGACGGCAAGCAGAGCTTTAGCATTGGCATTGCTCTTCCTAAACTCATTGTGATGGAGGGTAACGGCAAGTATGTGCTCTTGGTCTACGGAGCTCTACTGGGAGTTCTGCTGCCATATATTGTTGGAAAGTGGTGGTACGGCTCTCAGCGCTACACCAAGGAGCGTGTTCTCGTCGCTAGTGCTGGAAACATCTTCCGCGAGTTCAAGGATGACATCACGGACGGTGGCATTGTCGGTGCCCTGTCTTCTGGTGAAGAGTTCAAGGATATGCTGAGGGGTGCTCAGGCCGAGACTGGCCTGGCCAAGTTGGAGACAAAGGTTTTGGCTGAAAACTCTTCGCTTTCGGCTCAGGACCGTGAGACAATCAAGAAATTGGACGACTCGGCTCGCCGAAAGGCGCTTGCTTTGTTGTGGGCCTATCTCGAAAGAATCGACCTGGGCGATGCCTCGCTTGACTCGGGTAAGTTTCTAGCAACATGTCTAACCTGTTGAATCGTAATGCTAATGAGTGGTGGACATACAGAAAAATACGAAGCAGCTCCCATTGCTCTCTCTTTGGGTGAGGCATTCACTGCTATCTCGTTGGCATTCGGCAATCTTCGACCTATCCTTGGTGGTTTCCAGACCTCTCAGAACCTGATTCAGGCGGTGCCCCCCAGCGCCTCCCCGCTCTTGCAACTTCCCAACTTCACTGACGCTGTGGTCAAGGCCGTGGAGGGAGAACACTCCAAGAACCATTTGAATGTTCAAAGCTTCATGAAGATCCCCGAAGTCGAACGACGCAAACTCACTGTCGGTACCGGTCTCCTGTCCGAGAAGCAATATATCGATGCCATCTCGGTTGCACAACAATTACCCGCTCTGGAAGTTTCCAAGGCATTTTTCAAGGTCATGGGAGAGAAGGTTATCACGCCCAGCAGTCTGGTACAACTGGTCGTGAAGGCACGGTTCGTTCCTCCGGGATGCACAGATGTGCCTCCCGTAAATGAGCTGGATCTTGAGGACGTTGACCCAGACGAGGATGATCTGGATGCGCTGATGGGCCGCAAGCCGGCCAAGAACCGCGCTACTAAACTCGTGGACGGCAAGAAGGTTGAGAACAAGGTTGAGACCATCCAACCGCCTCTGGCCCACGCCCCCTACTTTGCCCGTGATCACTCCCCCCGCTGGCACATCTTCCTCGCCGATGCCAAGCAAGGCAAGATGGCCGTTCCTCCCTTCACTTTCACCACCTTCGACAAGCCCATCCTTGATGAGGCCGGCAAGCCCACCTTCAACATGCAAACTCTCAAGATGCAATTCCAAGCCCCACCACAGGTCGGTGACTTCAACTTTGTCATGAACATGGTCTGTGACAGCTATATGGGTCTCGATACCAAGCTGGAAGTGACTCTGCACATCGACGATCCCGCCAAGGCGGCAGCCTTGGAAGAGGACGACGACATCAGCGAACCGGATGAGGGTAAGTTCTGACCCGCTGCAGGCGACGTTCTTCAAGACCGAACTTAAACACTAATATTCTCCTCCTAGACTCGATTGCCGGCCAGATGCACGCGCTCAAGACCGGCCAAGCCCCGAAGAAGAAGACCAAGAAGGCTTCCGACGACTCCAGCGACGAGAGTGACACTGATGGTGACGCAGGCGATACCAGCGACACCAACACGGAAACGGAGGATGAGGATTGATCGCATTTGACTTGCATTGATTGCTGGATTGCACCGGGGACTTGTGCGACCTTGAACTGAATTGATTCCCCAGGTTACCGGTTCTCGCCTGCGTTCTTCAATACTTTTTCTTTTCTTTTTCAACGTCATATTTATTTTTGTATCTCTTCATTTTCCATTTCCGCTTCATCGGGTATCTTTTGGGGGTGTTTTTGTTCCTATGGTTGCTTCCTTCCATTTCTTTTCCTTTTTTCCATTTCGTCCATGGGATTCCTCCCATTCTGTATGTTCATCTATCGCATCCGTCAAGTGGCGGAAATAGACATGGGAATACACAAAACAAAAACAAACCTCTACCATCTTGTACTGCGCGATCAAACATAACCATTGACCTCCTTGTAGCTCGGGCCCTGGGTTCTGAGTTATACGCCAGGCTCGTGTGGCGCATAGAATCTCTGCGCAGAGTGTGCAACTTCGTCGCCTTCACCTTGCCTTTCAAGGGTGTGTATTGCCTGTACCTTTTTATGGGATGGATCGGTTGGCATCGGGGTAAATTCCGGCTATTCTAGCCATGATTGATTGTAAGTTTGCACGAGCCTCCCTAGTCTGTACCGGCTTTGGATTTTAAGTACCCTGCGACAGACCAGAATTTAAACCGTCTTGTCTGAGCCCGGAATCAATCTCGGGTGAAGAGAAAGTATAGAAAAAGTATAGGGTCCAAGGTTCTGATCATTAGACCTGAAATGGCTTTTCTCTGAATACATGATTTTGTGAGGTCTAAATGACAAAGCGAAAAGTGAATCATTTTCTTTCGCCGATACATTATTATCCTAAACGCCGTTTCCGTATAAGTAAGACACGCATTTATAAACTCAACTTGAAGTCTTCCTGATATATACCAGGAGAGGCATAGACAAAGAGTTCCTAAATTAATGGGACTGGGATGTGTCTTGGATCTCAAGCTAGAGTTGGGATGAGAATTGGGGAAATGAAAAGAGAAAAAAGGAAAAAGCTGCTTGGGTGGGTATGAAAGCCGGAAGGGGGTAGAGGATAGATGTAGTTGGGGGTTGGAGATTTGCGAATAAGAAAGCATAAGCCATGGCTCAATCGCCAGATGTAACTCAACTTCTGTCTGGTAGATAACTCCTTGTAAATTCGCGACATATAGGGCTCCAAACTCCGACGTAAGAAGAGATGGGGAGATAGAATAAACCAAGAAGATCACGACGTTTCCCTCTCGCACCACAATTTCAATTGCAACTCGCAGGGGGGAAGAAAGAAAAATCTTGGAGAATATAGGAAACCAAGAAGGTAATAAGAGAGATCCCCCAGAGTATTGCAGTATCAATAAGAAGTGAAAGAGGTTCGAATGCTGCCCAGCAGCCTGGTCCAAAGATGATGCAGCGAACGAAAGGGGTTGGTCTCAGTATTCTTCGAGTTTACCTGACGGAAATGCCCAGCCTGGAGTGAAACCAGAATAGAAGTTGGGATTTTGAGCCTGGTATTGGAAATCACTCAGCATATCACTGGGCAGATTCCCCATCTGGTGGGGATGTGTCTCAGGCATGACCCCGGAATGTAGTCTAACCGCAGGCTTGACGTCGGGTTGGCTATCTACCGAATTGCAAGTTCCATCAAGAAAGTATCCAAACGAGGGGTCGTGAGAATGGGGATTTGGAGCGGATGATGAGCCTGCGACATGAACGTGAGGTGGAATATCGCTAGAACCAAGATCCGTTCCGGTAATCGAGGATCTTTGCATAGCTATCATATCCTGATATCCACTTTCAGAATAGTTATAATTTGTTGAAGTGACGGTCTGAAGATCCCATTGCGGTTGCCATCTGATATTGCTTCTTCCCGTGATGGGAGTCGGGATTGAGCTGCAGACGGACGGGCGTGATAGCGCTGTTGGTGAGGGATCCGGGGGAGTAGCCGGCTCTGGTGATGGCTCTGCAGTGGCGCTGCACTCCGTTGATGTGGATAGCAGTCGTAGATATCTCAAATCTTCTGTGTCCTCGTCTATTTCGTCCGCATCCTCCTCGGCCTGCTTGATCAACCCTAGCCGGTCAAGAATGGCATGTGTGAGAGGGTAGCCATCCGGTGCTTCTGCAAGAGGCTCGCCTGGAAAACTCTCGTTATTGATGCAGGACTTATATAGTTTCTGTAACGCCTTGACAACCAAGGAATGGTGTGATTCAAGCATTTCGACGAATCTACGTTTATCAATGGTCCTTGTTAGTTTGCGATGTTCCAAAATACATGCATGGGCCGATATAGAAAAATATGAGCTTACCCTCGAGAGTAGACCTTTGTCTGGGTCGCCTTCCTCTCACGGAAAAGGCATGGATGGTTATACACTGAACAGCGATTGCAGGGCTGTTTTCCATCGCACTAAGACGAAGGGTTCAGAAATTGTTAATTCAACGAGAGAAAAGTCGAATCAAACACACTTTGGTTTTCTTCACACGGCATCGATCGCACGCCTTGAGGACATGCTTCCGCTTGACCCGGAAGACGCGCTGATCCCGTTTATCCTCGCTCGCTCGTGAACGATGTTCCAACTCCGAAAAAGAGGCAACCGCAAAGTCGTCGATAGTGTGAGGGAATCCCTTGGGACGAAGCTTTGGTTGCCACGACATAGTTACGCGCGTGCAAGTACCAGAGGCACCAAGCAGAAGCAACGAGGTGAGGGTACGGGAAGTGACAGAGAGACCTGGAGAGGAAGAAAGAAGAAGAAAAAGATTGTCAAGAGCAAAAGCAAAATATCAGATAGTGCCGGGTGTAGAAAGGTTGAGAAGCTCGTTCTGACCTGCAGGAGAATGGAGCAGGCGGGGTGGGTGATATGGAACCCCGAGGGCTTCAGCCGCCAGTATATTGGAGTATGTATAATTGATATCATGATTATTCAGGGCGTAGTGCAAGAAATGCCGGGGTCAAATTTCCTCTCCCCCCTCCCTCTCCTCACCCGCCTCGTCTAGTTTCTCCTACCGCTCTGTCTAGGGCCCTGCAGCATAAGATGATCATGCCCCCACGACTGGGGGGAAAGTATAGATACCGGAGTGTGACGTGGAGCGGTCTGTCAGAAAGACAACCGGGGTGCGGCCGTTCGATGTCTCACGACGTCCTGTGGCTGTGGGAGGTACGACGCAGGGATTCCCGCGCGTCAACGAGTGGAACCGAGATTCGGAGCAATCCTTTCCAGCTTTCTCATCCGAGAGCGGAATACGGATATAGAGAAAGAGAGGCAAAGAGAGGACACGCACGTACCCACCGCACTAAAAGATGAGCACGGTCCGAGCCGCCTGGTGGATCGAGAGAAGAATCCCGGTCGTTTGGAAGGATTTGGTGGGCAATCGCGATGGCGTAATGTCCTTGTCACACCGTGAGGGCTAGGATAAACACGTGCGATCAAAGCGGCTAAAGAGAAGTCACTTATGGGGAAATCAATCTTGTTGGTCGCGAGTCAGGCTGCGAGTCACTGGTCGATGCGCTGACTGCGCCGAGGTCCATGCGGTGCCATCACCAGTAGTACCCATTGCCCATGGCTAGTGACAGTGGCAGTGACAATGATGGTGGAGTCAATATCACCTGATAATGGATATCCTTGCAGTCAATGCACCGAAACGTGGTACGGCGTGATATGTTCTTGGCCATGGGTGATCCCGGGGGGGTGTCAGAGTGACGGGGGGTTGTCATTCGGTCTGCAGGAGTGGGAAAGGTAATTGCCCTAGGGAGATAGATTGCAGGTATTGAAAGTACCTCCATATGTATTATTGAGCACTGCGAGAAAGCAGAGAGAGGGGTATACCCATTCCCATTCTCTTAACCATTTCTCGGGATGTCTCATGGTATAGAGATGATATGGATATCCATGATTCCCAGCTGAGGTGAGCAACCTCCAGAGCTTTCAGTCTCGCACCAACGGAAACACAGACGCAACAAGGCAGCAGAGCACAGTGCCAGTGCGCTAGACCAGATTCGAGCACAGGATCACTCAAGACGCAGCCCTAATCAGAACAGTTGATATGGATCTCAGGATCTTCCTCCTCGACAGAAAGGAGGAGCCCTAGGAGAGAGCTTCAAGTTGAGGAATGTATGGGCCGTGTATTTCCTGTGTGACAGAATCTATAGTACTTTGCTTTGTCTATTCCTTGGTAGAAGGCAGTTTTGTTGATTCCAACCCCCGCAAACATCGGGTAGTCAGAAGCCGGGTGGGTGGCGAGCTTCATGGAATTCCTGGAGAGATTCCGGTGGGGGTTGCCCAGAAACGATAACCCCCTGGTTGATCAAATCCAGAGGAAACAGGACTATTGATTGCGTGCAGCCTTGCGCCCTGTGAAGAAGTATACATACATACTGTACATACATACTCCATAGAAGCTGAAGGAAAGACAAACATAATAGGCATAGGCTGCAGTCTATAGCTAGTGTCCCGCAGGTCCAAATGAATTGGCAGCTTGGCAGATTGGCAAGGCGAGTGGACCACGAGGCCAGAGAACCGTATGTGCATGGCAGTGATTCTATCTAACGACCAGATCTCAATGACTCGAATTCCAATAGATCAATCTGCCCCCTCCCCCCCCACATTTTTCCCCTTCCCCTCCCCTTTTTGATGCCCAACCTGTCAGATTACCCCGAGTCAACGGTAGAAACCCTAAACTGCAGATTAGCAAGGTGATTCACCCTGCATCCGAGCCAATTTCACATCCAATAGGACTGTGTTCGTGATCAGCAGGACAATGCCATTTCCTTTCCAGGTCCGTCGACTCGTTCACCCGACCACTCCACCGCGAATGGCTGTTTGCCCCGTAGAGGCCCCCGATTATTTCCCTTTGCTTCCATTCACGCGGATTTGCGATCAGGGAGCACAATACTAGCTTCGCCCTTGGCAAGCAAATCAAAACTTTCTTCGCTGGTGGCCGTCATTGGACTTGATGCAGTTACCTCGGGGGTCGGCTTGTCTTCCTCGTTTGTGCCGTCTTCAGACTGACGCTCCCACCGGCGTTCGCCAACCCACTCGACGCCGTCACCGGCGCCGCTGATGCGCAGGCTGTGACGTTCACTCTCTCGCTCCATTAGAGGCAGAAGATCGCCTCGGTCAGGCGTCTCCGTCGCGTCGACTAGGGGCAAGTTGCGCTGATGCCATTCGCCGAGGAACATGCCCTCAGGATCAACCTCTCGCCGCACAGTCAGCCATTCGTCCATGTCTTCGCCGTAGCGGTCATGAAGCTCGCTGGAACCAAGGACGCTGAAGTTTTTCGCCCAGTGAGGTCGGGCGTCCATATCCCGCATAAGCCACTCGAAGGCTTCATAATATCGTTGTCGGCAGGGCGGGTCTCGGAGGTACGGCCGGTAGAGCGTTGCATTCAGGTAGAGCGTGGGTCCGTTGTGGCAGGTCGGGTCGAGGAAAGGACGTGGGTTCAGGTTATGCGTTGAATCTGACACTCGCACCTCAACGGGGCAATGCACCCACAGGCCTTTGGATGAGAACGGAATGCGAGCCGTCTTCATGTCACCATTCAGCCACGCCGACAGACGGGTAATGGCCTCGGGGCCGTCCTCAAGAGGCAGAGCCCACTCATTAACAAATTGCGAGTATAGACAGTTCATAAGCAGACCAGCGCGAGCAGGCTCGACTGCCTCGGTAACAGTTGACCCTGCTCGAAAGCCGTACTGCATCCCGAAGACAAGCCATTCCACCCACGGAAGAATGCGTGGGACATAAGATGATAGCGCGAGCAAGTTGTGATAGACATGATATCCAAACCAGTCGCCGTAAAAATTCTTTGGGGGTTCGCGCAATGGTTCGTCGGTCTTATCGGCATGCCAAACGATCGCGCCTTTCTCATATGGCAGCCACCAGACACGTACAAATTCGTGCGATGTCCACAAACCAACGGACCATTCGCTGAGAACCTGAGATAAAGAATAGCGTTCCTGCCGCCAGGCAATGTTGAATGACGGTCTGGCCTTGAAAGTCACCTCCACCACGATACCGAGAGCTCCTAGGGATACCAGTGCGGCGCGGAAAAGGGACGGGTTGTTGGTCGGGCTGCAGCGCACGAGCTGTCCATTTGCCAGGACCAGGCTGAGTGATTCGATGCACTCCGAGAGCAGACCGTGCCGTAGCGAGCTGCCATGGGTTCCCGTCGCGATGACACCAGCTATTGACTGACTATCGATGCTCCCCAGATTTGCCAGTGTCAATCCATATTCCTTCTCCAGTCGATCTCCGAGCTCGCTCAATCGAATACCTGCCTCGACGGTGACAGAGTGGGTTTCCACGTCGACGTGTAGAATGCGGTTGAAATCATCGAGGTTGACGAGCCAGGAGGAGGTGCATGTTAAATCGGAGGGAGAATGGCCACTACCGACGGTCACGAGGCGACGGCGGAGTCGGCGCGCAACAGTGACCAGTTGTTGAATTTCCGGAATCGATCGAGGGCGAATGTAGAGTTCCGGTCGGGAGAAAAAGGTTTTGGCCCAGGTGTGATGCAGATGGTCTGAGGTCGCGCGGAAATAGAGGTTGGAGTCGAACTTCTCCAGCTCCCTCCCCAGCTCACGAGCAATAGGGAGATGCTCTATTGACACAGGGACAGGATCTCGCGGCATTCTGTAAGGTTATCACATCCTCTGAGATAGGTGAGATAGGGTTAGGAGAAATCGGGAAGTAGTGGGGGGTGGACAGGGAGAGAGACGGGCACGCTAAAAAAAAAAAGTCGCGAGATTGGATGGCGACATCTAACGGAATGGATTCGGCCCACCACTTTACTTCTCCCCCACTTCCACTTTCCAAGGTTCTTTTCTTGTTATCTCATCCTTTGATCTTCTGCCTATACAGTACGGAGATATGGCTCAATTGTGTGACGGTGTTCGCTTAATAATTATATTTGGAGCCTGGCTCTGCAAGGTTCCAATTGACGTCTAAGCGGTCAAGCGATGGGCCGAGGCCCGCTGATCGGAGGTAGGCAGCCCCGGGGGCCGGCATCTCCGATGTCCCGTGGACTGATGATGATGATGACAATGATAAGGGATATATGCGCAAATAAATCAATGTTAGTTGCTACAGAAAGTGTATTCGTTCTGACAGGTCTCAAATTGCTCAGCAAACTAAGCTCTGGAGCCCCTTGTGACTTTTATACTAGCCCTGGAGTCAAAGGAGAAAATACTAGTAGCAGTGAAGTGATTGGATATTTCTGTACACAGATGGTGACAGTGCACATAGTCGAGACGAAAATAAATCAGGTTCTAGATGTACATCCCAGACGCTCCCGCCAATGCTCCTCTAGAGCACAGTCCACCAAAGAAAAGACTCCTTCCACGAATGCCCTCTTTACCGACCGAAATATGCACAAAGTGGGAAAAAATAGAGAAGATGAACACAGAAAAGAAGAAGAAATAAACATAAATCAACAGAAGATGCGGGAAGCTGAAGAGTCCCCCCCCACAACCGGCATCAAACACACCTACGCTCTATCTGGAGATCGAAGAGCCTCGATCGCCACGTCCAAAGGGAACACACAGGGAGCATGAAGAGAATGCTGATTCCATTTGCGGAAGGCACTTTGACAACGATCTGGCGCACCGCCCAGTGAAATAAAGCTCTTCGGAATGAATGGTCGATCCTGAAGGGATGCGGCTAGGATGCCGTACTCGTGCGCGAAAACAACTGCAGAGGCGAAGTCGGCCGACTTCTGAGACGCATGGTCACCCACGATCCTATAAGGGGTATATTAGTGTTTGGATCCACTTGATTTCTTTCGCATGGAGGCAACTTACACATAGATCTCAAAGAAAGTATCAAGAACGAAGACATCTCGCTCAATAATATCCTTGTAGCAGAAAGGTTCGATCTCTCGCACTGTATCGTTTGGCCGAACAACAGGTGAGCTCGAACCTGGACGGCGCATCCAAAAACGAGGCGGTTGGCCCATTTCATGGTCCACCTTGAGAAGACGAGTGCGGAAGTGATCGTATTTAGGCTTAAGTTGCCAGTACTCTGATGTCATCAGCGGGTTCGGCTCGTTGGAGCCTGCGAAATCATCGAAGAAGCTCTCCGGCTCCTGGCCTTCATCGACCTCCTCGAATTCGCCTGTCAGGCCAAGGTCCATGCTGATCAGACGTGCAGCACCGGTTTCTTCGGGACTGCTTCCCTTGCCCTTCCACAGATATAACTTGCCAAAGGGGGCTGAAATGACGAATGGGAAGCCGGAGCAGAGATTGCGCAGCGAATAGTCGACCTCGTCGAATGCCATTTGGCCCAGATGCTTCCGGCCACAGAGCATATACAGAGCTGACGAGTTGGATCGAGAACTAGACCCACGGCGGGTGATGATGATCCCTCCGAGGGCTTGTATGAATCGCATGGGCTCTCTGCCCTGACGAATGACCTCGAGTTTGCAGCCATTTTCGCGGGCGATTTTGCGAGCAAAAAGTTGCGCATCATCCTGTGCACCTTCCGGAACATCGTCTCCACACCAGAGATATACTTCCGAGTTCTTGTTGTTCTGCGCTTCGAACAGATGTACACATAAATACATGCTTCCCTCGTACAGCACATACTCCTGGTTGACTGGCAGTTCTTGCCGCTTTCCATCGCCGGTGAGTTCCCAGATTTGACGCTTCATGGTTCTGACCACTGAAGAGTCGGCCTTTTCCATCAACATAAGCTGTGGATCGATATCCATTCGGTCTCGGGGGTTAGGAAATGTCTTAAAGAATTGCTTAATGATCTCGCGGGCATCCGCCGCTTGCGCAACCAAGGACGGCGCGGACATCTTTCGTGATAATCGATGCGGATCAGAAGGCTTGTCGAGAGATATGTCGGACCGCTTGCGAGGGACTGGAAGAGAATACTGCTCACTAGATCTGGGCGAAGAATCTGCAACCGTTACCCCGGGTATGTTCTTGTGAGTTGGTGTTGGCGGCTGCGGCTTTTCCATTCGGTTCTCACCATAGCTCGTCCTAAGAGGTGATGGGGAGGTCGAAGCATAGCGCGCTTGTTGGGCCCACTGTGGCCTTGGTGCGGGTGTTGATGGCGATGGGGAAGGTGAGGGTGATGTGATATGCTTTGGCGGGACGGGGGGCCGACCGAGTGGGCTTACAGCTCCAGGCGATTCCATATTTCGAGTGAGGGTTGCGTTCTCTTTTTCACTAGGGGTAAAGATGTCGGGCCCTCCCGTGGAAACGGGAGACGGGGGAGTGTTCTTCAGCCTCTGTTGCAGTCCGCTGTTGAGAGCATTCTGGAAGCTGGAAGCTACGGCTGGTAGGGGCTTGTCGAGGGGGCTGTCTGTTCGGGCGTTTTCAGTATTGAGAACGAAGGTGTTTTCTGACAGGCTCTTCGACGTGGCTTCTGAGACTACAGGCTCAGGAGCGGTCTCTGGGCTTGTGACTTCGGGAGACGAAATTGCACCAACCTCCTTAGTGTCCTGAGTGAATAATTCAGGCAGAGCAGCGGTCCCCTTGGGTAGCCGTCTTTTAGGACCTCTAGCGCGACTTTTCGTCATATGGGCGAGAGGCGTGGACGGTGAAGTTGACGTTTCACTTGAATTTGAGACAGATACCGACTCCTTCTTCGGCTCCTCAGTCACGACTGGAGAGCCCCGGGATAGGAGAGCAGCTAGGGCTGGGTTGATACGGCCTGCGAGTTTCCCTTTAGGAGCTGAACTGGGAGACGAACTGACTGTCGGTGTAGCCTCTGTGTTTTTCAGAGAAGGCAGGCCACGAGCCGGGCTAGTTGCCTCTGCAGAGGGCACATCATCCGCCTCCACAACAGACCTAGACTCTTCCGTCGTAGAATCTTGAGCTACTGGTGTTGAAATAGCATGCGGCTCCCTATCAATTGTCATGGACTCGCGTTTGGTTGGCGAAGGGATTTGTACCGCGTCGACCTCTCCTGCAGTAGAAGATGGAGATACAGGCGGCAGGGAAACCGGAGAGGTCGCTGAAGAACCAGTCCGCTCACGAGACGCGGCAAAGCTCTTTTCAGGACTGGTTGGTCTGATGCTATTGGTCCTGTTCATCAGATGGCGCTTTGCAATGGCCTCTGGCACATCGGCAGCAGGTTTCTCAGGCTCATCATCTTTTCCCACGGTATTCCGTCTGATCGATCCCCCTCCAGCCTTCATCGCTTCCTTTTGCTTCACAAGACTGTCTTTGAACTCATCAACCCGTTCGGTTCTTTTGGGTCCACCGGTCACGTTAAGAGCAGCCTTGCCCCGCATAATGTTGCCCTTGAGTTCATCCGGAGCAACATAGTTGCGAGTTTCGGTCTTCTTAAGCTTGCCAAATACGTTCTTGAACTCTGGCTCCTTCTGTGACCCAGTGTCTTTGGCGACTTCTCGTTTTCGTAAGTTTGCTCGGAAATCAACAGCTGGTGATTGCGGCGGCTTGGCAAGTCGAGGTGACATTGGATCTCGCGAAGGAAGTGAAAAGTTGGGCTTGGGATTCAAAGTGAGGGGCGCTGCCTTGCGAGTTGGCTGGGGTTCGAGTGTAGGTTCTGGAGCTGGGGCTGGTTCAGCTGCTGGTTCGGGCGCTAGTTCAGGTACAGCTTCGGGGGCAGTTTCAAGAGCAGGCTCAGGTACAAAGCTAGGTTCAGGTTCAGGTTGCGATTTGGGCTCGGGCTCAGGCTGACTTTCAGGCTCAGGTACAGCCGTGGGCTCGATCACCGGTTCTTCCTTCTCGGGCTCGGGTGTGAGCTCAAAAGATGCCATTTTCTCTTCGGCCACTGGCTCTGGTTTGGTTGGTGATAGTTTCTCCTCTGCGTCAACAGTGGGTGATTTGGGAATTGCCTCCTTCGACCTGGGTGCAGTGGGACTACCAAGAGCTGATGGGGCTCCTGAAATGCTGGGCTTTTTGAAATGACCTCCCGGGGGAGGCGTCCGCATCAAGCCAATAGGGGTCACTTCCTTGAAACGACTCAGATCGACGCTACCCCTTGATTGTCTTTCTCTCTGCCATGCCGGCTGCGATGGCTGTCGCTGGTGCTTGGGGGATTCGGGGGGTCGGTTCAGGGCACTTTCCAACCATGAGGCCTTCTGGGGACTCCATCGTTTGGGATCCATTGTCCTCGAGGTGAAAGGGCTTGAGGGGCCCTCGGTATTTTGGCTATCGATGGTCATAGAGCTTGTGGACCGGGCATGGCCGTAGAGAGCTGGTCGACTCGGGCTAGCATCTAGGCGGCCACTGTCGGTAGGTCCCGGGTTTGAGGGGGTTGTAGGCCTCTCAGTAGACTCCTTTGGGCGCACCACTGTCGCCTCGCTGTGACTCGACCCAGGACGTTGGCTAAGCACGGGCGATGATTCACGACTCACTCGTGAGTTGGTTGTTGGGGTCATATCACTGATACTAGCTGTCAAACTTGGAGCCGCGACACTATTGCGATTTGAGACAATAGAATTACTTCGGCTCAGCCCCTGTGGAAGTTGTGTACTCCATCGCTTCGATACACTGTCCGATCTCCTCATCATTGCACTCTGAACGAAACCGCCAAGACCCTTTGTTGGCGAGGTTGATCGAGATCGCTCTGGTGACATTCGCCGCTGGGCGGGGGATGCAGGCACTGGCTCTTCGGTTGATGCCTCGGTTTGGGTGGGGTCAAGTTTTGGTGCCTCTGATAGTGTAACTGGAGAACCCAATCCAGTCGCTGGTGATACTGAAGAGACACTCGAAAATCGGTTATGAAAGCTGCTCTCGCCAATTGTGGAAGCGGTTCTTGGGGGCGAGGGAGTTGCGTCCTCGGCTCGTCCGGCTCGGTCTGGTTCAATTGTGGAATCCCGACTCAGACCTAGCAGTTGATGGCCCTCGCCTGGGTCGGCCACCCCTTCTGAATCATGTTCGGTTTTTCGGAGGGCCGGTGAGTCTGCGGTTCGATCTGGAGTCTGTCGAAACCATGAGGGATCCTTCGAGGGCAGGGATTGGGCAAACTGGGCACGAGACAACCGGTCTTGATCGGATGCTGTAGAGGTGTTTCTCAAATGACTGGATCGAGTAGGAGATGTCGAGCCGGGGGATCTGTTCCCAAGGTCCCGCGACGACGGGCGTTGTTGCCATGACAAGGTCCCCGTTCGGCTGCGCGACAGGGTGGGCATGGTCCGGGTCGGAGACTCAGGTCCTACCTCTTGAACCGACCCGCGTCGCGAGCTGGTCTCGGAGGCATCTCGCTCGTGGCCCACTCTAGCCGTGTCCGCTGTGGCGGTGTCGGGGTCCTGGGTCTGCACCGTCGGCTCCAGGTGCTCGGGGGGCTCGATCGAGGGTTGACCGAGGGAAGAGGCGCTCAGTCTCGAGGGATTCAAAGTAGGAGACCCGGCGATGGATCGTGCTCGCTCTAGCATCACCAAGACATTAGTATCATGGGCGTCATGTGTGGGGTCCACCAGTCCATTGCGGCGCGGGGCCAGCTGCGGTCAGCGCAAAACGAGCGAGCGCGCCGTCGATGTCGACAAGGTCTGCATCTGCAAGTGAAAACTGCAAGAAGACGGGGAAGATCGTACCAGCACGGCGGGCTTGTCGTTCCTTGCGCCCCTGGAGGATCTCCTCCTCTAGCTTCTTAGTCCGCTCTTCATCTTCGGTGTCGCGCTTTTCACCAAGTTCGCGGATGCGCGAGAGGAAGTCATTGACATCCTCAGAACCGTCGGGGTTTGTCGTCATGATTCCGTATCGGTCAACTTCCCAAGTGCTAAAGGGAAGGGGAGACCTGGAGAGAGAGACGAGGGGTGGTTGACGGGGGGAAGAAACAGGTGCAAGGGCTGAGGGCTGAGGTGTGTTCTCCGCCCTGCTTAAATTAAATGGGGATGGTCAAGATCCATCGCAAGCCATTGGCTCCGATGATCATCCCACATTCGTTCAACCCTCGACGCTTATGCATTGGACTTTTAGTTACATTATGAGAAAATGATATATATTTATGGTTGATTAGTTTAGGTTATTTTTTCTTATATTTTAGTCTGATTCTCCTTTGAGCCGCAGCCGCAGCAGTACTCGTAGCTAACAATTGGACTACACACGGTTGTTTGTTTACTTCCGTCATCCACTCGGGCCCCGCAGAACGAACTGCTGGACCCATGGGCCGCCATCAAGAATTCCGGTTCTGAGTTTTGGGGGGGGATGGGGTCCTTTGGCTCACCAGGGGCAAATTCGCAGGACAATTGATTTGTCGTCTTCTCGGCGACTAGAGGTGCAGGATCGACCTATCACTTTGTGCCTTGCAGCGGGATACCTTCGGAAGGGTTTGGTGCGGCATGCAGAAAAATGACCCGGCAGTCAGATATCCTAGTAGTAGTAGTATACTAGTAGTACCAATGTCAGGGACCTCGAGAGAAATCAGATGTTGTTCTCTTACTACCTGTACTCGTATGCCATTTATCTTGATTCTATGGTTGGAAATATCCGAAATTTTCAAGGTTGAATCTCCCGGGCTGCCTGAGCCTGCTGGATACCTAGGTACATATATTTTTGGCGACTCCCGAGGTCTGTAGTACTAGAGGCACTGCACTGGCATCGGCTAACCGCACCTGCGGGCATCGAATGGCAATTTCAAGTTGAACCTTGAACTTGAAAAAGTATTTCTGAATTTGTCGATTAAACTCCCGAACTTCAAGTTCAACAAGCATGCTTCAGCCCGTGCTACACCGCATCGAAGTTTCTTGCTCCTGACAAAATTGAAAGATTGAAACCCAACTGGGGTGAAGAGGGGGACAGTCGACAATGGTAAGATACCACTACAGCGCAAGCAAGAAACAGATAATATGCTAGTATATCGTAGTAGTATGCTACTGGAGACTCGCGGGGAACTGCCTCCTAGTAGTTGCCATTATTAATGCATCTCAATCCAACCCAGAGATGAACGGACTAATATAGGAATAACCGGTCCTTCGCATCCTGTACAACCCATTCCAAACCCTCGTGAAGGTTCTTACCGGTCATGGCACTACAGGGGAGAATAGTCCATTTATGGGTTTTGATCAAATCCAGACCAAGGCGCTGCAGCAAGTCAGTCTCAAGCTGGCCGGTCTCTACCGGTTCTACCGGTTCTACCGGCATCATGATGCCATCACTCACCTCGCGCACCTCCTCCTCAGTCATGCAATGTTCCACATCGGTTTTGTTCAAGAAAACTAGGAGACTGGCTCCCATGAGTCGCTGGCGGGGAATTAGTTCTGAGAATGACAATAGTGGTGGGCAGAGGGCCTACCTCTTCCAGAAGCAGACCAGCTAGTTCCTCGCGACAGTCGTCCACCCGGAGTTTATCGGTGGCATCGACGACCCAGACCAATGTGTCAGTCTTTTCAAAGTAATTTTTCCAGTAGGAGCGTAATGTCTTCTGCCCGCCCACGTCCCCTGTTCACAATTAGTCGGGTGGTGATGGTGATGGTGATTGGGGAGGGCGATGGTGCTCACAAATGTTGAGTTTGTATCTGCATATTGTTAGTCCATCGGTGATTCCGGTGTCCGATCGTGCTGGGATGTCTGGAGAGGGACTCACTCCATAAATTCGATTGTTTTGATGATAAATCCCAGGGTTGGGCTAACAGAGGTGACGTCTTCATTCATAATTCGTTTCACAATCGTCGTTTTTCCGGCATTGTCTAACCCCCTGGAGCCATCGCGATCAGCACAGCCCTGAATATCTCGAAACTGGACTCACAGCATTAATATGCGCATCTCTTTATCCTTCAAACGTGCTTTCCTGAGAATAGACAGCATGGCGGTGGTGCTTCCTGGCCTGTTCAGATCTTGCAGGAGGAAGCGGGTGGTGGGAGGTGGGAAAAGTTCCTGGGGTTTGGGCGCACGCCATAACAGCCAGATCGGGCCTTCATGAATAATACACTCTCATCTAGTCTTTGAACCCATTTCCATTCATCAGGATATCTATCCTTTGTTAAAATTCTTATGACAAGTCTATATGAATTGCCAATAGCTAATTTAGAGACGGTCGCTCGACTAATTAGGTGCAGAGACACCAATTCAACTGGATGGATCTCGGATCTATAAAATCCAACTTTGGGGGGGGGGGGGGGCGGCACCGTGATGCCACGCACTCCCGCTCTTATACACACGGCGTATCTACATTCACCGTTCACCTCACTTTTGAGCCAACATCTTCCTCTTCCCCTTTCTTCCTTCTCCACAACCTTTCTTCTACATTCATTTCCACTTTCCAGACCCTTTAAAATTGTCTTGCTTCTCAATTTTTGCTCTCTATTCGCGTTTCCCTGCACATCTTCACCCGTATCTACTCTTCTTGAATCTTGAAGGTGCTCGCGAAAGTGCTCGCGAGGTCGATCGTGAGGTGATCTACCTTGGCTGTGAACCATAGTAGACACAGCATTCTTCATTGTCACAGCAGAGTCGAAATCAAAGAATCAAACAGCGTGAAAAATCCCTATCAAATTCACTCTTCTTGACCAAGGTACTTACTTACCTGCGCCTCTTATTGAAGGGGATGCGGTCTTATCGACCTAAAAGAAAGCATGCTGACAAGTCCTAGTTCCTCAGATTTCTCATCACCTTCCTCAACATGGCTGGCTCTAAGACCGATGCGCGCACCAAGGGAGAGAACATCCCCATTGCAGGAGTAACTTCTCCCTCTGACTTCTTCCAAAAGATGACTGGTTATACTGGCAGTCTTGTGCCCATTGGGGAGGATATGCGTCCTGATACGAGCTCGGACAGCGGAACCGATGCTGACGCTGTCGCCCCTCGTGGAGAGCTCGTTCAGTTCTCTCAAACACGACTCGACAGAGAAAAGGGCGAACTCAAGGAGGCCATTGATGAGGTCGCAGAGCTGAATCCACCTCGAAATGGAAAACCTCTGACCTTGGCCGAAATCAACCGATGGGCGGATAAAAACATCACTCAAGACGCCCGTGAGCGTCGACCTTGCGCAAGCATCCGTGAAAACTGGCTTGACCCAGAGGATCTCCGAAAAGCGAGAATCGGACCGGGAACCAAAATCGACGACAGAGTTTATCGGAAGCTTGCGCACCCTCGCCTCGCTGCAAAAACCGAAGAGACTCAGCCGGAAACAGTCGCTCCAGATGATGAAGACGATTTGAGCATGGACTTGGATCAAGCTTGGAAGCGGAAGCGAGTTGGCACTCCCGAGTACCTTGGTCAATGGACTACATACCAAGCGTCCCCTCCCATGTATCCCAAAATCACCAATGGGGTACTTTCGATGAGTTCTTCATCCCCTGGAGGCATCTTTGACCACAAGCCGATGCCATCCAAGGTCGAGAATCCAGAGCCTTACGAACAGCACGAGTTTAAGTCCAACTGGGGCTTTTGGCCTTCAAACCACTATGATCCGACATGGTTTCGCGAACAGTTCTTCGCGTGGGTCGCCAATCTTCCAAGCCCAGGCCACTCAGTGGATATCTTTCACGCTGCGTTCTTCGATGGAACTGCCTCCCCGGATGGCGGTTCTGCAATGATGATCATGAGAGAAAAGCATGGTATTTGTGACCGAGTTACCGAGGATGAGCAAACTCGCCTTCATTGGCATGAGACATCCGCCGGATACATCTGGAACGTCAGAACTCAGATGAAGGAACAAGCCATGATTCAGATCCGGCAATCGCGAAGAACGATGGCAATCCGAGGTACCCTGGGGCCATCGACACAGCGGCTTCATCACTATCTTATCCTCCGCCCTGGAGAGCCCGATGATGCCGAACATCTTCTTCCTTTGTTCAACTGGTACGCGGAGAATACGACCTTTGTTGCAAGTACAACTCCGTTCACCCAAGCCGGGATCCAACGCCTCATCCAGAATTGTCGTGATTGGAAGCTGCCTTTCATTGTTGCTGTTCCAGACAGAAGAGTCGAGGTCCTTGAGAGGCGACCCGACGAGCCCGAGATCCTTGGGTTTGCCTATGTCAAAAGATTCAATGACGAGCCTTCGACTGGGGAGGTTCGAGTTTTCGTGGACCACACATGCAAGAAACTTCACATTGGAACCGGACTAGTTGACATGATCATGCGTACTTGTGATACTCGCCAGAGTCCCGATGGTTACCGTCCGTACGAATTCAAGCTTAGGGAAAACTTGAATTATGGTGACGGCTACCAGTGCAATCTCACTAGCCTGGTTTTTGCCATCGCGTATGAGCCCTCGAAGGAGGGTAAATACAGATGGGTCAGAAGCTGGCTTATGAGGAGGTTCAAATTCGAGAACTTGGGTCATATGAAGAGTGGCAGAGTGAAGTTTGGCCATCGGTATGTGTTTGTCTTTCATCCTAATGAATCCCTTAGCTCGATGCTGACCATTATCATCTAGTCTCAATGTGTGGCTGCTTTCTCGAGGAGTGTGGTCCGGCAATCCCCATATCGGCAAAGGGGGATTTGAAGTCTGATTTTGTGCGCCGATTGATCGGTCATGCGGATTTCGCTTGAGACCAACTTGCTCTAGACCCCTTTGATCTCTGGAAATTTGAGGTGAACAACACAGGTGATGCGGTGATGCGGTGAGATGGTGCGATGATGCGATGCTGAAAAAACAATATCAAATCCAAAAAAGTCGATGGGACGATGCCCCTGGGTGGGAATAGAGAAAAGTGATAAGAAGGATGATACGGATACTCCAACTAGTTGGTCGGTCAACAGTCCGGTCAAGAGTCATTTTAGATGAATTTAAGGGAGCATCCGTCATATCCATCATTCAATTAGTAGCCTTAGTTTTCGCGATCACCATGTCAGCAGACCGAAAGCCTTCGTTCAACTGATTTAGATGTTTCTGAGCCTACTCGTGTTGGCGCAAAGGGGACTTAGGTTGCCGGACTGTGTGGAAGAAAAGGAATTACCCTAGAGAATTGTTCGTAAACATGATCCTAATATTCCGATCCAACAACCTAAAAGATCCCTCAATTAGAAATTCTGCATAGGGAAGAAAGAAAAAGTATCGACTCGAAGCGTTGGATTTCTCTCTAGAGGAGACCTGCGGCGGAGTGTAGGTTAACTCATGACTTAGTCATCAACTGCTACCGCCCATACCGCCCTGGGAACTTTTTTTTTCTGCTGTTGATCAAGATTTCCAGATTTCCTCCGACGGTTTGCGCAGGTTGACTGGAAATTGAGTTCTGTTCAATTTCTTTCGAGAGAGATTCCGAGGTCTACATTTACGGAATTGAACCTGGTCGCCCGATCACACATTCACTATGGCTCCCAAACCGACAAAACGGAGCGCCGCTCAAGACGACGATTTCGTTCTCACGCTGTCCGACGACGAAGATGTCCCACGCTTCGATGACGAGGAAGAGATCGAGCCCGAGGGCAAAGAATCCTCAAGTGACAACAAGAAACGCAAACGCGAAACCGAGACTTCTAAGGATAAGAGCAAGAAGCAAAAGCAACAAGTCAAGAATGTGAAGGGCAAGAAGGGCAAGGTCATTGAGCCCGAGTCTGAAGAGGAGGAAGAAGAAAAAGAGGAAGGAATGGGTGTTGGTAACGATGATGGCGCGCTGGATCCTGAATTCGAGTTTGACGTTGGCGGTGTTGCCAATGTCGGCATCACAGAAGGATTTGATGGCTGGGGCTTGGATGACGCCAAACAGAATGGTGGTGATAAGAAGGCGGTTGATATCGACGATATTATCACACGACGAAACGCCAAGAAGGAGGCGGCTGCAGCGAAGAAGCAAAAGAAGGCCGCCGCCCAAAAAGAAGAAAGCGACGAGTCTGATGACGAAGATGTCGAAGGTGGCATGGACGTGGACTTTGGCGACGATGAGCTCCTGGCCGAGGATGGATTCGGAATGGGCGTCGATGGTGAGGAGGAGGAAAGCGAAGCTGAAGGCCCAGAACCTGGCTCTGGCCCTGAAGATAGCGACGACGATGAAGAAGCTGAAGACTCCGACTCCGACTCCGACGACGCTGCCTCTGACAACGACTCCGTCGCTACCCCCGTTGGCCACCCTGATGACAGGGGCGATGTCAATGGAGACTCCGATGCCGAGAGCGAGGTGGATGAGGAAGAGCAAGAGAAGCGCAAGGCATTCTTTGCTCCCGAAGAGAAGACCGACGAAAAGACCGCCGCAGCCTCCGCCAAAAGCACCTTCCAAGATTTCAACCTCTCTCGTCCCATTCTCCGTGGTTTGGCCTCTGTTGGCTTCACGGACCCTACACCTATTCAACGAAAGGCCATCCCGGTGGCACTTCTGGGCAAGGATATTGTTGGTAGTGCCGTGACGGGTTCCGGAAAGACGGGCGCGTTCATTGTTCCCATCCTCGAACGTCTACTCTTCCGTCCTCGCAAGACCCCTACAAGTCGTGTTACGATCTTGATGCCTACTCGTGAGTTGGCGGTCCAGTGTTACAATGTCGCTATCAAGCTTGCTACCTTCACCGATGTCACATTCTGTCAGCTTGTTGGTGGTTTCAGTCTTCGCGAGCAAGAAAATATCTTGAAGAAGCGCCCCGATGTGATCATCGCCACCCCTGGTCGTTTCATCGATCACATGCGTAACTCCCCTAGTTTTACAGTTGATACCCTGGAGATTCTGGTTCTTGATGAAGCCGATCGCATGCTGGAAGATGGATTCGCCGATGAGTTGAATGAGATTCTCACGACCATTCCCAAGTCCCGACAGACTATGCTGTTCTCCGCCACCATGACAGACTCTATCGACAAGCTTATCCGCGTTGGAATGAACCGTCCTATGCGACTGCAAGTCGATGCCAAGAAGCAAACCGCTGTGACCCTGACCCAGGAGTTTGTTCGTCTACGCCCTGGCCGTGAGGATAAGCGACTTGGATATCTTCTACATCTGTGCAAGGAGCTCTATACCGGACGAGTCATCATTTTCTTCCGACAAAAGAAGGAGGTCCACCGAGTACGCATTATCTTCGGACTCTTGGGACTCAAGGCCGCTGAATTGTACGGTAGCATGAGTCAAGAACAGGTATGCTCTACAGATTTCCCGTATTCCTTCTATACGAGGCAATGATACTGACAGAATATCCAGCGTATCAAAAGTGTGGAAAATTTCCGTGATGGCAAGGTCGCTTATCTCTTGGCTACTGATTTGGCCTCCCGTGGTCTTGATATCAAGGGCGTGGAGACTGTGATCAACTACGAGGCCCCACAGAGCCACGAGATCTACCTGCATCGTGTCGGTCGTACCGCCCGTGCTGGTCGATCCGGTTGTGCTTGCACGATCGCGGCGGAGCCCGACCGCAAGGTTGTCAAGGCTGCCGTGAAGGCTGGCAAGGCGCAGGGCGCCAAGATTATCAGCCGTGTCGTCGAAATGGCCATTGCAGATGATTGGGCTCAGAAGGCGGCTGATCTCGCCGATGAGGTCGAAGAGGTTCTTGAGGAGGAGAAGGTTGAGAAGCAGATGGCCCAAGCCGAAATGCAAGTCACCAAGGGACAGAATCTGATGAAGCATGGCTCGGAGATCATGTCGCGACCCAAGCGTACCTGGTTCGAGAGCGAGCAGGAGAAACGTACGGCGAAGAAGCTGGGTCGTGCGGAGTTGAACGGACCCCCCAACGCCCCGACGAAGAAGGACAAGATCAAGCTCAGCAACAAGGACAAGAAGCGATTAGATGATGCGAAGATGCGTCATGAAGGAGACATTGGACGGAAGAAGAGCAAGTCGGAGCGGGATGCGCCCAAGACGAATGGCAAGGGCAGCAAGGATAAGGGCAAAGGAAAAGGCAAGGGTAAAGGAAAGGGCAGAAAATAAGGGCTTGAAGAGTGCCCATCTCTCTTAACATTTTTTATTTAACTGCTGTATGTACTATCGGGCATTAACTGTATACATGTAGATCGCACATATCAAAACCACTAGTTCCATTTCCCAGCAATATCCAAATGTGGCATGAAGATGATTATCAATCTCGATCGATCACACCATAGAATCCCTGTCGAGAGGTCGAAACTCCCGCTAGAAGCAAGTGGATCCGGCGAAGGTACCCAACGAGAGGTAAGGATTGCCACTCAGTGAGGAATATCGCCGCATTCGATGGAGCCACAGAGTTCCCGCCCATCGAGTGTTATTGGCTGCTCATCCAGATTTCCCTTGAGGCGGATCCGTTCAACTGCTTAGCTGGTCTAACACTAACACTAACCCGGACTGACCTGATCCGACGTCAATCACTAGAGTTAAAATAATTATCTCTCTCTCTCAAACACGACCACTGAGAAGGCTAGTATCGAGTGAAAGGTCCACTGTGAAATCCCTATAACCCAAAAAAACTGCTTCTCTCAGTCTCTCTCTGCCTATCCCCGCGATTGCCCAACGCCCCACGTTCTACTCGCGCGCGCCCCCCAAGAATTTCGACCTTCTTCCTCCCTTTCCCAACCCCTCAATTCTACTCCTCTCCCCCCCCGCCAGTCTTAGACTTCCAATGGGGGTCGCGTGTCTCTTACACGCCCCGTGAACGTCCAATGGTCGTCGAGGGTTCAGACATGGCTGACATGTCGTCCAAGTCTGCTTTACCGCGGAAGAGTGCTTTCTCGTGCGAGGCCTGTCGCAAGCGCAAGGTGAGCGGAGAATCGGCCAGAGTCCGAGATGCGGTGCCCTATAAGGCCCCCGAAAGCTAGGGAGCTTCCTGTGTACTGATATGATCATCCTGACAGGTCAAATGCAACGGAGCTAGTCCGTCATGTTCACGATGTGCCGCTCGAGGTGAAGTGTGCGTGTACAGCTTGTGAGTTGCCTCTCCCTCTTCCTCTTTCTCCCTCTCTCTCTCCCCCCCTCTCTCCCCTCTCCTCGGGGCGGCTGTCGATTTCCAAAAAGGCTTGGTGGCTGATTTATCCTTTTCCCCCCCACTTTTGTTTGGCACCCCAACAGAGCTCCTACCTTATCATATACCAAACAACTTGAAACTCGAGTTGCTCAATTAGAAGACGCCCTGGCCAAACAGCAATCCGATGTGGATGCGCGCAAGGTCAGCTCGCCGGCCTCGGTGGCGGAGTCCAGTTCCAGCGCCGGACGCAAGATTAAGACGGAGAACGATGATACCCACGATCTCACCAGGAACTTCGATGGCCTAAATGTTGAGAATGATGGTCGGATCTCTTTCCATGGCCCCACGAGTTTGTTTCAGCTGCCCAGCGGAGTGGTCAACGAGACCGCCTCAACCTCACACTTTGCCCAGGAGATGGAGGCCCGCAAGGAGCGGCTGGTCAACAGTGCGTGGCGAGAACGGGCCTTCGAGCAGATGGCTGCAATGCCGGTGAGATTTAAATGCCCGAAGCTTTGATCGGGATGCGAGACTGATGACGTGCAGGAGCCTTTTCAATATCTTCTCGATTCCCATTGGTGCTGGATTCAGCCACTTTTCAACTTTGTCTACCGCCCGGCCTTTACACGTTTGTGTCCCTGCCTGGTGAATTTCCCGATTTGGAGAGCGATGCTGATCCAACTGGATAGGTGATATGAAAATCCAGGGACCTTATTACTCCGATATCCTAATGAACGCCCTGCTCTCCCACTCGGTACGATGGTGCAAAGCTGAACCACAGATCGGCCCATTATTGGACTCATTCGACGGCGGTGCACAATTCTACCAGCGTGCAGTCTCAGGACTCCACGACTCGCTCAAGGTTGGCTATGCGGGCATCCCAACGATCCAAACATTACTCCTCCTCAGTGCCCAGGAATGCGGTCGTGGCAATCGGACACAGGCTTGGCTCTACAGCGGCATGGCCTTCCGTTTACTCGATGATTTAGGTATCTCAATTGATAGTCGCAAATACCCCGGAGCAGTACAGCTCAGCGATGAGGATATTGAGATCCGTAACCGACTCTTCTGGAGCTGTTATTTCTGGGATAAGATCGTTTCGCTATACTTTGGACGGGCACCTACGATGCAACATTCTCGCGTCAGCCCGCCACGCATGATATGTGGGTTTGCATCTGGATGATGACTACCGGTGACTATTACTGACAGCTTGACAGTGGATGATACTTCTGAAATTGAAATATGGACGCCACATGGCGTGACCTTCCCCGATGGGGCACACTACCCACCTACACAAGCGCATTCAACCTCATGCTTCATGAGGATGTGTGGGCTAGCGGAAGTCCTCAATCAAATATTAATTCATATATATGATCCCATGCGACAAAGCACCGAGGCAGAATTCTTCGACTGTGTGCAAGAGCAGTCTAGAAACCTGAGTGACTGGTGGGATGATCTTCCCGAGTACTTGAAATTGGTGGCAACCGACTTGCCTCCTTATTGTCCCCCAAGCCACATAATGACACTTAAGTATGTTTGTCTCGGTGTCGGAGCCCTTGGTATTATGCTAATTTCATCTTCACTCCAGCTGCCTTTACCATACTATCAATATCCTACTCCATCGTCCGATTTTATGCTCCAGAGGCCTATTGAAGACTCATCAAGAATCATATGACACAAGTCACCTTGTCCAGTGCATGTCTTCTGCAACGTCAATCCTATCGTTGTTCGATCTTTATCGCAGAACATTCGGCGACAACCACGTTGTCTTGTCGCTGGCATACAGCATCTACACAGCAGCCTCTATCTTCCTCCTTGAGATCCAAGCACTCAAGTACGCCGCCCCGGGTACACTGGATAAGTTGAAATTCTGCATATTCGCCCTGGAACGTGTCAAAGTCTCCAACCCTGTTATCACAACCGCTCTCAACCTACTCTACCAAGAGATTCAAAAACTCCAAATCGACATTGGCATCAGTGCCCCTGCCCCCACCGACTCCAAACAACCTCAACAGCAACCAACACCTCTCTCCAGAACCCAATCAAGTCAATCCCCTTCGATTGGAAGCAATCACTCCCGCCATGTTTCCCCGGGCCAACAGCACCAGCGCCAACAGAGCCGTGCTACCATGGGCACCCAACCGAACACAACGGCATCTAATACATCTGCCTCGATGATGCCCGGATACAGCCCTTACCAGCAACAGGCCATCTCAGGGTTCGACCTGTCACAGATGGGCGAGATGCCCCAGATGCCAGCAACACACCTTCTGGGTGGTATGCCGAATGCTGTTATGACAGTGGATGACCCTGGCTCGTACGAGATTACCCCCGAGGTCTTCGAGGCATTCTCGTATGCCCAGCCCATTACGACCAATATGGCTTCGTTTGCAACGAACTGGCCGGGCCAGGGTTAAAATGAAAAGCATTTAAATCGAGATTTTGGTTACTTTTATTATGTCTCTCTTGTACTTGATGATTCCCAATAGCGTTGAGAGTTTTGTTTATATTTTTTTGTTACAAAAATCTAGCGACGGGTCGGAATACTATAGCTTGACAGTTCGTTGGCGTATAAAATTTACTCATTACATTATACTACGTACAGTCTCCACAACTGCTATATCAAAGGAGCACAGAAATCTTTCATTGAAATTTTCAAGTTTGCTAACCTGAGTCCAACACAAGTGCATATGCCTGTTTGTATGTTTAAGTTGTTATATGCTGTTCTGAAGCTTTTGTGCAAAGGTAGGTGTGGAGTCATCCGACGCAGAATTAATACAAGAGTGTGAAAAGGGTATATATGAAATTATACACCGAGCGTCCTCAGAAAAATATAAAGAAAGAAGAGCCGTATAGATCGAGGGTGTTGAGAAAATTAGGAAAATTGTAGATGTTCGGACGTCCATAGAAATTGGGTATTGTGGTCCATCAAGTGAGTTTAGAAATCGGGGCTGGAAATATCACAGCGCACCAATGGATTGCGGAGTTGCTGGTTTTAGCCGCTTGTATCGTGGACAGCCTTAGCATCGCGCTCACGAAACACCTTTTGGTCATGTTCCTGGGAGGCGAAGGTATCCGCTGACTCGGAGGACACATCGGAGTTGCCAACCTTGGCCTTCCAGCGCAGATACCAAGGGCCTTCGAACAATTCATCCATCTTCTCGATGGGAACTCCCTTGGTCTCGGGCATCCAAATGCCCAAGATGATGAGTCCGAGGGTGCAGATGATGGCCCAGAAGAGGTAAGCGCCCCAGACGTGCAAGTTGGCGAACATGTTGGGAGTGACACGGACGACGGCGAACTGGAAGAACCAATGCAGACCCATACTGATGGCGTAGCACGTGTTGCGGAGGTGCGTGGGGAAGATCTCCGTGCCGTAGAGATAAGGAACTGTACAAAGACCGATCGACCAGCCGGCGGCATAAATGAAAACAGAGGCAATGGCTGCATCCGAGGCAGATTTGTTGTCGGCAGAACCCGGCTGCAGTCCCATATAGGCGCCCATATAGATATGTGCGGCCAACTGCAGGGCTAGTCCAGTCATTGTGCAGCGGCGACGACCGAAATAATCGATCAAGCCCCAGGTGAAGGCGATGGTTAAAACAAGCTTGACGATACCATACGCACCAGAGGAAATGAGCGACTGGTCGGCACCATCGACACCGGCGTACGTAAAGATGGTCGTGACGTAATAAGTGATACCATTTCCACCAGTCCACTGAGCGATCGTGTGCATGGTCATGAGGAGCCAGAATCGTTGACGATAGTTGGGGTTGGTCTGTGACTCTTTGAAAGCGTTCCAGTGAGAGATAGATTTGAGGTTTGCTCGCTCCCGTGCCTGGCTATCGATCTCCTCGAATTCATCCACCACGCTTTTGTCGTCGACTGACTTGCCGCGAAGGCGAGCCAAAACATCCTTTGCCTCCTCATGGCGTTGCTTCGAGGCGAGGTAGCGAGGGCTCTCCGGACACAGCCAGGAGAGGAAGAAGGCAATACCGGTAGGGATGAGAGGGATGGCTTGGACTAGGCGATATTGGGTGCGTGTGGCAGGCATGTGGAGATTGGCGCCATAATTGATGAAGAAACCTAGTGCGAAGTCGTATTAGCGTTGTGTTGTAGTGATATTGTGGCTTGGGAAAGAAAGACATACCGACAGCGAGGATCAACAGCAGGACCACCATGTAAAGACTGACGGCGAGACCTCGCGTCTTCCTTGGCGCCACTTCCGACAGGTACAGGGGTGAGGTGACGGTTAATAGGCCGGCACCCAGTCCCGCGAAGATTCGGGCGAAAAGGAGCAGGCCATATATGCCGGAGGAGAAGATTTGGATCAGTGTTCCGATCGCCCACACGATCACGGCCAGTCGCCACGACCATAGACGCCCAAGGCGATCATTCAGATCTAACCCAGCAAGCGCGCCGAACGCAGCACCCAGGACATTAAACGAGGTGATATTAGCAGTCCGGTTAGCTAAGCCGGTCGCGTCGTTCTTCCAGTGATCCTTGACGAGATTATAGTCGATGGCAAAGGAGGTGAGCTTGACGCTTGCGCTAAAGCCACCCTCATCATAACCTGGGCAGCGATCGGTGGTTAGCTATAAGCAAAGAAAAAAGAAAATGACTGGGGACGCGAGGGACGCGAGGTGGCGCTGAGCAGTGTATAAATGACTTGCATGATCTCGCAGGATTTAGCCGTACGATCTCCGATTTGAAGCCGCACGGTAACCCGTAGAGTAAGATGATAAGAGCGAATGAACGAACCTTTAGGAATACCACCACAGGCGATCACTAGGACTACCAGAGCGTAGTAGGGACTAGTAGTCCATCGTGCCGGTTCCCACCATGGCATGATCTATGATCTAAATCAAAATCCCTCTAATTAGGAATTGGTGGAGGCGTATATGAAGAATCTGGGGAAGGGCGGAAATCACGGCAACGAGTGGGTTGCGAAGGAGCAACTTGAACAAGAAGTGGATTTGAAGGGGGCGAGAGGGAGCCACAGCTAAAGGTTCACCTTGGGGTTCGGCATCCCGTGCTCTTTTTTTTTCCAGCGCAGGTGGGAGTGGGCTCGGTCAACGTCCGAACCAGAATTGCCCCCCCCCTTTTTCCCACTTCACACCACTTTGCCCACCTGGACGATCGAATATGCTGCCGAGTCCTTAGCCTGGTCTATCCTAGCCGTTCGCAGGGTGCCTCGTGCACGGAAGTACGACGAGTACCCTGCACTGTCAGTACTCCCTACATAACCATATGTATGGAGTATATACGGAGTACATGGTGACTCCATACTCCATACTCCATACTTCTTCAGTCGAATCACGCCGGTCTTGTATCCGCATCCACTGACTGGGTGGTTCTCGCAATGAGAGGGCTCCGCTAGACGGCAACGCCCCTTTTTTATCCCTCTCCTTGTCGCTGTCATTATTTTAGCCGGTGGTCAGTGAGTTCTCGACCCGGGAAGCCTGAAATATGCAACGGATATCGCCCTTTCACCGAGGTGGATAGGTCTGCTAGTACTCTGCAAGCCTGCCTCCCGGACGACTTCCGCATCCTTCTCCCCTCTAAACACCACCTTGCCATCCCACGCCCTGGATAACTTGCCAATAGCCAGGGTGGGTCAGATCTGTTGTCCGTACCGTGTTGGACAAGGGCACGCAGCAGAATTTTTATTTAGATGATTCAAGTTTTCCTGCTTTGAAGGCCCCTACGGACGTTGGCCGATCCCTAAGACGGCATGTTGCCGGTCAGAACTGCCCTGAGGTTGAGACCCAGTTGTATCAGTGCCTGGTCATCGGTAAGTGCGGATGCCAGAGGCTTCACTCTTCTCTCCATCTTTGTGTCCCTTCCTGGAGCCCTTTCATGTGCGATATCAACGTTTGTTGACACCATGCTTACTTCAACTCAGCCTCCTTCTCAAATTCTGGGGAGCCCTCCACGGATCTCACTCACTGGAGCCCCTTCGCCTCGATTTGATCGTCGTGCGTCCCATGGTGCTGCACCTGTCAAATTGCCTGTCAAGCAAAGAGTTCCCCTGAAATCATGGGATAGTCATATGCATGTCGTGGAACCAGAGCGGTTTCCCATCTCGAAAACTGCTGTATACCAGCCATCTATCCATACCCTAGAAGATGCCTTGAACTTCGAGTCGACTATTGGAGTTGAGAACCTTGTCTTTGTGCAGCCCTCTATCTACGGCACTGACAACTCATGCATGCTGGCTGCTCTGGCCAAACTAGGCCCCTCTCGAGGTCGTGCTGTCGTGGTTGTTGACCCTGACACCATTACCCAGGAGACCCTAGACGAATGGCACACCCTTGGCGTCCGGGGTTTACGAGTTAACCTACAGTCAGTTGGCAAGATCATGGAACAAAGCGAGTTGGAAGCAACATTACGACACCATGCCGATATTGCCCGTCCCCGTAACTGGATGATCGAGGTATACGTGCCTCTCAAGATGATCCCCATGCTCGAATCCATCGTCCCTCGTCTTGGTGTTACTTTCTGCATCGACCACTTCGGCAGCCCCGAACTTTCTCCAATACCCTTGTGCAAGGACGAATCTCCCTTTGACCCCTACGCACTTCCCGGCTTCAGCTCATTGATCTCCCTGATCCGTACTGGGAGCACCTACATCAAGGTGTCCGCCCCCTACCGCTTGACCAAGGATGCCGGGATGCGTGACCTGAAGGCCATGGCCCGGGAATTCCTGTCTGCCGCCCCCGACCGAGTGATCTACGCTACCGACTGGCCGCATACTCGTTTCACTGGTGTTGACATTAGCCCATTTACGGAATGGTGCTTGGACCTCTGCATCCACGAACCCGGACTGGCAGAGAAGCTATTTCGGAGGAACACAGAGCGAATGCTGGGAGTGGAATCTACTTAAGCATCAGCATGATCGAGTCCTGCAAAATGGGACTGTATATAGCATTTTTTTGGGCATGATTGGGCGTCTTTGTGTTGCATTTCAGCATTTATTTCTATACCAGGTAGCGCCCGGCTTTGGCGAGAGCTAGCCAAAATATGAACGACATTTTTGATTGAATACATTTGAACGTGCATCACGGATTTCATGGATACAACTTGAAGACTAGGAACTCTCTCATTGCTATGTGATTCCGATATCGATTCAATGGAAACTATTGACATTGAACAAGGTATCTTGCGGTTGAACGAAACTCGTGCGCACGATTAACATGACCCTGATTTTCTATCCGCCATGCCTTAGACATCCTCTGCATCCTGGAAGAGAACGTGCGAGGTGCAAATCTTCTTGGGTCCCTATCACATCGAAGAGATAATAGTTAGTACTAGTAACTGGTATCTTGACGTTTCTTTTTCATTCGGCCTGACTTACAATCTCGTAGCAGCAAGCGGGTCGAGACTTGTCCTCGCACAGCTGGGGCTGGGTCAACGCTTTGCCTATTCGTGGAGTTAGTATCCCGAGAAGGACCGTGACATTGGCAGATACATCTACAGGGCAAAACATACAGTCGGTGGCCTCGTTGACCTTGGGGTTATTCTCATTTGCCTGCAAATTGCGGCAGCAGTAGGGTGTCTGAACCATGCCAGTGTGATCGGCCGCGAACTTGCAGCTCATGTTAACCTTGGTGGCCGAGCCCAAGGCCAGAGTGGTAGCCAGGGCGAGGATAGTAGCAGAGACACGCATGTTGAATGGTGGGAGCCTTTGGATTAGGTCGTTATTGTCGTTTTGTCGAGTATATTCCGGTTGAAAGGGTAGAGTCCGAGTCGTTGCGAGGATATGATCGGTCGAGGTATATTGGGGGGGAGTTTGTAGGATTCAATGGGTCCGCTTAAGCCACGCTGGACTACGAAGGGTCTCCAGGTTCGCGATGCTGGGAAATTCCTTACTCCATTGACCAATCTCCCCCTTCTACAGAGGCATGGAGGCGAGTATGTGGTACCATGATTGGCTGAGTCGGGGTGGTTGGCTTATCCCCTTACATTCTTCTTGAGTCGCGAATGTCGGAGGCGTTGTAAACAAGGGCCGCTCGTGCGCGTTGCAGGGTAAAATTAATTATGCGTGGTTTTGTTTTATCTTATTATCCCTCCTCCCATGTTTGGTGTCCTCGCTGGATTCATCCTTGGATACCAGGGTCTTTCTAAGGGGTATGATGGGTCATGTGCGATCTTGTCGAGTACAACGCCATACAATGGAGATTGATAGACCTGGTTGGTGAGGAGTCTGCTCAACATCTTGTAGGGCCAAATGCTTTGATACGATAAATGTAATAAAGGTGTATTGTGTTAAGATTGATTATCTGTGGGTTCACAGATCCAGTTCCTAGCTGTGCACCGGTTGAGGGCTACTGCAGGTACTCAGCACCCTCGAATGCGGGGAATCTGATCTATTACTACTACTACTACTACTACTACTACTACTACTACCCCTCCTACTCCTATTCATCCTACAGAACGAATAGTATACTAGTTACTCTGTGCACTCTGTAAAATCACACACCAAGTTGTCAAGTTCTGCCTGTAGCGGTGTGAACCCCTGCGCGAAACAGCGCCCGTCACTGGACCACGTCGTCACTCATCGGGAAGTGGCCAATGAAAACGATCAGATGTGAACGGGTCATTTGTTGAGCCCAACGATTAGCCAGGATCTTGTTAACTAAGCGTCTCCACTCCAATCGTTGAAGTGCATCAGACAATCATAATACTGGCCCCTCCCGCCTGACCTGGGGTTCCCCTCTCATTCAAACTTGAACACTCTCCTTTATAACTCGTATACACCACCTCGATCATACCAAACAATGAAACACTCCAACCCCGCCGACATGGAACGCAACGTCTATATTCCGCTCTGTATCTGCTTCATCTCCTTCGCCGTCATCGCATACTCTCACTAGTGGGCTGTTCTTATCCGGATACCCCAGATTCCGCCTCAACCGAACAGCCTACCGTGAAGAGAACACCACGTCCCCGTGCATACCGAAGGATCAAATACATACAATGCCTCAGCTGTATCTGATTCATTCAACCGCACGAGCACAATTCTCAAAGTCCTTCCTCCCCGTCGCCTTGGTCCCTACAGAACTTGCGCATACTCGGTCGCTGCTACGAGGCTAAGTGTTGTCCTGGCCAAATGTCAGCGCACTCATCGAATTTTCGTCGTCTTGAATCGGGAATGTCGACTATGCTCCCTGCGGTCGAAACCAGGCCCCTGATACCATGTCATCCCCCTCTCCTTCGTCCGCCATTAGACGGAGAGCACGCCTGGCCTGTGAACGAGCGAGGGACGTCCGAGTGAGTACTCTCATGAAGTGGCATCAACCTTAGGAACCACTTGATGCAGCATCTCAGATATGTGTTGCCGCTTGGGGGAACAGAAAACCTCATCACACCTCCCACATCACCATGAATATATCGATCATGTTCAACCGTGACGCCGCTCGGTTGGCGAGCTCGAAGCTTCACGGAACAAACATTTCACCCATTCCTTTCCCATCTTCTTGACTCCACAAATCTGAAGCCATGGCGGTGATAGTTTGCCAGTACAACAATACTTTGATACATGGCAGAGTATACCTCGGGCATTGCTCAGTGCTATTTTCACATTCATTTACCTTCCACCTTTCAATACTTGAGGGGTAACCTATATAAGACGAATCAACATCTTTGAACATATCCATTTGCAGCATCAAAAGCCGAAACGCCGAAATTCGGAAACACCGGAGCCTACCGTAGTCCTAACTACTAGTACTACTAGTACTACTAGTACTACCAGTACAGTATGCCCATGCGCGGCCTAGACTTGATTTATAATCACGTGTGATGAGCAATCAGGCGCTCAGGCATCGAAATCCACTGCGCGTATCGAAGCCCGATATCGTCACCACCTTTTTTTGTCAGCTCATTTCTTCCCCTCCTTGTAAATACGAATACTACCCCTCCTCCATGCTTTCCCGCTCCCTCCCCACATCATCTCGTAGCCTTCGCAGCTCTTCCTTATTCCGGTGCCCCGGCAAGCACATTCACATCGGTCGACCGACCGTTAATCGAACCCTGGCTACCTTGAAGCCCTTCTCTTCGCCCTCCAGTTCAACTGCTCCGAGCTCTCGTCTTTCCTCAATTACCCGCCATTTTGCCTCTTCTCCTTCCCTTGAGAGTAAGACATCTTCAACAATGGCTCCCGTCGACGTTCAGCAATATGATTACATTGTCCTGGGTGGTGGTAGCGGTGGTAGCGGCAGCGGTCGCCGCGCAGCCGGTTGGTACGGCGCAAAGACCTTGATCGTGGAGAGTGGCCGGTCTGGCGGTACCTGCGTCAATGTAGGGTAGGTTTCCCATTACAAGAATCGTCATGTCGGTTATGATAGATCGATCTACGCTCTACTGCAAGAATTTCCATGCTGACCGGAATGTCTAGATGCGTTCCCAAGAAGATGACCTGGAACTTCGCGACCATCAACGAGATGCTCGAGGTTGGCAAGCACTACGGCTATGATATCCCCGAGAAGGTCAAGTTTGATTATACCCACTTCAAGAACACCCGCGATGCCGTCATCAAGCGATTGAATGGTATCTATGAGCGCAACTGGGGCCGGGAAGGTATCGACCTTGTCCACGGCCGCGCTCGCTTCGTCGAGTCTAAGGTGATCGAGGTTGCCAATGAGGACGGCAGTGTTTCCCGCTTCACTGCGCCGCACATTCTGATCGCTACCGGTGGCCGTCCCAATGTTCCCAAGGTGCCCGGTTCCGAGCACGGTATCACTAGCGATGGCTTCTTCGAGCTCGAAGAGCTCCCTCCCAAGGTTGCTGTTGTCGGTGCTGGCTACATCGCCGTCGAGTTGGCCGGTGTGATGAATGCCGCAGATGTCGAGACTCACATGTTCATCCGTGGCGAGCACTTCTTGCGCAAATTCGACCCTATGGTTCAGAAGACCATGACTGACCGTTACGATGCTGCCGGTGTTAAGCTTCACCGCAACCACTCTGGCTTCAAGGAGATCAAGCTTATCCGTGACGGCAAAGGCAAGGATCGTCTGATCAAGTTGATCAGTCACGACGGTTCGGAGCTGGAGGTCAACGAGCTTCTGTGGGCTGTTGGCCGTGCTCCCGAGGTCGAGGACCTGCAAATTGACATCCCCGGCATTAAGCTGAACCCTAGCGGCCACATTGTTGTCGACGAGTACCAGAACACCTCTGTTGAGGGAGTCTACGCCATTGGTGATGTTACCGGCCAGGCCGAACTCACACCCGGTATGTACCACCTCGCTACCCTACAGTCTAGAGTATGATATTCTAACACATGCGATAGTTGCCATTGCCGCCGGTCGCCAGCTTGGCAACCGTATCTTCGGTCCTCCTGAGCTCAAGCACTCCAAGATCTCGTATGAGAACATCCCGACTGTCGTCTTCTCCCACCCGGAGGTTGGTGTTGTCGGTCTCACCGAGCCCGAGGCCCGCCAGCGCTACGGCGACGACAAGATCAAGATCTACCACACCAAGTTTACTGCCATGTTCTATGACGTTCTCCCCGCCGAGGAGAAGCCCAAGAACCCCACTGAGATGAAGATCATCTGCGCTGGCCCTCAAGAAAAGGTTGTCGGCCTGCACATTCTGGGTCTGGGTGTTGGTGAGATGCTGCAGGGATTCGGCGTCGCCGTGAAGATGGGTGCTACCAAGCAGGACTTTGATAGCTGTGTTGCTATCCACCCAACTAGCGCCGAGGAGCTGGTTACCTTGCGGTAGATCTTTCGTCATCGCCAATTTTACGCTACATGAACATCACTGTCTGTGAACCTGAATCCGCATGAAGATAGATAATAAACCTGAATATGAACCTGGCTTAGTACATTTGATCCCCCAACTTTTTGTGCCAAAAGCAACCTAATATCAGAGCGAAAAAGCTCATCATATGACAAAATTGTAAGAATGGATTTCTCGTAGTATCATCTACAAAACAGATAACAGCTGGTCATCCTCCTCGCTCATCGGAAATGAGCTTAGGGCATTCCTACTCGAACGTTGGTATGCTCATTCAAACCCCATGCCTGTGAGCTGGAGTCATGTACGGTTGTCCGTCTCATATCCCGCTTATATTTACGGAGAAATGGACCGCCAACCGCCCGGTGCATCGTACAAGTATTGTCCCAGATAACCAAATCCCCAGGTGCCTGCCATTCAATTTCCACTGTATTTTCTTCACGCGTAGCATCTTGAAACAACTTATCGATAAGCGCTTGAGACTCATCTGGCTCGAGTCCCTCGATGTGGTGCACATGAGCTGCGATGTACAAATTCATGCGATCAGAGGTCTCGTGGCGCTGAACCAGTTTGTGCCGGCCCATCGGATAATCAAGCGGGTTGACATGAGCGAAGGCTTCAGGTGCGGCCGTTTTGCGCGAGTGGTGCATCGAATGACAAGCAACATAGTCATTCGTCACCAGTTTCTCCTTGAGATCAGTTGGCAGCTCGTCAAACGCAGTTCTCGTATCTGCGAAGGCTGTGTGACCTCCCATCCCCTGCGGTGGAAGCTCGTGGGCTAAAAGCAGAGAATATCCAGCTCGGCGGGGGTTGAAGCTAGAGTCAACGTGGAATAGATCATTGCCCTGTGATTATCAATGGTCAACATATGCGATTTATAAAAACTTAACTCGACATACTTTGTTTGCTTGTCCTCGTGCACTGTCAGCGTCGAGGATGGTCCCATCAAGCTCAACATTACTAACGTCAAACAGCTCGGGATATCTGAGCCGATTCTTTCGACCAGCAGCAATGTACGGCTTTACATCATCGAGCTCCCCAAACTTTCGGGAGAACTCGATATGGGCCTCATCGGTCAGACCAGTGGTGCGGAAAATGACAACTCCGTACTGTGATGTTTTTATTAATTTCGGTGCAAAGACAATTTTGATAAGCTGCTCACTTTCGTAACCGCCTGAAATATCTCTCTAAACACCCCGTCGGATAGAGGTAAGGAGAAATCCACACCACTAATCTCTGCAGCGAAAGTTGGGTGTAGCTCTTTAACAGAGATGAGAGAAAAGGGCACTTCGTTCTTTGCGACAGTCATTGCGAGTGAAAGAATTTCTGCAAATATGGTTCTTTAAGATGTCAATATAATGGGGTTTGCTTAGATTTCTAGGCTTCGTAAAGAATACTTATCGATGCTCAGCCCACGATGTACTTAAATACTTTGTTATGTATCATGACATCGGACGAGAATCAAGCCCATCAGAAGCCGATGCAAAACGAGATACCGTATTCAGAACCGTCTTTAGCCGTATTGTATGATTCTCCGCAGTATTGTGAGCAATTTTTGATAAAGTTCGTCGGCTGGAGTTAACGTTATCTTTACCCATCTACTCCCGAGATCCGATCGCGAAGCTGTTAGCAATTGCCGATTTTAAGAAGCCAGCAAAATAAATATTATTAGTATATACAGTACTCCCGCATCAGTTGGATTAGTTGACAACGAATGTATTCTTTCACGCTCTTACTATTACAGGGACATCACACTATTCAGTAAGTACAAGGCGAAGATGAAATAGGACAAGCTGGTCCACCCGGACCCATGCTGCAAATATTGATAGCAAACAGGCGATAGAAAATCAATAAACGCTTGTTCTGTTCAAATGATTCTTGATTGTATTGGTCACAGCTATAATCGCCTACGTGGAGATCGTTCCCTTTTCGAGTTGCTTCCAGGTGGTGGACAGTGTAACCCGTGGACGCGAGAACTCTTTATCCAAAAGTATCTTCTGAGGCCATTAGCCAGAAATGTATCAAATTATGATATTTCCGAGGTTAAAGTTATAATTGACTCAGCCCGTGAGCGTATTGCTGGTCTTCACTTGTGCACGGCTCGAAATAATTGTCCTATGTTGTTTTGTTTGCGCTGTCTGGAAGCTGATATTAGTCAAATATCAGTAGCGATGGAAGAGCATAGAGACATAGAAAATATGACTTCGACTACTTCATGATCGATATCTTTTCAAACCTGGTGTCAACAGTGACTAGAAAGTCCGAGTATGTGTATTATGTCAATGAGCATACCTAGTAGTAAAATAAACTTCGTTTGATGGGAGATTATTATGACAATAGTGTCAAAAATGGGTTGAGTTATTTCCTTTAATGGACGTAGATCCAAGAGGCCGAAGAGACTTCCTGCTTTAATGTACAGAGCAAAACTTATTGATAAGGACATTTCATGGTCTAGTATCTACGCCAATATGACACCCCATTTGATCCAAGTTTCAAGAGTCGTCTGCTGCAGCTCCAGCTGTTGTTTTTGGGTCGGGGGAACTGGCCCCAACCCTCGTCTTTCCCTAGATTCTATGGTCTCACGCAGAGCCGGCGTTTTGTCCTCGTCATGTGCAAATTTAAAGGAGCGAAACTCAGCATTGGTCCAGTCGGTTGCTATGATGGGTAAGCACGGGACAGTAGTATATGAGAAGATAACAACCTACCATGTGAATTAACGGCATTCACCCAATCATCTGTAAGAAAATGTAGAAAACAGCCATGTGAAACCACCACAATCTCCTTCTCAGATCGTTGGCTCAGCCACTGTCGTGCTGATTGAGCTCTTTCCAAGAGCCTTTTTGCGATTGGGGCCCATTTTCCTTGCTATATTTACGAAGTTTTCTTAGCCTTAGTCAAACCAAACAGATTAGACGTCAAAAGCGTACCTTGATGTGCCAGCCAGGCTCTACCAAAGAGAAATCAACCAGTGATTTCTCGAATTCGGACTTTATATCAAGCAGGTCACTCCCAGTGTCACAGATAAGATCACTTGCTTCCTGCAACTCTGGCCAGGCAACCACCTGCATGCCAGGGAACGCCAAAAGCGCGGTCTGAATCGTGCGTCGCAATGGCGATGACAGAATCAATTGGATGTTTTCCGATGAAGAGAAGCTAGCAGCCAATACCCGAGCTTGCTCTCCTCCCAAAGATGTTAGCTCGGGATCAGGCAAATGGTGGTTTGCATGGCTGAGATTATGGACCCCCTGCGCGTGGCGCACACAATGAACAATTGGTGACATATCTCGCGGAACCGCCCGAGTCGTTTTCCACTCGCCGGGATAGAAAAATGTGGTTGGACTTCATTCAAGTATTTTTGAGGGAAGAATCAGACAAGAAAGGGGTCTCGCTCGTGCCACTAACTGTAGTTCACTATGCTCCAGAGCCCCAAAACCCAGGGCGGGGATCCATTGATGGCAACCAACCTCGGGAGTGCTGGCGAGGCTGAGACATTATGTCGAATCTGCGGGGGCCAAATCACTATATTGGTTGACTCACATGATATGATTCCAAGCCCCTGGGAGAGAAAGACGGAGCTCCGGTGCTTTAGCCGGAGCTTTGTAGAAAAAGGGATAGTCGCTCCACAGACGCCTAGTACCTAGGGAAGTACATATTTTGATGATCGGTCCATTGCTAAGGATCCACGATATGAAGTCAAGCCTGGCAGTATCCGCACTGGCTCGTACCCCAGGGCCTATCAAATACTACTATGACAGTGTGGGAGGTGAATAGCCACTTTACCGTTGAGATATCGGTATTTTATCTCATTTAAAATTGAGATATTACTCCATGTTTAGTGTCAAACTCACAAAAGTAGTAATATTTTGGATATCCGAGAGGGAGGAAGCGATATACCCTTGCTTTGCGCCGTGTTGAGACCCGAAGCAGCAGTACTATTTAAATTCAAAATATTATTGGGCTGTTGATGCTCTCTAGATTGATTGACCTACATTCTTGGAAGTATAGATAAATAAAAAGTTTGAAAAATTTGTTCGTAGTCAATCATCCTAATATTTTGGAACGTAAAGTTAAGGGGAATGGGTACTAGTAACAAAGATATCACATGCGTCTAACGAAAAGAGTAAACTACTATATGCCGAGCTACCTCTTAACGTTGTCTATTAACTAGTAGTACATGAATCTTTGTCACGACTGATTGCAAGATATTACCAGTAGATGCTTAACCGGATAATCTAGTCCAATTGTAGTTTATTACTCCAAGCTTCTTTGTTCGCTGTAGACAAGTATTTGAAGTAGAAACATTTGTGGCCTCAGGCCCATGATCGGAGATCTAACACAACCCGACCCTGCAACTTCCCATCCCTCATGTCCTCGAAGACGCGGTCAATACTCTGAACTTTTTCCACCTGAAAAGGTGTAGTGGCGACTCTCTTCGCCATATCCAGCGTTTCTATAGCATCCTTCCGATTGCCGACAGTGCTGCCGACGATTTTCAGTTGCTTCGAGACCATGATATGAGGGCAGGCGTTTTCGATTGGCCTTGGATCGCCAGGAACACCAACACAAACCAAGGTTCCGTTGAACCTCAAGAAATCCAATCCTTGTGCATATGCAGCATTGCTGGCACTGCAAATAACCACCGCCGAAGCCCCAGCACCTCCAGTGGCAGCCATAACCATTTCGGCAGCGCTTTTGCCTCGATCGCCAGTAGAGCATTTGGTGATATCAATAAATACCTCGGCCCCGCACCCCTTGACGAATTCCTCCTTCGATCCGATATCCAGTCCAATGATTCTGAAACCCATCCCTCGGCTTCCAAGCTGCACTCCCAGATGACCAAGCCCACCGCCAGCCCCAGCAATGACGACCCAGTCCCCCGACTTAGCCTTACTCTTCTTGAGGGCTGAGTAGACCGTCACTCCTCCACACAGTAGTGGTGCGGCCATTCCGCTTGACAGACCATCTGGAATGGGAGTGACATAGTGGGCGGGGGCGAGAACAAATTGCTGGAATGTTCCTGGCCATGTGAAACCAGAAACCTTCTGGTTTGCACAGACACCATCTGCACCAGAGAGACAAGCAGCACAATTTCCACAGGCGAAGGCTATCCATTTGATTCCGACACGGTCGCCAATACGGACACCTGAAACGTCACTAGATGGATCCATCTGGACCACAATGCCGACACCTTCGTGCCCACCAACTTGACCACTCTTGATGGGCTCGGGTAGGAATTTCCACTGTCATAATTAGCATTCTGAAAAGATTTATACGTTTACATCTATATAATCAAGAGGTGCAGCTTACTGTATTTGTCATCAGACTGAGATCTGAATGACATACACCGGAATGGGTACTATATTTGAACATGAGTATTGGATCCAGCGAGGGGATAATGGAAATCATACATCTTCACCAGCACCTCTCCGGGCCCCGGAGTTGGAGTTTCAACATCCACGACATTGGTGGATATCTCACCTGGCTTGTCGTAGACAATGGCCTTGTGTGTCTTTGGGATGATCATTCCGAGGGCTTTGCTTCGTTGGGCAGAAGCAAAAAAGGATGAGGATAGCACAGAGAAAAAAACAATTGCTGAAATTTTGGTTCTTATTTCTGTGGGATACCGAAATCTACACTGAAATAGGTTCTAAAAGCTATCATTTATCATTTATCACCACCGCACTTTTCCATCTTGAACCGAGTAGCGCCGCTCGGAACCCTTAGTCGACTATAGCCGTGGCAGCAGACTAAAGTCCATGGCTACAGATATCATATTACAAAATATCAGTAATTGCCATTTCAAGTCCATTTCCGTCCTCACCCGGGGTTCCATTCGCGAACCTTTCCCGGGGAACGGCTAAAGATGACTCCATTCCGCTCAAGCATAAGTACGAGTCCCGTCATAGTTGGTCAACCCAATTTAAGTCTCTACTTGCCCTTCCAATTCTCTCGCTCAGCTCTTCCAATATTTCCATCATCAAGCAGTATTCTTCTAGTCTACTCCAGCCGACCATGGGAAGTTCCGATTCCACCTTCGAAACCTTTTTCAATGTTGTGAATGGGGAATGTCGTAGTGCATTCAAATTTAGATATGGAACTGATCCATCCACGGGAAAGAAGCTGTGGGATTGGCCAGTGGCCACCACGAACGATGTGGAGGAGGCTGTGCAATCTGCGAATGATGCCTTCGAAGTCTGGTCGAGCACTCCGATTGAAAAGAGGGTGGAGAAGATCAGCCAGTGGAGGGAGTCTTACAAAGGATACTGTGAGAATTTCACCACACTTCTCATGGCGGAATGTGGTAAGACCCGCGCGTTGGCAGCTGGCGAGGCGAATGAAGTGATTTCGCTGTTTGACCATCACCTGCAATTGCGCATTCCTGAAGAACGGATCGAAGATGACAATCGCGTCATCACGACACGTCATGTTCCCGTGGGAGTAGTTGCTGCCATCTGTCCCTGGAACTTTCCTGTCGTCTTAGCCATGGGCAAGATTCTTGCAGCAGTCTTGAGTGGTTGCTGCATTATTGTGAAACCTTCGCCATTCACGCCTTACTCTGCACTGAAATTAGTGGAGTTGGCGCAGCCTTTCTTCCCGCCTGGTGTGATCCAGGTCCTTGGGGGTGATGATTCTCTTGGGCCTGCACTTGTGAGCCATCCTAACATCCACAAAATCTCGTTCACTGGATCCAGTGCCACTGGAAAGAAGATCATGCAGTCAGCTGCCGGTACGATGAAGCGTGTGACTCTAGAACTGTAGGCATATTTTGAATTCTCTCTGACCACCAACTATACTAATATTCGCTTTATAGTGGCGGTAATGACCCGGCTATTGTTTTCCCCAATGTCGACATCGAAAAGACAGCCTCAGAAGTTGTTCAAGGTTGTTTTGTGTTCTCTGGCCAAGTGTGTGTTGCTATCAAGAGGGTGTATGTGCACGAGGATATTTACCAGCCATTCCTAGATGCCATGGTGAAGGCTGCATCGATGATTCAGGTTGGCGAAGCCACAGATAAGAGCACGACGATGGGGCCTATGCAGAACGAGATGCAGCGTCAACGAGTACAAGAGCTTATCGCTGATACTGAAGCCAACGATTACACCTTTGCACTACCACCAAGATCTCTTGAGAGCAACTCTGGATATTTCCTCTCGCCAGCTATCATCGACAACCCTCCTGAGAATTCGCGCGTCGTTGTCGAAGAGCAATTTGGTTCGTAACATTTCGGGCTATATAGATATCGTCATGGCTAATCAGTTCTCCTTCTCGTTTAGGGCCTATTATACCGGTACTTAAGTGGCGCAACGAAGCAGATGTCATCTCCCGTGCCAACAACACGAAATCTGGTCTCGGCGCCTCAATTTGGAATTCTGATGCAACCCACGCTGAGCGGGTCGGACGGCAAATTCAGTCAGGAAGTGTTTTCATTAACTCCTGGGCAAAGACAACACCTCGGGGTATGCTTTCCGGGCACAAAGAAAGTGGAATTGGTGGAGAGTGGGGTTCGACTGGCATTCTTCACTACTGCAACGTGCAAGTCATGCATGTTTTCAAGTGAAGGTGAACCGTGGAACTGGCTTCCCCACGCGATGTTTTCCCCGTCTTTTGCCGGCTAAACCGTTTCAGGCGGCTTCTGCGGGGAATGCCGAGGCCGTATAAATTTCCCCACGAGAAAGAACGAAAAAATTTCATAGAATCAGAATGATGAAAATCTTGCTGCAAACCTCTCTGTCCAGATGACTCGTAGTCGCAATATTCGTCTTTATCGCGCGTGTGAACGCTGTCGTCAACGGAAATTGAAATGTGACCCGTAAGTTGCGACCCGCTCACCACTGGTGATACCAGTATGCTGATCACTTCAAGGACAACTTCGCCGGATGGAAGCAAGTCGCCTTGCTTAGAATGTATTCGTTCGGGTGAAGAGTGCATCCTTGCAGGCTCACGGCGAGGAGGGGACTTTTCAAAGTTTCGCCGTTCAGCTAGAAAACAAAGGCTGAACTCAGTATCCACTCCCAACCACGACGATGCAAATGAACTCGAGTTTCAACAAAACAGTGAATGCGAGAAGGGGTCGGAGGACCCAATCTATGCAGAGTTAACCAATCCCGGGGATGCTCTTCAGATTCTTGCTAGGCTAGCTGCGAGTGATCCGAAACGTTATAATGAAGACACGAACCCAAGGGCTCGGAACTCACCAGATAGCGATTCTTGCAAAGATGAGGTCAACTCCGGTGAAAATTCCATCAAACGCATACAAACCCCCGCATTGCAGCGCCCACTTTCTGAGACGGAGACATTGGTGATCGGCATTCTTGGTACAGACACGGCTCGGAGCTTGTTGAATCAGTAAGAAAGTCCATATACAACAAACTTTGCAGGGTCGGGGACTAATTGTACAGCTATGCCGATAATTATCATCCATTCTGTCCGCTTGCACCTAAAAGCGTTCTAACTACAAGTGACGTTCGAAGAACAGCAATCAACGAACCGCTGCTTCTGACTGTCATCTTGACCATCGCCTCGAAAGATGAGACGGCATATCAAGAGATCCACCAACAGTGCTGGCAGTATTTGAAGAAGCATCTCTTAGACGTACTGCTGGCGGTACCTTCAACTCTCAACGTTGGTACCGTTGAAAGTCTCCTGCTACTTGCAGAATGGGTTCCGTATCTACAGCTGGAGACCGGATCATATCCAAAACTATTCCCCGGAAATCTGAGTGCAGTTGAGGACAATATGGCTTGGTCACTTATTGGTCAAGCAGTGAGACACTCCTATCTTCTTCGACTCGACAAAGCGTCATTTCGAGAGAAAGTGCGAGGAGAGCCGGAAGACGTAGTAAACCGGAAACAACTAGCCTGGATCTGTAAATATTACTACCCAAACACGAATATTCAGCTTTGCTAATCTTCTCAGTTGTCTATATTGCCGATCGCCAGATATCAGTTCGAATGGGGCAATCATTTTGGTCTCGTGGACCGTCCCTGTCGACAAGGTTTACAGCTGATGACTTCCCAAGTCTTCGACTCAGTGTGGATGCTGAGCACAACTATGCGCAAGTGCTCCAGGCTACAATTGAGCTCACACAGCTTCTTCATAATGCGCACGATATTCTCTACTCATCAAAAGAAAGAAGAATGCAAATGGTACACTGGGGCGACTATAATCGCTATCTAGACGACTTTCGCCGGTCTTTGTCCGCATGGCATGATCGCTGGGGCAAACTCGACGCGTCTCCAAAGCTATATAGCACATTGAGAATTGTTAAAGAGTACGTACGTCTATACGTATGTGCATTTTCTTTCCAATCAATTCTTTCGAGGGCCGTTCAAGACAATCGCAACCATGATGCCATTGGATCGCCACCAGTAAAGGCCTCTTCGCTTTTCCCCCAAGGAATAATGTCCACTCCAGATGGGGTGTACGTCTTTGAGGCGGTTGATTCTGCCCAAAAGATACTGATGATTTCCAATGAGACGGATCCGGTGGCACATATTCGCTATATGCCATTTCGATTCTACGTTTATACGATCTATTCCGCAGTCTTCTTATATAAAGCGGCTGCCTTCGGTGCCTTTTCAGCATCGCAGCATAAGGATATTGTTGAGCTTGTTCAGCGATTTATACGCGTTCTCGAGCAAGCAGCAACATGCGATTCTCATATCGGTTATCGCTATTCAAAATTGCTGAAAAGGATATGGCTTTCCGATGCGACCAATTCAGTACAACACGAAAATGAAAATTCAGCATCACAGATTTACCAAAATGTTATGTTTCCGACAAGTGGAGAGTCGGCGGCATATGCAGATGATTCCCACGATGCTGAAAATCCAGAGATGCAAGTCCCAGTTTCTATGGACATGCTCACACCTGACTTCAATTTATTCTGTCCGGACTTTTCTAGTTTAGAATCCGAGCTCTTTGATATTGGTGCAGGCAGTTTTGGATTTCCAATTAGTTATAATCATCCTGATCTATCGTCCTAACTTAATCATATACTGAATCAACCTTCCAAATCGTCAAAAAGCACAAGTCTCTTGAGTATTTGCTATGTCTCCTGAAATAATTGAATTTGAATTCAAGAGATACAAAAAGATGAAGGACAAACCCATGCCTAGTTTCATTCTCAGTTTCGCTTTGAAAATAAACTCAGGCACTCTCCACATGAATCTCCTCTTCTCTTTTCTCTTGGGCTTGGGTAGATTCCATCACTACATTTTCCAAATCCCGCTTGTTAGATGCAGCTCTCCATGGCGCTCGGTTTTCGTTCAGTAACCCTTCGACCTCCTCCAATGTCTTTCCTGCTGTCTCGGGGAAACAGAAGAACACATGAAGCGTCATTGCAAAGCTAAAAACCCCGAAGATAAGATAGGTCTTCCATTTGATATTAACAAAAGCTGGAGGTGTGTAATAGCTCAATGCGAAGTTGAACATCCAGTTGCTGGCGGTGGAGAGCGCGACAGCTTTTCCTCGAAGGCGCAGGGGAAACAGCTCGGGTGGATATACCCAAGACACTGGTCCCCAACTAGGCGCAAAAGAGGCTACCACCAAATAGGAACAGGCAATTACCACTTTCGCGGGGGTACCGGTTATTGACCAACTTTCTTCTGCAATGTGATTCAATCCACCTGGAGGTGCTGGGGAGCCGTAGCCTCCCATGAGCCCAGCACAGAGGAACCACCATACCGTGAGAGAGATACTACCCATCAGTAGAATGGGTCTTCGGCCGACTTTGTCCAGATATAGAAGAGCGGGCACGGTAACAACAACATTGATGACATAGTTGATAGAAGATGCGACCAAATTGTTGTTACCACTCAGCCCCGCCATACCAAACACAAAGGTGATGTCTTGAATCCGATTAGCAAATCCATACCCAAAACATAATCTAGTAGTTGCAGGGTACTCACAATACATAATGACATTGATTCCAGTCAATTGAGACCATATCTGCACGAAAACGCCAATATGGAGTCTCCAGAGCATTGGCGGCTTTACCAGTTCAGTGAAAGAAACATCAGACTGAATGCGGTCCATATCACACGCTTCTCTCAACTGCTGGAGCTCCATTCGAACAAGATCATCATCAGGATTATTGTTAGCATGGATGAGGGCCAATATCTTCTGGCAGTCATCCCAGCGGTCCTGTTTCGCGAGCCATCGCGGAGACTCGGGCATCCAAAATATTCCAAAGAAGAGAAATATAGCCGGAATCATCTGCAGAGCCCAAGGCACCCTAAATGACGCTGTACCTTTCAAAAACGAACATCCATATGAGATGTAAAACATAATCAAGATACCCCAGGTAATGGCCCATTGCTGCGCACCGACGACAAGACCTCTTTTATGGGCTGGTGCTAGTTCGGCAACATAGACTGGTACCTGGGCAGAGCAAATTCCAACACAAATGCCGTTGATAAACCGGCCCACAATCAGCATGGGGAAATTTTGTGCCGCACATGAGATAACACTTCCAATGATCCTGTAGTGCATAAGTCAGGGACGCCAAACCCCTTCACGCAGAGGTAGCAGACGAACCAGATCACAGAGCCGATTTGAATCGACGACTTTCTTCCAAACGCATCTGTAAGTAGTCCGGACACAAGAGCCCCTATGAAGGAACCTCCAGGCATGGATGCTGTTATGCCGCCCTGTATCAACGAACGAGGACCCGAACAGTCGGGGGAATTACTGAATGGATATCCATGTGGCCCCTGATTGAAGTAGCATTTGTATTGATTTGTCCCTATTCTGAGAAAGTATAAGAAAAGAGCACAAGTAGTGTTGCCATAGTATTTACAGAATAACTCACATGGCTGACATTGAAGACAGGTCAAAGCCAAATAGTGTTCCGCCTATGACCGAGATGGCTGTGATGATGTAGATGTTGGTTATCATCGTGGTGGTTTCCCCTGCGTGGGTCAGTTACGGCGAATGAAGTATTGTTCAAATGGTAATAAATTGACTCGTTCGAGGATGGCTGGTGGCTCTGTTTTATAGATAATATGACAGCTAGAAACCCCATCGCCCCATGGACAGAACCTGGAGATACCCTGGGGAAGCTCCACCGATTCTAAATTACCGAGATGAAGCTCAAGTCAGAGAGTGCAGTTTGAGTTGGGCCATCTTTTGCCATGCTTGGCGGAAACTTTACTTTGCTAGCTTGGATTTATTGGTTAGATTCGAAATAAGACCCCTGTCAGACATCCACCAGGCGGCAGTTGGTATTGGGGGCCGGAACTGTGGGGGTCGGAGAAGGCTTCAGACGGCTTTAGATGGGTGTTTGTGTCCTCGACGTGATTCGGTCAAGAAAAGTGTTGCGCCAATGGCACAATCACACGCAATAAGATGGAGTTCTTTAATATACACATAGCTAAAAATATATATATATATATATATAAAAAAAAAGAGAAAAAAAAAACGAGATCGTTGTCGACCCACGCAAACAGAATTGACTCTTCAAGCGCCACCGATCCTATCTATTAATTGTTAGACAATGTATGCGACCGCAACAGCCAGAACACCCAAAATAATAGCCCATCGAGTGAGGCCCCGTCGTACATGAAATTTCGCAACTTCCCCTATCGCATCCCCATCGTTGACATGAGGGAACGGCAAATCTTTCGGAACCTCCTTGCCGAGAAATTCGCAGAGCGGCTCCCAGCCATCGCGCACGTCAAAAAACATCAATCGGTCCTCGGGGACGGCCTCTTTCAACCATGAAATATGGCGAATATAAGTCTGGCGTGTCGGGATGGCTTCACCATAGATTTCCACCCATTGATCGCGTAAAAGCGTGCAGTACGAGATAAAGTGTCGCATACCAGGAAGAGGGAGAAGAATGGCCTGGATGCACCACATCAAAGTGAGTCCTCTCACCTGATCTAGGCTCTTCTCCCATTTAATGGGGTCGCGCACTGTACAAATGACTTTGGCGGTTGGGTACAGTTCCAATAATTCAGGGACGAGTTGGCCACCAGGGCAATCGGTAATGGCAGCGTAGCCATTTAATTCGTGCTCCATGAGCTCCAATACAGCTGATCGATCGGGCGCCGTTCTAGCCAGCCAATGTTCCAAAATTCTCCCCCAAGCTTTGATTTGAGATGGGGGGGCCCAGGGTGGTTTGCGTCCCACCATGCCAGATTGGGCCATCTAGCAGGGTTTCCAGGGCCATGGTGAGAGAGGCTGTTCCAGTGCGTGGAAGACCTGCCCCGATGACTTGGAGCCGGGTCCCAGGCCGCGGAAGGGAGGCCTTCTGCCCCATGCTGATGGTACTAGGATGTCGAATGAACCTGAACCCCCAAGGATGCGGTAACGACGTTCCACGGAAGAGGCTCTGACGTCGGTGGTGCTCCCCCTTTAAAAGGAAGACACCGCCTATGACGGAAGTATCAGATTGAACTGGGCTGGCAATGGGATGGTCCCATTGGATATCCAGATAAGCTATTGATAAAATATCAGTTCACGAGGTCCTTATATGGGACTTGACAAAAATTCAAGTGAAGCCTCAACTTCCAAGTTGCCCTAAACGTCATTTGTTGGTAATAGCCTCACTTAAGCACCACTTGAGAGACCAGTTCAGAGCCATCCCCGAACAGCCTCACCGTGCTCACGTCTTAATTCAATTCCAGGATTCGACTAGTTGTTTACGGTTAAGTGCCCAGGTATGGTATCGTTGAAATTCATCTACTCCTAGTATCAATGTTATTTACAGCATCATCGTACTATGCATCTCAGAACGAAACGTGAACACAAGAATGTTGGAGATCCATCGATGGGTATAGTCTTGGCCATATGTGAAACATGAAATGGATTCAGAATATTTATCGTATAGCATGATGTATGGTTCAAGATATGTTCCTTCTCTCACACTTAAGAGGGCGGAGGTAATCCACTTTAACCATGAACTGGGAGTATCCTGGCGTCGAGCCTCAGGTTCAGGTCTCATGGTTCCAAAGTGACATAGCTCTATGCAGATGCTGAAGATGTGGTCCTAAATGGAAGCTGGGTGAAATATCACCCATTGAAGCGCCACGGGAAAGTTGCGATGCCAGAGAAAGAGGCGGCTCGGTAGATTAGCGGGTGCATGCACAGCGTCAAGGCCAGCAGCGCCTGCGCCACTTTCCATGCACGTTGTTGGTTCCAGAAATAAGAATCTTTCCTGGGGTTAAAAGACAATATCACAAGATTTTCAATGCCGACTGATCTAGTTGTTCAGTTTGTTGTTGCGGGGTTGCCAGAGATGGTTCTTATCCAGGGTTGTTCGCTACTTTGTCCAGAGCCACAGCGTGTAGGGCTGGCTTTTCGACGTCGTGGAGTAGACCGTCTTTCCGGCGCTGAAGCTGCTGGTGGACCCAGTCGGCGACCTCTTTATCCTCAGTCATGGATGACGGAGGGTCCTGACCAGGCTCCGAAGATGCGGAGGCAGCCGCTGCTTCAGCCTCAGGCGGCGGGCGCATCAAAGGCACAAGCCATGCATGCCGCAGTAACATGTTGTAGGTCGGTCGGTTTTTGGGATTCTTATCGAGGCAAGCTTGCACAAATGCATGAGCCTCCTCTGAGTATCCAGATTCGGGGAGGCCAGGCGGATCGCCATGAACGATTGCCTAATTCGAACCAGGTTAGATCTAGATCAAGATGTTAAACAGTAGGGAAAGACTCACATGAAGCTGGCTGAAGATGTTGGTGAAGGTCTCCGGCGGGTACGGATAACGTCCCATTGCGCACTCGATGACGGACAGCCCCAGACTCCAGATGTCGCTTTGTACACTGTATGTTCCACCGCTGCTCGCTCCCGATTGCTGCATTCCGCCGCCGGCGATTCGCTCCGGGGCCATGTAGCTTTGACAGCCAATGTTTGTCTTTGCAATGCTCGAAACCAGGTTCCCACTGACTCCGAAATCACAGATCTTGATCTGGCCCTTGCTATTAATCAAAATATTCGTGGGTTTGACGTCGCGGTGAATGATATTATGTTCGTCCTTGAGCGCCTTTAACCCCATGATTGTCGAGAGGGTGACCTTGCGCAGGATATTCTCTGGAACACCGCCTTCGTACAGCTTGTCGATTGAACCTCCATCCATAAACTCAACACACATATAGACAGCTCCTTCTTGGAAGAACGCTCCATAGAAATCGATGATAAAAGGCGAGACACAGCGATGCAGAATATCCAATTCCATGATGATTTGGGCAAACTTGCTCTCATCCAGCTCAAGCCGAATTTCCTTCATGGCCATAGTCACACCTGACAGGTTATCTTGACGGACGAGATTGTCATCCTGTCCCGGTGCTCGACTAACGATCCCACCCAGCCCCGTTCCAGGCTTTCGCATTTGCGGGCGACTGTGTCGGACTTTGTAAACCGTACCATAATTACCCTTGCCTAGCTCATCCAACCGATCGACTTCATCAAGAGAGATCTTGAAGCTATGCCCCGAAGAAAACTCCACGCCACCTCCATGCAAGATGGCCTTATTTTTGAAATTCAAGGTTCCAGCCTTGGTATCAATGAACTCGGCGTATTTGGTGAAGGCCGATTCTCCTCCTCCTCCTCCTCCTCCTCCGCCGCCGCCGCCGCCGCCGCCATTCTGCTCCGCGGGTTTGGGGTCCGTGCCATTTACTGGCGGTGGCGGTCCGGTGACATCTGACAGCTTCAGACCAGGTTTCATACGTTTAGCTGCCAAACCACCGGTCGGACCTGGTCGCGGAGATGCCGGTGTGGAATTGACGGCGGGGATGGTAGGGGAGGAGGCCCAATCTTTGATATTGGGACGTGCGGTCGGCATGCGTCCCGCCAAAGCACCACCAGCGCCGGCCTCCTGGGACGTTGGTATCGTCCCGGTGGAGGCAGTGTGTGGTAATGTGGTAGGGACACCCTGTCTGGAAAGAGAGAAAGCTTTCATTTTGGCCATGATATCCTGGTTCAGTCCTCCAACTCCTTGTGAGCTCATGGATGGAAGGGGGCGTGGCGGCGGGGTACCCGCACCCTGCCGTGCAGCATTGATCTGACCGATATGCGTCGACGAGGCGGAGATATCAGCTGGGAGTTCACTCGATGGGATAAGATTCGGCACTGAGGCAGAGCCGGCTTGCGTGGCTGGTGATGCAGGGTCGAGGGGGGGCGAGTCCCTCATCGGTGAGGGGGGAATCGGCGGGGGAGTCGGCCATAGTGCTCGCCGCGCGCGGACGAAAGGACTATGGGGCCGGCGGAATGCGAACCGACGACAAGGGCCGGTGCAATTGGTGTGAGGGTGCCGTCTTGGGGTGTAGACGCACCGCGAGTCGGCGCTAAAGAAGAAAAGTGGTGATGCTTGGGGAAGAGTCAAGGTGGAGAGGAAAAGAAAAGCAAAGGGAGAAGGAAGAGAAGGAGAAGGAGAAGGAGGAGGACGAGGACGAGGAGGAGGGGGTCGGCAGAAAACGTGCCCAGGTGAACTTGTGAACCTTTGGAAGGTGCCCGCAAGATGTAGTCAGGCAACGGCAGGTGCTACCAACAGGTGCCAGCAGGTGCCAGTGCCAGTGCTACGAGTACGCCAATATGATTTAAACCACCTTCCCATCTGCATCTACCTTGATTTTTTTTTTACGTCCCTCCCCCCACCTGCGTCACTGCTGGCTTCACTTCATTTCTACTCGTACCTCTTTCCCCCCCTTCATTTCATTTTACTCCCAAGTCCTTTTCCCACCTTGGTCTGGTCGCCTTCGCATCTCTAACCGGGCGGTCGTACCGGCCAATCACAGAGAACTCTCGACCCAAAAGCAGGTTTTGACACGGCGGAGTAGCACATTCAATTTACAACATGCCGTGCCTCAAAGATACTCCGGAATATACCGAGAACTCATTCGTCGACGCACTGCAAATTGCGTCTTCGGATCCCCGTTACTTACTACGAGTAGCAGCTGCTCGACATGGAAATCCCGTTTTCTTCCCCTTGGTGGAACATGGTTGGTACGGATTCGGATCCATACAATTCGCTGGATAAGAAAGAACCTAGGGCCTCGACTCGTTGATTCGGGCTACACTCTGCTCCACTTTCCACCTGTGGCTTCCGACCCAAGCGAACACGGTTGGGAGATACCAAGACAAAATTCGGCCGGAGATATACCTACCTTCATGTTGTCGACAACTAGATTATGGCGGAGGCCCACCGAAATGCTCCATGTATATCATAACTAATCCAGCTGATGAGCCAGCGTATATCTTAAGCTAGTCTGATGTTTATCTGGCGCGAAGCAAACGCACGGACCTGAACCTCCTCCCCGCGGGTTATCCTTTCCTCTCCTTGTGAAGCTCCATCATCCATCGGTATCGGTACATCGTCATGACATCAATATTCGAACCTTTGCGGTTGATTGGTGAGGATATCTACCTGCATGAACCGCCAGGCAATGACAGCTCTGGTGGACCAGGAACACTCGCGCCTGCTTTGGTGGTTTTGTGTACCTGGGCTGGGGGTGCCACCCCCGCCGCATCAACAAGTACCTCTCCCAGTATCGACAGCTTTACCCATCCTCAGCTCTTCTTTTAATCACGACAAGCATCCCCGACACTGCTTTTCGGCCATTCAGATGGATCCGACGTCGTCTCAAGCCCGCCCGCCGTGCAATCCGTCAGGTCTTGGCGTCGCCGTTCGCCGGCGACGAGCCCTGGGACACAGAGGACCGACCTGGTATTTTATTCCATTTATTCTCTCATGGCGGATGCAATATTGGGGTACAACTATCCCTCGCCATGAGAGAAGAAACCGATCAGGGCATGGCATTTCTTTTTCTAGAATTCGGGGTATAATTCTAGACTGCTCCCCTGGAGATGACGCCTTTGAAAGATCATATCGTGCTGCCCTTCTCTCTGTACCCCAGAACACAATAGCTCAGTTCGTCAGTGGCACAATATTATACCCCTCACTTTCTGTACTCAATGGTTTACAGAATGCTGGGTTCATTCGCGCAGTGCGAGACCTACGTCTCGCATTGAACGATCCAAATACGTTTGGCACAGATGCCAAAAGATTGTACATTTACTCTAAAGAGGACGTCATGGTGGGTTGGGAAGATGTCCAATCTCACTTTGAAGAGGCCAGATCCCAGGGCTATACCGCCGATCAAATTGTTTTCGAGTCTGGTTCGCATTGCACACTCATGGTAGAAGATGCAGATCGATATTGGAAAGCTGTCCAGAGGTTCTGGGAGGGTGGGGACTTGTCTGCTTTGAGTTTCAACCCGGCCCCATCGGGTGCTATATCCACCTCCAGAAACCAACCTCACTCGCGCAGCCGACTCTAAGCGTGGAGATCTAACTGTGTCACTGCATGCTTAATTACGATGTGTCTGTGTCACCTGAAAACCATGCCAGTAGATACTTTGCTGGTCAATGACGATATACCACACACATCTGTTGGGGAGGGCTGAACGGGAGAAGTAACTATTTTTCAGGTCTGTTTCGATTCTCTCATTTCGAAACCTGGGAGATGCTTGAAAGTATGGACCAGGCTACTGTATATACATACCTTGATTAAATATGAATTTTGACTTGGACCAATAAATATTCAATCTTTTGATTCAAGGTCACAGTATGCATGGCATATACTTGTAGTATCCGTCATCAGTCTCCGAGTCTGCAACAGATTGCGCCGCATATGGTATATAATAGTCATCTCATGAATTCGGATACTATCGCATCGAACTTGAAATCAACATCATGATGACGACCTCCGGATGCAGATTGCTTTTCTTCGGCAGGTTATCCAGTCCCTGGGATGATATTTAGGTCCATATTCTCAGTCTCTATTTCATTCAAGATAGCATAAAAATGAGCCCACAAACCTGCAATAAGAAGACCGTGCACAAAAGACTACAGGCATGAAACTTTGGAAGGCTTGCGCCCGAGGGCGCTTCCACGATTTGGGTTAGGAAAGACCGAGAGCCGGGTATGTTACACAGGGCATTCTGCGGTATCCGTTGTCTATATCTTTTGGGGCCATATACGTTCTATTGCGGATACGACAACGGCCAAATGCCATTTATGAAGGTAGAGAAAGAAATATCTGAACATTCATTAGCTGGAAGCATGGCTAAGTGGTCCTCGAATCGGGCATTCAACAGATGCTACACCGTACGAAAAACACATAGGGCGATCATTCAAGCGTTTCACGGAGACGTCATTTGATGCGGCTTAGGAAGAAGATGAATACTTGAGATTAGTGGACAATTATAAACTGAGGATCAAAAGGTTTTGCATCGTAGGCCAGATAATTAATATGCTATCCTATGCGCGAGTTATCAGCCCATGTGCATACAAGCTTACGAACACGGGCAGAGGATCGGCGACCGTCCAGTAGACCACTTGGCCAGATGTGCTCATATGGTTAGTCCCAAACTTCTCAGAAGTTACTCCGGTGGTTGTTGTAGACTTGAATTAATAATACTGAGGTCAGTGGTAAAAGAAGAAAGGATAATCCAGATGACATCAACGGGGTTTGTCGATGCCCACACTCGCTGCTTTAGTCCCACAATCTTCTCCTGTGTTATACTGCTGGGGAATATACTACAAGCATTCAAGTTTAGGTTCTCTAACTTGAAATAAAAGGGCAATTTTCTTACAGAATTATTGAGCAATCCTTTCTTTGCTGAGTTTAACCTTGACCAAACAGCATTACGGTAGTAATATTTGAACGCAAAGCCCCTCTCAATCCTGGGTAGGAAAGTGAGCAAAAATTTCGTATTGCTTTCCGAGGGACATAGATGCTTTCAAAAGAAAAGAAAAGAAAAGAAACGTCAAGTTAAACAAATTAATAGAAGTATCATATCTAAACTTTTCCACCTAAAAAAAACCAATCCTGAGCCAACCAATCTCATTCCTAGACATGACTCATTGTGTTAAGCGGATTACAGGCCGGCAAAGATCCAACTAGAGTTGATATAGGTTACATCGATGGTTTTGTAGTTCGGAACAAACTTGAAAGGGTTTAGCATGGGCCAAGGTATAAAAGACAGCTCCGATTGGCGCTAACCACAAGGGGTAATCGACAATCAAGCTCCCCGCGTCGCAAAACAATCAATTCCGCGCCGAGAGGTTCCCTTGCTTCATCACAATGCCTCACCTGCGCCGACAACCAAACCCTCACGATCTCCTCGCGAATCAAGGCTCCGACGGTCCGGGGAACCTGCGGGCCCAATTCCAGACACCTCCCTCCCGGCACACCCCCTCCAATCCAACCCATCGACACCCACCATCCTCAGGTCCGAATGGTCTCACACCAGAGCCAGCAGTCTTGATGGCCCCTCCGAGTCACAATCCATTTTCTATTTTCGCGCGTGGAAGACATCAACATCAACCTCAACCTCAACCTCAACCTCCACCCCAACCGCCATCCCCAGAAGAAGAAGTGGTAGAGGAGGAGGAGGAGGAAGAGGAGGAGGAAGAAGAGGAAGAAGAGTTCGAATATTACGACCAAGATGCACATGATATGGTTGGACAGGACGATGAGTCGATCGGCCTGGACCCAGACGATGAACTGGAACCCGAAGAAGATATTGACGAGTCAGAGCTGTATGGCGAGGAGGTCGACGATGGGCTCGAAGAACAACTAGAGGACGAAGATATTGACGAAGAGATGCACGATCGAGGTACGTCGTGCGCTACATCTACCTGCGCCTCCACCTACATCTGAGAACCCCGCCAAGAATCAACAAGCCCACTAACGTCTGGAAAAATAGAAAAATCACCATCTCCATTACCTCCCAACCTTCGCGAGATCTCCTCTCTCGCGTCCTGGACCGTCTCCACCTCCAAACCTGGCTGCGGTGTCTCGGCCCTCCGTCACCCTTCACCAATGCAATACTGGCAATCCGACGGGCCACAGCCACACACACTCACGCTGCACTTCTTCAAGTTGGTCGCCGTCGTACGCATCCGGGTATATCTCGACTTCGAACTAGACGAGAGCTACACGCCAACGAAAATGATATTCTTGGCCGGTATGGGTGGGAACGACCTTGTCGAATTCGCCACTTGGGAGGGAGACGGGCCCTGCGGCTGGGTGAATGTTCCCTTGGAAGGTGTCGGCGGTCGAAATGGGGGTTGGGTTCGCGAGGAGACGTTGCAGCGGAAACGGCGTTCGAAGAGTGCGCAGCGACGGACACAGACCTCGGGTTCCCAGAAGAACCCCACGGCACAAGAAGATGATAGTGATGCCCGCGATACGGCAGATGAGGAGTCAACTAGTCAAGACGCAGGCCACCAAGGAACCCTCGATGATCCTTACGCGGGCAATGTACTGAAGGCTATGGTTATTCAGATGCGCGTGATGGAAAACCATCAGAATGGAAAGGATACCCATGTACGTGGGTTTCAGGTCTTCGCATGCGATGATACCCGTCGACGCATGGTGTCTGCTCCGTCTGCTTCGGCGGATGGCCGTCATCGTCGACACAGTGCTCGACAATCGCTTCGGGGAGCTGATGCCCTACCACATTCACGTGTGGAAGGCGGAGGTGTCGATCCGAGTAGTCTTATGGCTGCTTCTGGACTTGATGAGCCGGATTGGATGGGTGAGCCGGTGATCAGGTAGCTGTTTCATTAATGCCGAGTGTTTGCATAGCGTTGGTATTAGGGCGTATGTTTTACGGATTGTGAGGCTTTTTCTGTTTTTGCTCCTACTTTGCATTTGGAGTTTAAGCGACTTCGAGAGATACCCTCCAAGTGTCGTTACGGGCTGAGCCAGCGATTTATTTTTAAATGAAATGAATACTCAAATCAAAACTTGGATACACCAGCCTGAGCTACGTTTGATGAAAGGATGTCCTGGATCAAAAATTCCAAAGGGTATTCAATTTTGGTCTTCTACACTAGTCATGTCTCATATATAAAACCACTCGGCTCGTTTAAGCGGCGACTTTTACTTGAGGAGCTTCTCGAGCTCAGCAACGACGGCGTCACCAACCTCGGCAGTGGTGGCCTTGCCACCAATATCACCAGTGCGAGTGCCAGCCTCGATGACGTTGCTGACAGCCTTCTCGATGATGCGAGCCTCAGCGAACATGCCGAAGGAGTACTGCATCATCATGGCGACGGAGAGGATGGCGGCAACGGGGTTGACGATGCCCTTTCCGGCAATATCGGGGGCGGAGCCTAATTTGAAATTGTGATTAGGAGTGTTTCGATACAAAACATCGAAAGAGGAAGGGTTATGACTTACCGTGGATAGGCTCGTAGATACCGTTGACACGACTCTTGCCGTCAGGAACACCGCTCAGACTGGCACTGGGCAGGAGACCCAGCGAGCCGGGGATAACACTAGCCTCGTCGCTAATGATATCACCGAAGAGGTTGCTGGTGACAACGATACCGTTGAGCTTGCGGGGGTCCTTGATCATAAGCATGGCAGCGGAGTCGATCAGGTGGTGACCGATCTGGACCTGAGGGAACTCATTGGCCATGATCTCAGTGACGACCTTGCGCCACAGACGGCTAGTAGCCAGAACATTGGCCTTGTCCAGACTCCACACGGGGAGAGGGGGGGTTGTGCTGCAGGGCCAGGTTACCGGCCAGGCGGGTGATGCGCTCGATCTCAGCGCGAGAGTAGGGCTCGGTGTCCATGGCGAATCCGGAGCCGTCGTCCTCCTTGCGCTCACCGAAGTAGATACCACCAGTCAGCTCACGGATGATGTTGAAGTCGACACCACGGCAGACCTCGGCCTTCAATGGAGAGCTCTCGACCAGCGAGGGTGCGGCGAAGTTGCAGGGACGCAGGTTACCGAAGGTGCCCATCTCCTTACGGAGGCGCAGGAGACCCTGCTCGGGACGGACAGCACCAGTGCCCCATTTCTGTTGTTATAATCCATTGTGAGCCTGCCATCCTATGAATTGTTTTGACGAAGTGTCGAACGTACCGGTCCGCCAATGGCACCCAGAAGCACAGCGTCGGCGTTCTTAGCAGCCGCAAGGGTATCCTCGGTCAGGGGAGATCCGTTGTCGTCGATAGAGGCCTATTAATCGGGATTAACTAGGGTCTTGGAGACTGTCCTCAGGGGAGTACTCACACCACCGAACAGCTTGTCCTGCAGGTTGAAGGTGACATCACGGTTCTTCTCGATCACACGGAGGACCTTTATACCAGGAAAATGTTAGGGTTTATTCCTCACAATGCAGCACCAAAATATCAAGTCCGCTCACCTTGATGGCCTCGGTAGTAACCTATGATTTCACTTGGCGTTAGCTATGATTCAAGAAAGACCCGCGGAACCCGGGGGAACGGGGAAGGATATGGGGGTTAATATGGCGAAGGAGCGTACCTCAGGACCACAGTGGTCACCACCCAGGACAACGATGTTGAAGGAAGACATTATGAAATTGCACAAAAGTAAGAAGAATGGAAATCAGAAGACACTCAATTGGTTCTCAAGGGGGAGCTTTAAAAAAGGTGGGATGCGGGTGAAGTCGACCCCTCCGACTCCGAGATCGGCGCCGAGCAGCCCACATAACTGCGCCGCAAAGAAAATTGACGCCGTGCAACGGGGATGATTTTCGATGGTGCAGAACCGCGTCACTGGCATTCATCCTACGCGGCTACTAGCGGCTGATTGAGGTCATCGGGTTCTCCGATCTCCCCGTCTCCCGTGTACACTACTAGTAGTTAGTGCAGGCTCTGTATACTACAATGTTTCTCGGCCGGCGAAAAAAGTGTTGGCATGCATTAAATGATGTATACTCAAAGCGTTCAGAATATTAAACGAGGGGAGGGAAAGACTGAAAAGAAGACGGGGTCAAAGGGGAAGACAAGAAGTGAAGCAGGTGTAAATAAAAAGAATGAAAGTGACACAGCTCTGTGTGTACTGTACAAAAGGTTCGTTCCTAAAACCAACCCAACCAAGCCCATTCCGATAGGGCAGTCCTATTCCGCCCAAAAACGCTCGTCAATAGGATTCGAACCACCAAACCATTCTCTCCACGGGAGTCCCGGCGACAATTTATGACACTGTCAGCCAGCCAGTCCCCAAAATCACAGACCGTAGCTCCAAAGACATGCATGACCCGGACAGGGGCAAAATAAAAGACGAAAGGAAATGATCTCAACTGGCCCTCGGTTAACCGAGAGACCATTTGTGCAGCTGTTCATGGAGTAGAATTTATTTCTTGTTGGCACGTCGGGCTGCGATATCTCCCTCCGCGAGCCACTTGCTGGCATTGATCATCTGAACGACGTTGACATACTGCTTGAATGCCATGATCGGCAGCGAGACCAGGGTGATGATCCATGGGAAAGTGCTGTCAACCTTGTTCGCACGAGCCATCTCGAGTGCACCAGCACTCCAGGGGCTCGCAAAGAGACTGCTTAGCGCGGGGTTGGCCGGGGTACCGGGCTGCGCGGAAGAGGGCTGCGCATCTGGGACGGGCTGGAGCAGCGAGGGCGACAGCACAGGCGAGGAGAAGGAGAGGAGGTAAAGACCAATGAAGAACAGTTCATTGGCTCCGCAGCAGATGAACAGAACAGTCTAAATTTGAAGATAAACGGATTAGCGTAAGCAGGAGGTACTCCTCAAATCATGCGATGGATGTCGTACCTTGCTGTGGTAGTACTGGTAGAGAATCCAGCTTCGCTCGGAATCGATCTTCTTGTGGCTCATGTTCGAGCCGCCCATGCTGAGAGTGGCGTACATGTGCATATAGTGACTGGCCATGTCCAGGCAGATCAGGCTCTGGAAGACGATGGCCCAGCGAGGCCACGCCGAGCTCAGGAACACCAGTAGACAAGCAGTAGTGCAACGATCAGTCACCATGTCCAGCACTGCGCCGAAGGTAGTCGATTGGTTGAAGTATCGCGCGGCATAGCCATCCAGCGCATCCAACAAACATGACACGCTGTAAAGAAGAGAGCATGTGCGTGGGTGGAGGGGCATGTAGTAGAGGGAGGCAATGGCGAGAACGATTCGGGAATATCCTGAGAAGAGGCATCAGATCAATAATGGGTTCGATGGTTTCCATAGAGCTATGAATGTTCACCTACCGATAAGGTTGGGGGCAAAGAGGAAGATGTTCTCCCTGGGTTCCTCGTTCAGGTTCGATCTACTCCGCTTCTTCGAGGGCGCCTTCTTAGAGGGTGTAGACAGGGTGCCATTGCCATTTGCTGACTCCTCGCTCTCGTTTCCCTCGGCAGCAAGGGCCGCCTTTTGTCGACGTGTTCGGGCGCTCATTGCGTTGTGGATGTTGGGGTGTTATTAGGTTGGGTGATCAAGATGACAACGCAACACGGCCAGGGGACCACGGGTTGACTTCAACAACCCGGTTCGAAACGAAGGCTTGATGTGATAAGAATGATAAGGTTGGAAGCGGTAGTCGCAAGCGCAGCTCAAGGGAAATATTGCGGCACTTGGGAAGGTAGGGGGGGTTTAAGTTATGGGAAAGGAGAAAATTCGTCGGGCAATAGATAAGGGAAGGTGATAAGCTGAGGCGCGCCGCGTGTTGGAATTCGGATTCGGAGTGGATCTGGAAGGGGATTGTAGGTAGAATAAATAAAAAGAAGAGAGCGTGAGAGAAACGGATGTATCCGGGGAAGATGAGGAATCAAGTCGACGAACTAGGGGTAGGAAAGGAAGAAAAAGGATGACAGAAACCCCTGTTGTGCCAGTGCAAAGAATGTTTACGGGTCGCCCGGAACCTTGGGAAGCTTTCCCCACGCCGAATCCACCGGGCTTCCTCTTTCTACTCCCGTCCTCCGAGTCGGATCCCGTTAATTAAAGGATTCTACTAGCAGGTGGGGGGGTAAACTGGAGAGGAAACCTGAAATAAACTGCAAGTTGAAAATGACAATGCCACTTGAATGATATATGTATAATAATGTGGTATAGAAGAAATTAGTATGTGCAACTGAGCTCGTAAAGAACCCAAAACAACTATATACAGACAGCATCGCTTGAAAAGATATCTAGGATATTGGAGATTGTCTCATGTCCGTGACCTGCGCGGATCAGTGGCATCCTGACGTCGCCACTCGCGAGACTCCTTGGTCCCCAAGCTTCCCACGCCTCCCTCTTGTCGCCGTTCCCAACCGCCAAGCCGAATAACAAGACAAGTGGCATTGTCTCCTTCCTTAGAGACCTCCGTAGCGAAACCCACCACATCACGGGCACCTTGCTCGGGGGTCTTGGCTTCTTTGATGATATCCACAATCTCTTGATCCAGGAGTGTGCCGCTGACACCATCCGACATCATGACCAAAAACGAGAATTCGGCGGGGCCCATCTCGATGCGATTGAGTTCTGGCTCGGCGGATACGCCAATACGCTTTGACTGGACATCTCCAAATGCGCGAGTATTTGCGAGTCCACTCATGCGCTCTTCTCCAAAGGAGTCGGTGACAAAGGTCGTAGCGTAACGGCGAAGTCGAGCCGCCTCGATAGGTGACGATGGGTGGTGGTTGGAACTAACCGGGATAGCCTCGCCAGTGTCGGTCGAACACAGCAAGGCTCTTGTATCACCAACATGGGAGACAAGTAGACTTGACGGGGCAGCGGGATGCCAAAAGGGAGTTGGCGAGGGTGTCGAGATCATGGCAGTAGTTCCTGTACTACCACCCTTGAATCGCGAGCGGCCACCAATCTTGGGACTTCTGGTCAAGCTCGGGCTGTGGAGGATCTCGTCCTCGTTCAAAGGCTTTTCGGCTAGAACAAGATCGTCATCGCGCTTGGCAGCTTGCGCTTTCACAAAATCGAGATCGGCACGCAGAAACGCATACTCTAAGATTTCCTCCATGGAAACTTTCCCATCGGGCGCGGTCTCCGGGTCCACGTCGCTATCGGATCCATAGTAGGAGAACGTTGCGGGCTTGAATCGCTTAAAATAGCCACCAACTAGGCGTCTCCAATTCTGTACAAGACTCTTCTCAAGGTCTCCGATGAGCTGGCGGTTTCCCGCCTGTAAAACTGGCAATGAATCGGCCCCGCCTATCTGCAATTGTTTGTTTCGAAGAACCGAGCTGACTTCAAATTCTGCGGCAGTGTCTTGAATATATTCGTGAAGGTTTTCCTTTAGAAATGTACTGCACTCCGACCCGCCATGGCCGTCGAAAATGCCAAAGTAGAAGACTTGAGGGTCGCCCGTAGCAGTCTGTGCCCCGCGGGACTCGCGCGGGGGGACTCTTGGAGCGTTTGATGGTCAGTGATGCTGGAGGGCGTTTCGCAAATGCAGGTACATCAATCACGCCGGCTTGGTATGTATCCTCGTTGGCCGGGCGGGTACCGCGGGCAGTGACGGCACCGTAATGGTGCTTCGCGCTTCGCAGCGGGATTCGGACCACGGTCGTCTCTCGTCCCACTAGTTGCTGGAACGAGGTCGGGGAGTGCGGGGTTTCGCCGGTATGTGGTATAGATGCTGAACGAGGGAGTTTGTGAAAGGGGGAGGTTGGTCCCCGAGGGTCCGGATGTAGTGATGATGATGGTAGATAGGTAACGAAGTAGTCGCGGAACTGCGGGCGCTTCTTGAGCGACGGCCGGTCATCGGGAGACGCGGCATCGGAGCTAATCAATCGACATCTTCGAAGGCGGGTAAATCCTGTTGAATAGCATCTCCGTTAGCTAGCTGTCCACCTAGGCAGAGGCGGCGAGTTCGCTGTAAGGATGACTTTTCGAGAGATCCCCAGAGATGGCGGCGCCCCGGGCAATGTGAAGAGGTTACATACTGTAACTACTGGCCAAGGTCCCGACCCGGCCTGTTACTCGCCTCGCTGATGTGATAATCATGAATGGCCCATTGATCGTGCGAAATTGGGTTGATGTAGGAGGGATGGGATGTAGCATTCGGGGCGTGAGGGGGGGGGCATATTTCGCTGGCCCGAGCTTCGGCAGATAAGGCATCAGCTTCCGGCAGATCCTCTATAGATCTAGCAGGTGCTTCCGCGCAATCAGATGAGAAATATCGTGCCTTTTTTTACTATCGTCTGGTTACGATGATCTTTATCACGTAGAAATCCATCATGTATTACAATTTTCATATTGCTATAGAAGGAAAGAGTCTACAGGAAGCGAAAATTGACGGATGTATATGAACTGACTTTCCCGTGGCGATGGCAAAGACGGGGGATGAATGATGAATCCTTTCAAACGCCCTCCGGGAACTTTTCTGAATTCCAAAGCGTGCTCCTAAAGACAAGATCATTCGAGTAGCATGGCTCATCGCGATGGCCGTATGAGAGAAGAACAGAATCAAAGAGAGAAAAACACACGAAGTGAAGATCGACACCTACCAGCAGAATCATCCGGAGAGCCTAAAGACAAGACGTCAAGGGAAACTGCCTGAGAAAGTGCCAAGTTAGAGTATGTCACAAAAACCCACAGTGGTGAGTGGCCATCAGATAGCCTTGGTCCGGGAGAAAAGACTGCTATAAACAGCGTCCACGACCGGCTGCGCGGTAATCTGCTTGCCACCAAAGAAACGACCATTAAGGCCCTTTATGGCGTTCTCTCCGCCTTGAACACGGTCGAACTTCAGATAAATGTCGCCTTGAGAGTTCGGATCTACCGAGATGTGAACAACATGGCCATATTTTTCTTCGCATTCTTGGCGAACGTCGTCCTCCAGTTCCTTGACCCAGGCGTCACCCTCCTCTCTGTGATTATATGTTAATAACTGAAAAGATAAATCAGGCACGGGGAGAGAATCAACTTACTCGGAGGGGTCAAACATGTCACGAAGCATCACGCATCGGCTCGCCATGTTGACATTCACGGGCAATGGTTTTGTCTCAGTCTTGGGTCGAAGTACCTTCTGCTGTTCATCGGCAGAAGGCTCGGGGTCATCTGTACGTGCAAGTTTCCTCATCAACGCGTCCCTACTATAATTGTTGAAGTTTACACCTGCAACGTCTGTGTCGTCGAGGGCACTGGCGCCGCCAGCCTTCTCGTTTTCTCTGCCACCAGCACGGTCAAAGTTGTTCGAGCCTCCGGCTTGAACGCCGCGTCCGCCATGGCCGGAGAATGAAGAGCCCTGGAAATTCGGTTGGCTTGCAGAAGTGCTCTGCAATCGGTTCGAGTTCGAATCGGGGGTGAACTTATCGTTGCCAAGGCCAACCCGAATAGCTCGACCAGCAAGATCAAAGCCATTCATCTTTTCCAAGGCATCGCGAGCTTGGTTGGGATCCCGGAACCTACATTGAGGTTAGTGGAATTGGTAATTAAGGACGGCCAATGGGGACTACTTACTGCACAAATGCGTAACCTTTACTGCGCCCAGTCTCATCCTTCTGCAATTGGACAAATTCGAGTTCGCCAAACGGTTCGAAGACATTCTGGAGATCACTTTCAGTGATGCTGAAATGAACATTACCAACATAGAGTCTATGGAAAGGAGCGGAGTGCGATGGTCCAGAACTGGCATCGGGGTTACGAGCTTGACGGTTCTTCTCCGCCTCGGTCAACTGGGCGATGATAGGAATGCCTAGAAGCTTTTGACCGGTAAGTTGGATCGCAGCGGGCACGGATTCTTCACTCTTGAATTCAACATATCCGACACTAAAATCCGTTAGCTGAGTACCAGAAAGTTTCTAGGTAGAGAGATCAAAACATACCCCTTGGATCGTCCGCTAACACGGTCCTTGACGATCTGGGCCTCCTTGACTGGGCCAACCTTCTCGAAAAAGGCCATCAGCTCTTTGGTTCTCAAACGAGCGGCGAGTTGTTGCACAAAGATAGTTCGCTTGTCTCGCTCATCCTCGTTGAGCTCTGGGGATTTGCTGGTATCCCGGCGACCAGGGCTAGGGCGGCGACCTTCACGGTCACGGCCACCACCCCGACGTCGTTCTTCATCACGCTCCCGTCGTGAGGGGCGGTAATGACGGTCATCAGGTGAGCGCGAACGAGTGCGAGCGCGTCCTCCGCCACGATAGAAGTCACCACTGGAGCGGTAGTCGTCACCGCCGCGATCCCGGCGAGGGCGGCGTCGATCGCTCTCACGGCTTCTGCTCCTTCTCCGGCTTCTATGGCTTCCGTTAGCACTGCCATGTTCGCTTCGAGGGCTTTTCATGTCCTCATCGCCATCGGCATCTCGGTCCCGGCGACGATCACGGCTGCGGTCTCGGCGTCGGCGTCTGTCACGGGAACGATCACGATCAGGGCGCTCTTGTGTATCGGCCCGAGATCGGTCATCGCGGTCGTCTGTCTTCGGAGCGGTATCGGTCGGAGCAGCAGCTGTTGACTCAAGAAGAGCCTCTACGTCGAGTCCGGACATTGTGGAGAGTCTGCCTGTGGCCAAATGCGGTGGAGATGATGGCCGGGGGTAATGAGATAATAGTCACTTGTGACTCGGTCAGATAGCGAAAGCTGGGGATGAAAAGGCTTTCTAACCCTTATTCTCAGAATACAAGGCCTGTTATGTCTGTTTGTGTCGCTGATCAAAGTCGTAGATGAGGTGTGGGTAGGAGGATCTGTTTCCGGCGCGCGGGAGATCCAACGTCCAATTCACAATCACGTGATCCAAACTAACTTTTATTCACAGTTGCCACATCCAGCAGGGGCAGCATACATATTTTCAGGTACATTCCAGTATAGCACATGTTTTGATTGTAGTGTTTTTACTAGTAAAGGTATTGTATTGATTGGTCAGTGTTCAATTGAAATAATCTCATAAGCGAGTGTTTTGTTCGTTTGTTTGTTTTAATTATGATTAATAGTTGATGTACACTGATAAGTGATGTGGAGGAAATCCGACTTCCAGTTGGCGACATAGGTATACCAACCAAAGTCTCCTATGCATGAAAACCCGTAAAACACATGATCCGGAAACTCTCAGTTCCGGCATTGAATAATAAAACATGTACAATCTCCCGGTAACGTAAGTCAGTCACCCGAGGTAAGACTCGACGTCAATTCATGAAGAATGAACTAGTGGACCTAATATGGTCAAGCTAGTCGGTTTACTGAGCCTTGCTGCCCTTAGCAGTAGAGGCTTCCAATTCAGTACCGAAGACACGGTCCCAGAATCGGCTGGTGACACCGAAGCCGTTCTCGAAATCAGCGTAATGGTGCTGGAGATGGTACTTCTTCAGTTCCTTGTAGTACAGAGGAAGACTATATAGAAATTAGTATCGAACATAGGACGATTTAGTCGCGCTGGGGATTTGAGAGAAAACTCACTTGCGGTGGTGGAGGAAGTAGTGGGTCAGATCGTAGCACACGTAACCGAAGACACCGCCGCAGTATACCTGCACAGCCGCGAACCAGTTGTAGAAAAAGACAGCATGGGCCAGCTTCCAGAATGGGGCTGCCAGGAGGATAAACAGCGTGGGTGGCATGACCAGTCGGTACTTGTCCATTGGAAGGTAGTGGTGTATACCATGGAGCAGGAAGTGGAGGGTCAGACCAACGCTGTTGTCGGGAAGCCAGCTGAAATATCAAGTCAGCAAGTATTACGGTAGGGGAAACAAGGGGAATGAAACCTACTTATCGACATGGAAGAGGAAGCGGTGCATCAGATACTCGATCAGAGACCAGAGGCACACACCTACAATCCAGTAGGCGGCAGCAGCGGAAGGATTACCGAGTCCTGCTGCACCAACCGTTGTACCATAGGCGACCAGTGGCAGCCAGATTATGGGTACAACATACCAAGCGGTCTTGCTGAGGGGCTCCAGGAAGTTGCCAAAGAGGGGCGCAGACTCACCACCCTTGTAGTGGCGGGGTCGGTGAATCTGCTCCAGATAGAACTCTTTCGAGAAGTTGCTGTACCAGAGTTGTGGGAAAAGAGGCTTGCTGAGATCCAAAAATTTGTGCGTCTTGAAGTCCTGGCTGAAATTTGTTTCAACCGACAGATCCTCCTCTTTCGACATGCCGGTAGTACTGTAGACGGGACCAGAGTCCGAAACACCGGCGTCCACCGCAGTTGAGGTCGCTTTGCCGGAGGCGCCTACTCCTGAAGAGAGGAAGCCGATCTGGTAGTCTTCGAGGATCTCGTATGCGGCCTCGGAGTGTCCGTGAGAAATTTCATCCTTCATGATCTCCTCCACGTCCTTGCCGGCGTAATCCAGAATCAGATCACCACCGCCGGGGTGGTCTTGAACGAAGTCGGTGACATCGTAAACGTTCCGGCCGATCGCGATATAGCAGGATTTGGCGTTGTTATGCGATGCGACCTCCGCGGCCGTGAAGGCCGGTAGAACTCGGCCGGGCATTTTTTTTCTTCTTCTTCTTTCTTGTTTGTTGTCGAGAGCAGACAATCAATCGTGAACGAAGATAGGGCGGGGACGCTCGTAGGAAGGAAAGTCGCGGTAGAGTGGCGAAAGGGATGTGAGCGGAGGTGGATGGTGGATGCGGCGTTGAGGAATCGAGAAGTTGATCGTTGATCGCGGAGGGCGGCGGAACCTTGGGAATAAATTACTACTAGTAGTATTATTAATTATTCAGGGGAGGGCGTGGCGTGACATGTGAAGTTTCCGCCCCGGAAACAAGCACAACAATTGGGCAGAATATATGGCTTGAGACTGCCAAACCTTGCTGGATTGATTGCTTGGGTCGTAAGATTGAAGATCAGGCCACCGATCCTTTTAAGAGTCACTGGAGACATATACTTCCTCGGAAGCAGGTGACTGTGACTGTGGCTGTGGCTGTACTGTACGGACTCGGAGTTACGGAGTCAACCTCAAGGAAAATCCACTCTTGACAGACCCTTTTACTCTCCAGGTTACTTTGTACTTTACTTTGTAATTGGTACTTTTGTACTTCAACCAATACTATATTAGTACTGCCAGTTCTCTTCCGCCCTCGACTGCATCTTGAGTATCAATCTCAAAAGTTTTTGCATAGTATGTGTACCCTGTATTGTACCGTATTCCTGCGGGTGTGGCTGGTTCCTGGCAGCTATCAGAGTACACCTAGGTCCTAACCCAGCCTACGAACCTTGGAAGTATATAACATTGAGGATTGCTCAGGCCCATGAAACACGGCACCTGAATTGTTTCACGATATTTCCCCCCCTTTGTTGGATTCCTACTCTGCGGCCCCAGATGATGCGGGACGCCAACACACAACAGGTGGGCACTCTTCGACTTCATTGGACCTATCGGATCCAATAGAGAATATTCTTTCTCCCATTCGATGAGATTTCCAACCCAACGGCCCAATGTTTATTGGTGCTCAAGAAGGGACAAATAATCAAGCGCTGGCATTCTTGAAAGACAAAGAGAAAGAAACCGGGGGGGCCAACTTTTGTGGTCGAGTCTCCACCGGGCAGAAATGCACGCATCATATTGGGACACTCTCCGTTCGCGGCAATCCCTCGAGCGAGGTCGAGAAAACAAGACATTTTTCTCCCTCTTGGCCTTCTCCTGAAAATTGTCAGGCATTAGCATCACGCTAGTTCATCTCTAGTGCACACACCCGCCCCGCTGGGGCTCCCGACACTTTGAGCACAGGTCGAGTGCACTTGTTTCTCCATTCTCCCCTACACCTTACAGCATTCCTCTTCACATCCCACGATGTCGACTGTGGATGATGCACCAATCAACCCGATTCTGGGGTATATCCAGAAGCTGACCGAGGCCAAGAAGGGCCTACCCTTCGGGCAACCAGTGGCCGTCTTGACTTCCCACACCGTCACCGACTCTGCAACTTTATTCCGCTTGGTCTCCGAAATTGGCCCTCACATCGCCGTTCTCAAAGTTCAAGCGGATGTGATCGACGATTGGTCCGACGAGGTCATTGATCAATTGATCTACGCTGCTAAGAAACATGGGTTTATTCTGTGGGAAGGCAGCCGTATCCTGAATTCTACCGTCAATCTCATGGGCCGCGGGCGGGCCAACTTGGCAACACGGAAGACTATCGCGGACCTAGCCAAAGGGAGATATGTAAACGGAATCTACAAGCCCGCAAGCTGGGCTAACTTGGCGACTGCATGGGCTCCTGGAGTTGCATTGGACGAGCAGGAACAGGACGTCTTGCTCCCAACCCTGCGGAAGGCAGCTCGGGAAGCTGTCGCGACCACCGTCAAGACCATTGAAACCGAAATTTCGGTCGCAGAGAGCCGCGACTCTCTCGAACAAGAGGAGACCCCCACATTTCAACCAAATGAAAGTGGCTGGCATGAGTTCGCCACGGATCTAGGCTGCGCACTGAGGAAGTCATCCACCATTTCCGTTACTGAAAGTGTCACCCAGCAACCCCATGTTGAGACGGATGACGGTCTCCCAGCTCCACCAATCCTAAATCGAGGCATGGCAATCTGTCTTCCAAGTGATGTCGACATGGTATTCACATTGGAATTCCGACAGGGCACAATAGCGGCTGCTTGTGCCAACCAAGACTTTGTGGCCGGTTTGGTGACAAGTGAACCATTATTCTGCGACTACCATGGAAACAATTTGATTGATTTAGCCATCCCGGAGGGAGGCGAGATGTCGGACGAGATGGCGCGCAATCTCCAGGCTTACTCGCCATACTTGGAGCGAAACCATTCGATTGGTTTGTTCTCACTGGTACCTCCTGAATATGCATATGCATTTGACACGGATCCCGTGCATGCCATTCAAGCCGAGTCCTCCCCCGAACGACAGCCTCAGAGTGTCGCCAAATTGGAATATATTATCGGCAGGGCATTGAAACGACGTGATGCGAATCGCAAAGAAAACGAAGTCAATCAAAAACCTACAAATATTCCCAAGGGCCCCACAGTCCTTCAGTGTCCCGTCGTCATACTGCCTTGATTGTGAAGACCGCACAGCGGTCTTGGCTTTTCTCAAACATCAAATACCTACATACCCCTCCTGGACACGTTATTAAGTGAAAACTTGCATATAACCCCTATTCATGTCAAATAGAGGTTTTGAAGAGCACAAAAGCCGTCTATGTACGAGTCCACTCCTCAACTTGAACAACCCGAAGTTCTTCGCCAAAGATCGAGGGCCGCACCTATAAAATCCAATAATATTTCACCCTATTTCAAATAAGCTAGCCTAGTCTTCATCAATCTTTCTATCATGGTTCTTTTCCATGGAACGAGTTATGATCGAATAGATCTCAGGACCCTATATAAGGCCTGAAAATGAAGGCCAAAACTCAGCATCCCACCGCCTTCCAAATTAGTCAGCATTTATCAAGATGCGCTTAGTCACAAATATCCAGGACCGACCGTGAGCAACTTCAAGTTGAACTTTACAACCCTTGCTCATGTTCATATTATTTTCCCTGCTTGATTCAGCGGCAATCGCCTATACTTTACCCTGACATGCTGAATCCTTCTGCTGAGATTTATTTTGCGTCGGGATTGCCCTCAACCATCACAACAGACTCTGAGGCTGATCAACTAAATAAAATATTTGGAGGACTAGTCTAAAAAGGTAGAAGTTGGGAGGTGGCAGGAGAAGACGCTATATATTCACTATACGATATATCTCTACTGAGACACGGACGTCCTCCCTCTACATGTGCATGCAATCAAGGGCATTTTTCTTAACCGCGGGGTTTGGAATAAACAAATTCATTTTGCAACAGCATGCCTTCTGATTACCCACCTCTGCCGACCCCAAACGAAGGGAGACTCGAGAGCGGGAATGTTGGAAATGAAAGTATATCAGTGCCAAAAGCTCTTCCAACACGCCAACGTTTACGTGCCAAAGATGCCATCCTTGTTCCCGAGAGCACATCGACAGCACCAAATTTGATTTCACCCAATGGCGATATCATTCTTGAATATGCTGCGATGTCTTCTGAAAAAAAGCATTACTGGCGGGTTTCGAGCGAGAAACTCATGACTGGGAGTCCTTACTTCGGAGCAATGTTGGACTCTGAAAAGTTCATGGAGGGTAGACTACTTGCGCAGCAGAGGCAAGCCCTGATAGACGGCGCGGCAGATAGCTCTTCGAGCATTTTGAGTGTCTCATCACTCACCAAATTGCCTATTGTGGAGATCCCTTGCAGCACGAAGTCAGAACTATGCGGTGTTGAGGCGATACAGCTGTTCCTCAAGATTCTGTGCCTAGATTCCTCGGACACAGAGGCACAAGATATCTTTTACGATGGCTTGACAGCACAATCATCTTCCATTGTTGCCAAGTTGATTGATATTTCTGAGTGGTTCAATTCTATAAGTCCTGTTCAAAAGGCTCTACAGACAGCTCAGTACAGAGGCGGCGGCAAGTCGAAACCTGGAGTCAGCATGAAAGCCTTCACCTTGGATATGTTGAAGTTAAAGGAAAGACGCATCCGAGAGATGATCTTTATTTCGGCATCTATTGGTTTAAATGATATCCTGAAAGCAATGACGCATACTCTGATCCTAGTAGGCTCAAGATATTGGCAGCAAGGACCAGAGAGACCGACGACAGATGGTTATTTGAGTTGGAAATATCTTCCCAATGGCCTTGAAGGTATGTTGTATTCCCACTCTGGTTGGTCAAGGAGCCGCTCACTAACACAGTATTCCCTAGAGGAAATATACCACAGAAGACAGTGTGTTATGAATACATTAACTGATCTTCAGGCTCACTTTCTTCGTGCTTATGGTGGACTTGAAAGAGATGAGCCAAATGCTAAGCCAAATACGCCAGGTGTGGCATTTTCTTCGAGTTTTCGAAATCCCGAACTGCAGTGCCGAAATGGACTCGACAATGGGGCGCAGTGTGACATCTTCCATCTCGGTCAAATGACACGCTTTTTTGCACTACGCACGAAGACTATATTTTTGGGATCTACTCTTGTCGATCCTAACTTTAACAAGGATGATTCTGACGAGCAATCACCCGAACAATATAATGGCCCCAATGAATATGGTGACTCCGAAGAGCCCCAATTTGCCATAAACCAGGTCATAGCCGGACTCAAACAATACCCTGACTATCAAATTGACGCCAACCATGTCGGTTGTGGTATTCGGCGTCGGATCTTGCCGATTTTAGACGGCATCGAGAAGTTCACCGCCGACAGTCGGGGTCTACTGGGAATTCAAGCAAGCTTGTGGGAGTTACCAGAAACTCGGATGGTGAGTGCATGGTCGGGAAAAGGGGGACCAAAGGACCACACGGTCGAGATTCGCTTTGCAAAAATCACCAAAATCGACATACCATCTTATGGTCCGTTGAAACACTTCACCTCCCCCGAAGACCAAGCACGCTTTATGTTTACTGCGGCAAAGTATAAGTGGGAAGCATAGTCTACGACCAGGCGCATTGCTGTTACGCGACCTTGCGAGCGTCTCACCAGCTTCAGTCTCAAAATGTTTGATACAACGTCATAACTACGATTTGCTATGACGAAAGTATTCGAAAAGTAAGACCGGTCTGGACCTAGACCCTGGAATCCTTTAAGGTTCTGTTCCGAGCAGTTAGCCCGATGGAGATGATATCCAGGGGTACCGGGTTTATGGGACGATAGCAGGCCCAACAAAGCTACCCATCACCTGGGACGCGAAACATGCATATGGAGTGCGGGGGAAAAATGGGATAGAGCTTGGACTGCAGTTTTAGAGCATATTGGGCTGTGTAAATAGAATTGGAACTAGAAGGGGACCACCGACGTCATTAGAAGCAGCAAGTGAGTTGCGAGCAATAGGCAATGAGCTGCTAGCTAAAGATTGGAATAATAGTACAAATGTCATTTATCCAGATAGCGATGAAGAGTTTCTCTCTACCTAGAATTTCTATGGTGTTGTATGGTTTATGATTTGATCGGCCAAACAATCAATCTCAAACAAACAAACCAAGCACATGGGGTGACAACCTGACACCCCCTGCCTAACTCGACATCAAGAACATTCCTCAATTTCTCAAGCATCTATTATTTATTCAGATGATACTTTTGTGTCTAATAACCACGGCGGCCTCTCAACATATAGGATCTCCCCAGAAGTAGCCCAAGTCAATATCTAGATTTGGTCCCGTTGATGGGAAAAAGGAGCCGGTAATCTGGCCAGTCGCTGGGTCATAAGGGAAGTAGTCATCGTAAGAGCTTCGACTGGAGCTTGACTTATCAGGCTTAATGAACGGATCCATTAGGTCCGGTGGCTCTACTTTGTCAGGCGCCGACATCCCGAGTGGGGTGTCCGAATGATCCATCGGCGAGCAAGCGATGGAGTCCATATCTGCAGCGATACTGTCGATTGCATTTGTTGAAGGCAGTGCAGCAGACGGGTTAAACGAAAGGTGATCCATGACTGTATCATCCGCGACAAGTACGATCGCGTCGAGCTCTGAGGCATCGAGAAGGGAGGGTGTAGATGAATCCTCATTTTCAGATATATCAGAGAGACTGATGCCGAACTGAGGCGCAAGGCGGCGTAAAAATCCATCACAGAGTCTCCATGCACGCTCACATGCGGCATTTGTCTTGGACAGGGTGTGTAGCCAGTCAAGTGCTTTCTTGGCCGCTTTGGAGACCATTGCTGCCTTTTCGGGAACGTGTTGGGCTTGGAATGCAAGCTCCAACAATAGGACAGTAGTGGATTGCATGAGGTAGTGAAGTGTACACCACCACGGGGATATCCGATGCAGGAGCGCGGCATCTGGAGAGTTCGGGAACAATGTCAACATGTGGCATGCTGACTCGACACACTCCGCGGCCGTCTTGCTGCAGAATTCATAGGTTCGATCGCCATCTGAATGTGAGGTGTCAAGTCGATACAGACATGGGCGTGTAATGCCAATCTTCGTGCTGTAGAAGAGAAAAGCAAGCCCCATTCGCTGTCCCAGAGGGCATTGCGAAGTCTGCGTAGAAGTAAAGTCGTAGGATGGTGGAAGGTTCATGAACCAAGAGTCAATATCAAGCATCAAGCTTTGGATTACAAACTCGGTACTTGCCCACGGGGCTTGCAATGCCTCCGGACTGTAAAGCTTGACGGTCATTCTTTTGGCAATAGTTGTAAGCGATGTCAACTGCAAAAAGTACAGTGACATGCATGGTGCAAGACTCTTCAAGTATTCAGCTCGACTCATCTTTGTATCAGAATCAATGCCTTCATCCGTTGTGTCTGAATCAGCAGCCGAATCGAGTCTGGCTGCGCTATCTTTCAGGGTCATCTGCTCCAGGGGGCTGCAGGTACTTCGTCCGGCGGTACTGATTAAAAGAGATACTTCGTCTTTTTGAAAGTCACTTTCATCAAACGGCACGGGAAGGGGTGTAGTGCAAGAACTGTCGACGATGCAGGATGGCCGACCGGTCATGACAGTCAAAAGATGCTCAACCGAATACAATGACCACCAGACACGGTATCTGATCTCTTTCGAAGTATTCGAGGTACAGGATCCGACATTGCGAAGGTGGAGACCAAGAGCCAATGCACCTCTGACCGCACTTCCAGAAAGTTTCCAAGCCCTAGTGAAAGTCGTCATATCAGCAACTAATCCAGAAGAAGATCGAAACCTCAAGAGCTCACGTACCTATTGATATGACCGGAAGAGATCATATAGAAGCAGGTAAGTCCTTCGACCTGCAATTGCTGGAGATCGGGGTGATGTAACAACTGATCCTCAAGGCTAAGCATTCTGGCTCGTGAAAAGTAAACCTGGTGGTCATCCTCTTCGTCGTTCAAGCCTGCGCTGGTCAAATGTTCATATTTTGCAGCTATTGCAAAAATGAGATTGAGTATGGCTAGCCATTTACTCCCAGGCTTTAGATATGGCTGGCTGAAGTAGGCCTGAAACTGGGAGACAAATGTGGAAATCCCAATGATTGGAAAAGATGGATGAATTGAGGCCAGATAGGAGTTTAACAATTTCGTTGCCGTTTCTTTCGGGGGAACGACACTGGAATCGACTTTATCTGCGTTGGGAATTTCCAAATCGTCAAGGTAGTAATTCAAGGACGCAACCAGTGAATCACTCGTATTTTCGGGACGTGGAGTCAATGTCGGAGATGGTAAAGTATTTTCGTCATCTGCGTTCGAATTGTTGCACGGCCACTCCTCGTTCTCGTTGTTGACTTCCTTGCTAAGCCTTTGGAGCCAAGTGATCTCAGAGCTTTTCCCCATAAATCCAGTCGAGCGAGCTACTTCATCTCTATTGAAGTCCTCATTTGTATGGTCGACAAGATCTAGAGGTGCATCAGCGGAGGGGTGTGAAGGAGATGGTTCAGAATTCAACGGCCTTTCCCCTGTAGCATTGGCATCGCCGTCCAGTGCTAACTCAGAAGCGGAATCCTATTCTAACTCAGATATGATTTCTTTTAGTGGAGACGAGTCGGGTTCCATACCACTGCCAGGGCGATGTTCACGAGTTGTTCGTCGGAGACACCAAATCGATTGCTCAGCTTGCTGATGACATCTTCGTATGCCTGTACCTTTGCGGACAGGCTTGCTAGTTGACTTTCGATTTTCAATTTTGGGTTAATATTTGCATCAGTTGTATAGATTAACAAGGGCAAGGGCCTCACCGTTTCGATTTTTCTCTTTTACCATCGGTATAGCAGCAGATAATACCTGCCTCTCGGCAATTCCGGCACCCCGACTTGTCTCCAGTACACTTTGTCTTCCTCTGTCGGCAGGACTCGCATGCTCGACGTACGTGACGGCGATGAAACCTTCCCGGAGACGTGAATGCAGGCTCGGCACCATCAGCAAGACGTGGAATAGCCATTTTCTTGGTACCTATTTCAGACTCAGTTCTCTGAAGAGATGGCATAGAGTTATCCTGAAAGATATAGTATATTAGATGAACAATGTATAATTCAAGTTTGTATGATGAGATAGCATACATACCACACTGGATAACTGACTGCATGTTTCTGCATCAGCACATGACAACTTGAACAAGCTTTGCTGCTCAGTCCATGATGGAAAGTGGATATTGCTCATGGCGGGATTTGTTTAATAGTTTCCTTTCTAAGTCTTCGATTGGGTCGATCACAATTATTGAACATTCATGAGAAGTCTTGAGCAATTTGTGTAAATACTTGAATTACCTTCAGTGCTCTATGGTGCTTTGTTAGAACCTGATGCGTCGATCATCATTGTAAACAAAACCAAGATGGAATGAGGCGAAAAGAAGGCATCGGAGGTTCATGGGCATTTAAGGACTTAACCTATGAAAAAGGTGGAACATTGCGTGCGACGAAACCAGTAACTTGAACCAGCAACCAGCAACTCAATATACAAAATGTTTGGGTCATCACACGCATGGTAACCTAAATTACTGTCCGGCAGATATCCGGCAATGACGATGCACCGAAAGAGAGGTGACAAGCCTGTGGGAAAATGGCCACTAAGATGAAGTTCAGGCCCGGTCCCTCGACAAAATAGATTCGCCTCTTGGAGCTCCAGAGGTTGCTGAGGCAAATTTGGGTTCTTTCGGTGAGGGAATTTCCTCTTCTACACATCTGATTGAATGCTTTGATTTGCCATCAACCACATATCGACGGAGCTGCATTAGATTCCGCTTGGTCACACCCAAACAATGGCCATACCCATAAATAAAAACCCATGATCTATGAGATCCTTTTCGCGGCTGCTGCTTCGGTTGTTCGAACCGATAGGTGACAGGTTCCGATAACCGCCTAGGTAAGCGGGATTGTTCCTTCTGGGGGGACCGAGGACTGGGAATCGGACTCTCCGATGCCAGCAGTACCCCAAACCGAAAGAAACTCAATCTGCCAAGACCGGTAAGCTGTTATGATATTGTGCCTCATATCCAAAGCTAGACAATGTGTATAATGGCCTAGGCCTGGGGTGAAATGTAAACATGACGCTAGGAAGTGGTGGCGCATAAGCGGCTGTCCCTGGTTGCTTTAAAGAACCGAAGGGTTGACATCCATGGATGGGAAGTGAGGTACAAAAAGCTTGACGGAACTTACAAGCCATGCTTGTTAATGCCGACGCTACTGCAACTATTTTGACCGCTTACATACTGGAGTCGCGTCTGAAGTCTATAATTCTGACGTCGTGGCCAAGGGCAGACAGATTACGCGCAGATGATTAGAATGGGCATCACGACCGGCATTCACTTTTGTTGTCAGGCATTGTGAGCGGGTAGTTGAGTTATCAGGCAAAGGTGCATTAAGTCATGGTAAGGTCTAGTCATTTTGTGTCAATTTTGAGTAAAGTTAGAGACACGGTCCTGGAAGAGGACGTGAAAAGGCAATCAGATAACAAGGGGCTTAGAACACGGTCTTGAAAGCAAAGGTGCCAGGGGAGAAAAAGGCCACTGTCCGAACATCATTAAGTAACAAACTCTATACAATCCGACTCTTGGATCACTGAATATGGAAGTTCTCCGCAACGCTGCGAACATCCTTGGAGTAGGCAGTGCTTTCCCCTTCCATCTCCAAAAGGGCGACATCAAGGACGTCCACATCTACGAAAGGCTGGGACTTGGTAAAGCGGACGCTCATTGGGAAGAAAACGTCTTCATCGGCATCGGTAGATTCGAATTCAAAACTGCCGGAGGGGTTCGCTTCGTCGACCGCACCAAGGTTCCAGTCAAGGCTATCACCCGAGACTTCGTAGACAGCATCGAAGCTAGAAACAGCAGGCTCAGTTTCACCGTAAGGAATGGTGACAACGACGTCTTGCAGACTGTCCGAGCCGGTAAGCTCGTATTCAACCGTCACGGTGGTAGAGTCAGAGCCCTTGTTCACCCATACTGTGAAAGTAATGGGGAGAACTTCAGCGTTATCAGCCGAGCTAGCAACGCGCCATCGCAGAACACCAATTGCATTGTTGGCGGGAAATCTTTTAGAAGTGTCCTTCAGTTGAATGGTGGAGGAGCTAGTGAAAAGGGCCTTGTCGACATTGGGGTGGGTCCGGAACTGGGCGCCATGAGTCGGGTTGGCTTTAAGATCAAGACGGAGCTTTGTGAAGGATGGGTCGGTGATGCGGAGTTGAAGGTCACCCTTGACTTCGAATGACTTCAAGGCACCTTCTCGGGTAAGCGTGGCGGAAATGGTCTCGGCGATGGTAATATTGACTGGCTCTCGGTCCACGGCGAGAGATTCGCGAGCGGAGGGGACTTCTGGCACGGGCGTCGAAACCTCTGAGCCCACCAGTGGGCTGGATTCCTCGACTTCAGGGCCCAGATCACCTCGGACCTTCTCGTAGATATCAGTTGCCTTGGATTTCTTGCCCAACTGCATACCCTTGCCGCGAGACGGGAGAGGCCTAATAAGTTCGCATGTTAGAAAACGTACATATCACAACAGCCAAAGCTACATCCAGGGTTGACATACTTGGCAAATGTCTTCTTCTTCTCTGCCTCGTAGGAATCGTATGTGTCGGGCACGGCGGGGCGTGTGGGAGGTGTGTAGACTGGGTAGTTTGGCGCCCTTGGGGCAGCAGCGCGACCTGTGCGAGCAGCCTCTTTGCGCTGCATTTCCAATTGCTTGGCCTTCCTCTTGCGCTCCTCGCTGGCCTCCAACTCTTTGTTCTGTCGAGACAGGTTAGCACTGACGTAGCCCCGCAGTCAGTTTCAAGACCTACCCGCTCGATGATCTCCTGGATTCTCTCCTCGTGACTCTCCATTTCGAGGAATGTCTTGATCTGAGAGAGCGAAAGGTTCTCCCGATAGCCCTGCGTCACCAATTCATCGAATGCGCTCAGCAGTTCGAAGGCATTGCGCAGGATCTCCCGCTCATCCAGACTCTTGCAGATACTGGTGGTCACTTGAGCAAACAGGTGAAGACTGTCGATATCTTGTAGGATGTTTGATTGACGGTTGGTGATCAGGACGATGTAAAGCTCGTCCAATGGCTGGTAGACGAATCGGACATTGTCCTGCTCCACGGTGGTGTGCTGGGTCCCCGAATCCGCAAGCTTGGGGAAAGAAGCCAGAAGGGCTTCAATGCGCGAGCGGGAGATCTCGCGGAATTGGCGCGAGAGGACCGCTTTGCCTCCGCGAGTGCATATCGATGCTGCGAGAACGACCTGTTGTGGGAAGGCAAGTATTAGTATTAGTATGGGTTCCTACGAGTAGCGTGTCAAGAAGGGAGCGTCGATCCTACCATTGCGAAAGAAAGTAGATATTCGAAGAACAGTGGTGTGGGCGAGTATCAAGGGTGCGCGGTTGTGTCAGCTGTCTTTCTGTGGAATAAGCGCAGCCTTGATGAAGAGAAAGCCCCTTGGTGATGTTGACGGACAAGTTGCGGGCAGCTACGCTACTCTGTTCTCTTCGACTTGGCCCGTGCGCCTCCCTTTTTCGCTTAGTCCGGCTTGGGGAGGAAGACGGGCCAATCTTTTCTTTCTTCACTTCACTTCACTTCACCACACCTCGACATCCCACTTCACCCCCAAAGGGTTTCACCGTGATCTTGCCTTCCGCTACTTGAACTATTTAAATGTGAACAGTTCGGCGGTCACTTCCTCCTCTCGTTCCATTTACGCCTCCCATCCATTATCTCCCGAAACGCCACCCCTCGTAAACCCTACACGTCCCTTGACATCCACTTTTGACGCGTCTTCATGCTATGACGGCAGCTCCAGCCCTATCTTTTCAAGCCATGGAGGTCCCTGCTCTTGAGGACTCGATGGAAATGGCCTCGCCCTACCAGGGTCAGGCCGATGACTTCGATATCGATATCGATCTGATGGAAGATCATCCCTCCAACATGGACAGTGACATGGTGGGCGCTGATGATTTTCCGAACACGTCCCAGCCTTCTCTCTTCAACGATGCGATCAATGATGCCGATATGGCCGATGAAGAACCTTCCGAAGGGTCGATGGTCGATGCTGACAATTTTGTCGATGAAGATCACGACATCGAAGTCCAGGACGACGCTGTTACCTACGAAGCAGATATGCTTGAGGGTGATCAAGACGAAGAGATTGTCGAAGCTGTTCCGACTATTCAGATCGAAGATGCGGCCAGTAATAATGACGTGACCCACCACACCGACCAAAATATCACCGACCAAGCCGAAAGGATTATCGGATTGACCCCACAAGCTCAAGAGCTACAACCCCCATCGGCTCCTCCCACAAATGAGGCAGAAGTCCTACAGCATGATCAAGAGCTTCAACCTCAACTCACGCTCGACCAGCCGGAGCAGCACGATCAAGGGACCTCTTTGGAGCCAGAGCCAAAGCCAGCCGAACAGGATCAGGCCGACAAGCCCAATGAACCCCACGGCACTGCTGCTGCTGCCAGTGTTGACATCGATCAGGCAAGCCTAGATGAAGGAGCTAATGCCACCACAGAGGATAAGGCTGTGACTGCCGAGACGCAGCCTGGTCATCAAGAAACATCTATCACTGAAGACACTGAAACAAAGCAGGCTGTCGAAGTCCAGTCGTCTTTCGCTCCAGCCATCGACAATAATTCCGAGCATCCTGAACACCAGGATGTAGACGAATCTCACGGGGAATCTCATGAGGACCAGCTGCATAGCAGCAGTGAGAATGAATCTTTACACCCAGTTAAGGTGCTTTACCAGGATAATGAGATCTCTCTTTTTCCACCGCTTGAAGGTGACTCGGCAGAGACCTTCTTCTTGCACGATGAGGATGTCGCGTATGACAGTGTCGGCAAATTGTTCAGCTCTCTTCGTGAGGTGCTTCTAGATAATGTTGCGGATGACGAAGTACTTGTTATTGATATCGATTCGCTTGGTATTCAACTAACAGAGGTATGTCTGAACCATGACACCCTAACCCGATCTATTTCTATGGTTATGCTAATTGTTGTATCACAGGACTCGACGCACAATTCTAAGATGACCTTGCATCATATTCTGGAGATTTACACCCGGCTCAGTCAAAATGATGGCACCAGCGAGCCCGATGCGCTTTACCTCACTCTTGGAAGCAAAATCTCTGCTCATTCCGAGCTGGCTGGTCTTGACTCTGCTGCACATGAAGGCAAAGGTCTATCTCAAATTCATGCGTGGGATGTGGACTATGAAGATGCTGGTCACGAAGACGTGCCTGTGCATGAAGAAGATTCTTCTGCAGGAGATTCGTTCGCCGGCAAACCTCAGACGGAGAAGCCCCTTGAAGTGGACGAAATTGGCCAGAATGAAGCCGATGCCCAAGAATCGGCGGCCCCAGCTGAGGCTCATAAGGACTTTGTCCCCAACAATCAGGAGACCGACGCCGCACTTGCAGAAAATGAGCACCATTTAGAACAAGAAAAAAATGCCACAGCTGAGGAGACTCATGATACAGAGGCGAATGACTCTCACCATGGAGATAAAACAAAAGAGCATGATAGCTTTGAAGACCCAAAGACCGAATCCTCCGCTACCATCAGTTTACTGCCAGAATCCACTGCGCAGCTCGCAGATGCATCTGTGGACGTGAATGAGGCTGCCCCGGAACATGCTGAACAAAAATACCAAGCCGATGACGACAAGAGTGGGCAAGACTTGAACCACAAAACATCTGCTTTGCAAGGGGCCGATGAGCATGAGCAGGACCAGAACCCTGAAGAGTCTCAAGATGAAGTTTCATATGAGGAAACGGAGGCGCCCGGAACCGTAGTTGACACCGATGCTATTGATCTCACATGTACCCACGATGAAGGACTTGTCGACGCACCTAATGCTCGAACCGAAAACCAGGAAGCGACAGCCGACGAAGGCGATGACCATGAATCCCTGGGAGAATCCGATTCAACGGTGGATAATGCGCCGCAGGAGGAAGGCGCTGGATTCGAAGAGCACGATCTAGATCCCGAGGACGACTTGCTTGGTATCGCTGAAGACGTGCTGCAGACTACTCAGGGTGATTACGATGATCACCTTGAGAATTCCGAAGATGATTTGACCACACCTCCCGGCGAAGAAGTCGATGGTCATGAACCCCATACCGGCGAGGACGAAGAGGACGACCTGTATGCGGACTTCGAAACCTCGGAGACCATTGAACTGGGCGAAACAGATCACTCCCTTGCTGACTCCCAACCCCACGATAATACGTCTACCAAACGATCTCGAGAGGATGACGAGTGGGACTTTGCGGACGCCGACCCCGAGCTCAAACGCCGTCGACCCTCGTAAATCACCATGCGTGATTTTTTTTTCCGGCCACGATATCCGCCGATGTCAAGACCATATTCTTGCCTCGGTGGCCTGCCAATCCCCTCGGTTCTCGTGGATACCAGTGGCCTAGGGTTTCGGCAATTTTCAACAGTGTAACACCCCATCTACTAATTCTGAACCTCAGCGACGGCGTTGACCCATATGGGCGCGGCTATGTAATGTGTGCCCGGACATGCTCACCAGGTACGTCTTGAATGCTCTTATATCTTTTCTGTTTTTTTTTCTCCCTCTCCCTCTCCCTCTCTCGGGTCCCAATCTCTTCCCCTCCCTCTTCCCCCCGTGGGAGATGGAGCCCGAGGGGTGCTCGATACCCCAAGAACGCTCGCAATTCCTCCCTGTTTCTGCATAAACCACCGCCGTGTTTTGCTCTTTGCTTTTTTGTACGTCGATATGGCATGTTCTCTCCCTTTGCACGCGCATGATACCACCACTCCCGGTTCTCTCGAAAAACTTTGCACTTTGCTAGGGCGTTGAAGATGGAGTTTTGTGTTTTCTTCGGTCGGACAGTGTTTCATCTGCATGTCACATAGTTGGCGTCATTCGGGCGGCATAGTGAATTTTCTTTTAGAATAACTAGGTGCTTGCAATGAGACAATGTCCTATTACTGCATACTGCTTAAGCTGTCGTAATAGTACTTGTAATCAATTGTTATGGTTTGCATGTGGTACCGACTCGGGGTTGATCGACATGGCAGTAATGCAATTGTTCATGGGAAATTAGGCGAGATCCACAGCCTTCAGCTGAATGGTCATACTACTAGTAAGTGTACATACCATATCATCCATCGTTAGTCCATACTCTGTAAAAAGAATCTAGATATGGTTGCCTGGGAGCTATCGTGGCCTATGGCAGCGGCTTGGGGTTAAGCTTCCGCCGCATCTAATATTTACTATTATTTACTATGCATCGTGTCCTACTCCTATCTATTGGGAGGTATTTTTGGGAAATTCTCAAATTGAGGGGTTCTTCAACCAGTCTGAAGTTGTCTGGGCCTAGGGCTGTCGATCTGCAACTTGAACCAGGTCGGGGAGTGCAAGGACCACTATAGTCCTCCGCATAATTTACCATAGAGGTATTTAATCTGATCGAACTAGATCAAGCAATAAAAAAGCATTGGAAGTCGCAGTTTAGTTCCAATGAATGTATCAATGGATGCAAGCGAGATCTCATTAAACTGCGCCTTGGAAGCCCTGTGGAGCCAGCCGGGTATGTATAGAGGAGTGGCCGAATGCGGTTGGTTGAACAAGATCGTTATGAAACGACGATCGCCGCCACGGGCTTGGAACTCAGGGTCTTTCTCTGTACGAGTAATGCCCAGAATGCCCAGCAGTAGCCCCTGTTCTGGTTCGATCCAGCAGTGTTAGTAGTAGTAGTATTGTTTCACGAGTATAGCATTACCAGTATAACAGTATAACTGTATAATAACAGAATAACAGAATAATACTGGTTCTCTCTGTACTCTCTGTACTACTCCTATATAAATAGTATGTTGTAACTGTGTATCTCCCTTACGCGCGTCCCGATCGGCCGCAGTCTCGAAACGGAACCCCACCGCACGCAGGCACCAAACACTCTTGACCTCTTGACTTCTCGTGGGATCTGGACTCTCATTCGACTTCTCCAACCCTTACTCATCTTCCTTTCAGACCTTCAGAATCATTGGGCTGGCTCATTTTTCTGTTACGCCTCCCCTTGTCGCCTTTGCTCTTCCCTGCCTCGGTTCTCGCCCTCGTCCTCGTCCTCAACCTGGCCGCAATCGCCGCAATCCCTTCGTTACCACCCTCACTCTCGTTCATTTCCCGCCACCACTTCTTCTCCCCCGATTCTTCCATCGCTAGCACTGGGGGTCTTTCGACTGTAGGAGCCCACCGCTCCTCCATTTTTGCAAAATGCTTCCAGACAAGTGAGCCCGACTCCCTTCTCCTCGCCGCGCTCTACAGAGCCACCGAGGCCACATATGCTGACAGGTCTGCGCGTGGCGTCAATAGATATGTTGGGCTAATATTGGCCATCGTATCAACAATGGCAATTGGTATGTTCGCGGTCGATCTTCGCATCCTTTGGTATGGTCTGCTAATCGCCTTTCGCCAGGTACGAGTTTCGTTGTTACAAAGAAGGTTCGTTTGCCTCGAGCGCAAGTCCCCGACCGGAGAAGCTGCGGCTGAAGCGATGGTCAATGGTCACAATCGAATCGGCGGCGGACGTGCTAATGGGTTTTAAATCAGGGATTGATGCACGCTTCCGAACGACATGGGTTCGAAGGCGAAGGATTTTCATACTTGAGGAGTCCAATCTGGTGGATTGGTGTCATCATGCGTACGAAGCCCTCCCCTCCCATCGCATTTGATTGGGAAGCGAAATGTCACCGGAGATGCTAATATCCATTACAGTCGCCATGGGAGAAATCGCCAACTTCGCCGCTTACGCTTTCGCTCCTGCAATTCTAGTAACGCCTTTGGGTGCGCTGAGTGTTCTGATCGGGTACGACCGCATCTCTCGCCCAAGCAAAGCTCGCAACATCGCTAACAAATCTCAGCGCGGTTCTTGGCTCATACGTCCTCGATGAGCGATTAGGGACACTGGGTAAATTGGGCTGCGCCATGTGTCTGCTCGGATCCGTCGTTATCGTCCTCCACGCACCTCCCGACACCCCGGTAGATAAGATCGAGCAAATGCTGGCATATGCCCTTCGCCCCGGCTTCCTCATTTATTGCCTGGCTGTCGCGGTCTTTTCCACGGTTATGATCTATCGCGTCGCTCCAAGGCACGGCAAGAAGAACCCGCTCATCTTCATCTCGATCTGCTCCACCGTTGGCTCGGTTTCCGTCATGTCCATTAAAGCCTTCGGTATCGCAGTCAAGCTCACCCTAGGTGGCCACAATCAATTCGGCCGACCGTCAACCTATATCTTCGCCATTGTCACTGGATTCTGCATTCTTACTCAGATGAACTACTTTAACAAAGCGTTGAATGAATTTTCAACCTCCATGTGAGTTGCAAGGCGGCAGCCAAATGCTTTTACCGTTGCTAACCGATGCTCTCCTTCTTTCGCAGCGTCAACCCTCTCTACTATGTCACATTTACGACCGCCACGCTTTGCGCCTCTTTCATTCTGTTCCAAGGATTCAATACCACGGATGCCGTCAACACGATTTCCCTTCTCTGTGGATTCCTCGTCATTTTCACTGGTGTTTACCTCCTCAACCTCTCACGACACGATCCTGATGGGCACCACCTGGTCAACCCTAAATATGATGAGGATGGAGTGCCTACAGACGGAATTGCGAGCTTCCAAACTCGCCGGTCGATGCAGCTTCGTCGTAGCAGCGAGCCGCACCGTCGGAGCTCCTCCAGCATCTACCTGAATGGACACGGTGATCGCGAGGGGCTCATCCACTCATATGATGTGGATAACCACAGCGCCATCGGCCTGGAGGACCTGGCCGAGGAAAGCGACGGAGAGCCAGGACCGACCTACTCGAGCAACGAAGAGCGGGATCGCACGGCTCAGCACACCAAACAGAACAGCAACGTCTGATTCCGATTTTTAGTCTGCTATATAGCACCCTCCCTTTCCTCTCCAGGCTCCTACCATGACGCTTTTCCCTCCTCACCTTTACTCTCCCGAGCTACCAGCCCTGCCGGCCTTTCCGCCTCGCTCCCCGGGCATTCTTTGTAATTTTACTGCTTCATCCAAAATACCCGTGGGCTTGCGATTCGAGCACATACCAAGGCACTGGGCATGCCCGTATGAAATGATTGGATATGACACTGGGTTTCCTGAATGGTTCTGTTTTATTTTGTTGATTTTGGTAATGGGCGAGTTGCATCACTTGTATATATTGTGGTTTTCTTTTTTTCTTCTTCCTCTTCTACACCCATTGAGAAATTTCCTTGCAATCAATAGACTTGAAGCGGGTGGGGCACTTTTCCCCGAACCCGATGATGTATTTGCCGGTCAGCTGTCATGGAAGATTTCCCATCCGAAAACAAGTTGCGGGCGCGCGTGCATGCCCTACAGTGTCCTTTGCCCCACGCGACGGTGCCAAATGCCAAAAACCGGGCACCGCCGGCTTTCCCTTCCCCAAATCTCTACTCCGACGCGATGCCGGGTCTGCTGCGGAAGCTTGTTGTCGTTGCCGCGGTTGATGGCTTGATCCTACATGGCCATGGCGTCAGCGGTCCTCGGCCCAACAATGGAAGCAACAATGAAGCCTCGTCGATCCGAATCGACTATAAGACGAACAGAATCACGGCCCTGCCAGTCTCAAGCCCGGAGACACTGGAGGGACGCGACAGGCTAGAAGTATACGGGCTCGTCGGTATGTCGACTTTCAGCCCCCCCATGCTGAATATCCGACACCACCCCAGACCCAATCCTGACCACATTATGGATATCCAACAGGCCTGCTCTCCGTCGCATCACACTCGTTCCTTGTCTCCATCACTCAGCGCCAACAGGTTGCCCAGATCCAGGGCCGTCCGATCTACGCCGTCACCAATGTTGCCGTCATCCCTATATCCTCGCAGACAGACGCCGCCCGCGCAATTGCTCAAGCCCGGAAGGAAGTGACTCAGGAAGAGCCCGATATTGACTCAGGCTCTGACGAGGATATACCAGATAATGAGACCGACGGCGCGGAAACGGAGATTGGCAGCGCGCCGACCTCCCCAGCCCGTGAAACTCTCCATGCGCGGGGCATGAGTGTGGGGAGTATAGCCGAAGATGTGATAGAGAAGCGAGTCCGGTTTGGCCGCTTTGCGGCAAACTGGCTTTCTCGCAAGAATCTCGGTCTTCCACGGCCTGGGTCCCTGGAGAAAGATGATGTTTCCGAGTCGCCATTCGATGACTCGTCGCGCTTATCGAGCGATAGCTCGGGAGCTAAAGAGGAAGCCACCGAGGCTGCTCCGTTGCCAGAGGCATCAGACGCCCAGGGTGAGACCAATCGACCAGACTCAGACCAGGCGGCGGAACTTTTGCCGAAATTACTTCGATATACGAAACTGTTATTTTCTTCACATAATTTCTTTTTCGCATATGATTATGATCTTACGCGGTCTTTCAATGCACAGGAAGCTCGAAGGGGACAGCTGCCTCTCCATAAAATGGTGGACCCCTTGGTATGTTCTTGAACGGAAATTTTCCAGTAAGCTGCCTTGATCTTGGTCGCTGATCTACAATAGTACTTTTGGAATAAATATCTGATGTCTACGTTTATTGACAACGGCGCACACGGTTTCATATTGCCTTTATTACAAGGATTTGTTGGCCAGCGAGAGTTCACAGTAGCTGGCTCTGAGAAGACTGCGGACAAACCAGCTCATGAAGGTCTTACTGAAGCTCTAATTCTTGGAGAAAGTCAAGACCCGGAAGCTGTGGAGTCCGAGGCTCCTAAGCGGAACTTTTTATTGACCTTGATTTCTCGACGGTCTGTCAATCGACCCGGTCTACGCTACCTTCGTCGCGGTGTTGATGATGACGGGAATACTGCCAACACCGTTGAAACGGAGCAAATCCTTTCAGTGCCAGAGTGGGACTCTTCTCATAACGCCTACTCATACCTCCAGCTACGAGGCTCGATTCCTCTATACTTTTCCCAATCGCCATATGCCTTCAAGCCCATCCCCGTGTTGCACCACTCAGCGGAAATAAATCAACTCGCCTTTGGACGACACTTCCGAGAGTTGAGTCGGAGGTATGGCAAAATCCAGGCCGTCTCCTTGATTGACAAACATGCTGGGGAACTGAAGCTTGGTGAACAATATGAGAGGTATACGGACGTCTTCAACGAGGCGGGCGGCATTGATGGCACGCCGTTGCGCATGGAATGGTTCGATTTCCACAACGAATGCCGCGGTATGAAGTTCGAGAATGTCTCACGTCTGGTTGAGGGTGTCAAGGAAACCCTGAATGAATTCGGCTATACCACTATCAAAGATGGCAAATCTTCGGATATACAGACAGGCATTGTTCGTACGAATTGTATGGACTGTCTCGACCGCACCGGAGTCGCACAATGCGCTTTCGGCCAGTGGGCTTTGGAGCGCCAGCTACAGAAAGAAGGCATTCACATTGATTTGGGCGGAGACTCGTCCACACAATGGTTTAACACTCTGTGGGCGGACAATGGAGATGCAATCTCGAAGCAATATTCGTCGACAGCTGCTCTCAAGGGAGATTTTACCAGAACCAGGAAGCGAGACTACCGCGGAGCTCTCAATGATCTCGGTTTAACACTCTCCCGATATTACAATAATATTGTCAACGACTATTTCTCCCAGGCTTGTATTGACTACCTCCTTGGGAACGTCTCAACACACGTCTTCGATGAATTCGCAATCGAACTCCAAACCACTGACCCAGGAATTTCAGTCGGCAAGATTCGCCAAAATGCCATCGACACCAGTTGCAAAATCGTCATCAGCAGCCCGTCGGAAGAATTCCTCGGTGGCTGGGCCATGCTGACACCCCGCGAACCAAACACCCTACGGACTCTCCCCTTCGAAGAGTCCGTTCTGCTGCTTCACCGACGCCGCCGTGTACAGCTGTCGCTTCGACTGGGAAACGGACAAGGTGCTCTCCTTTGAGAGAATCGATCTCCGCTCCATCTCGCGCATTCACTATGGTACATATATCACCTCCATCCTCACAGACGGCCAATCCGATGAACGAAGCAATGTCGGCCTAGTCATCGCCTACCGTGATGGCGACGAAAATGCCCTCCGCGTCAACACGCGCACACTACAGACGAATGTGCGCCCCGAGAATCTGGAGGCCATGGCGAGCTCGAATAGCGAGTGGGATCTTGTTTCGTGGCTGCGTGGCACAAAGCGTGCTACCACACGCTTTGTGGCTTTCAAGTCGCTTCCAGTCGCTAAC